CTTGACCCCTCCTCATGTTGATAAATACTTGTACATGTAGTCAGATGGTCAATATAATTGATCCTATATTCATCACTATAAAAAGTTTTTTCAACAGCTTACTTTTATTCAACAGATTGTTTTTATTATCAATTACCTGTTGAAAACAAGAAAATAGATTTGACCAATTGATATGATTGGAGATAATGACATCTTTACTGGTGATTCCAATAAAGATGACAGCTCATAATTAGGACACACACCCACCTCATTTAAAACTTTGCTGGAGGGGCAGCAAGGTCAAGTAGGGTTATTACCCTTCAAACACCTCCCCTTTTCTGATTCCATTAATAAAATATGTTTTTATGAGTAAATAAGTAATTAATAAAAAGAAAATTAATCAAATTGCAAATATTTTGTTGAAAAATCTAAATGTGTTTTAATCCCCTTAGTTAAAAGCAACTTCTTTTCATAATATAGTATATGAAGAGTTAGTAGATGGAATATGTTAATGAATTACTGATGTAAGAAATTGAGGTAATGATGTAGTGGGTGATAAGAGTGAAAACATGGAAAGAGCATCATTTAGCACAGCAATATTCAACCAGTTCATTTTACCAAGTTGTGGTCTGATATGACATTTTACTCTTAACAAGTGGTCTTATTGTATTATTATTTTTTAAATTGGTTTTTAGTCCCTATTGTTTTAAACCATTAATTTTCAATCTTTAGACAGAGATATATGTTTTGACTGTCCAATTTAACAAAATATTATTATTTTTACACATATGGTATAACATGGGCTTTCAAGCACATTTAAAAATAAATATTTTATTATAGTTGCGCTACGTACTTTCAAACTTCAGTGAATGTTTATAATATATCCCTGACTAACTGAAAGCTTGTATTGGATCTAATTCAAATTCCTTAAAATCATCAAAGAAAATAATCATAACCAATAAATATAATTAATTAGGGCTAAAACTTGAGATATGTTTAGTCTAAAAATACTTGAGGTTTCAGTCTTACTTGTATTGATCCAAATAGTTACCAAGTGGTTGAGACTGAGCCCATGTCAAACTGACATAATGATAAAGTGAAGTTAGAACCCCCTAGACAGAAGTACATGTTTAAGTCTCATTTAGACATGATATATCATCCTGATAACACATAGCCATTCTTTAATAAATAAAATCCACCTTTATATTGAGGTAAAAAAAATAAAGCAATGACTTGTTTATGGTACTGTTTAAGATTCTTTTAAGAGTTTTTACTTGTAGATTACTTAGGTTATTTTTTGATTTAGGAGTTTTTAATACCCAAAATTAGATTTGATTTTTAGATGAGTTGTGTATCCAAACATTAGTTTTCTTACTTATCTAATTGATTCCGTTATCAATGTAGAAGACCTGAGATATGATTGGCAGAGGTTGGTTAATTCCCAGTCTGAAGTTCACTGGGATTGTGCTACCTCTTTTGTTTAGTTAACCCATTCTGTGTAACATCAACTGTCACCCTGCTATTGTATGGTGCTGACACCTTTTCTTAACAAGAACAACTAAATCTTTGACTTTAACATTCTGGGTGAATTAATACTTGTGATATAGTAACAGAACTAACTATTTTCTGTGTTCATCTAATGTTATCCAAATCTTTGTCGTGTGTCTGTACTGTAATGTGTTGTGATGTGTTGTCAATACCACTAAAGTAACTACGATATAATATAAAAATACTTATACATTTAAAATATTTTTTTAATATCACTTGTCTACTTATATCTTCATTAAATAATTTTCACTATTCTAAAATCTACTATTTTTTACAGTTGAATATCACGCATGATTTGATGTTTTAACCGAGTGATGATTCTACATTGTTGTTATAGTACCCAGTATCCTGCGATATTCTGTTTTATTTTTGGGATTTTTGAACCATAATTTTGTGCAGTGTCTTACAAGAGTGAAGATCATATGATTTCTGAGTGCTTATGATTGTGGTACTATTATAAGGTACCTAGTTGGTATCTAATACAGTCTTGTATACAACTCCAAAATGATATCAAATTGAGTAACGAGCCATGTAAATAAATTGAGCTTTGCAATAGGCTGTTCTTATAGTTTCCATCCTCCCAACGCAGTGCTCCAGATATCATCAACTTTGTTCCTTCCTTGGAAGATAGTGGTACGAGTTCTGGAGGCCTATGTTCTGAGGATGGTAGTTTCCCATCATTCGAAACATAAGCTTTTTCATATATATTTTATTTTTGGAGATTCAAGAAATACACACGACTTTACATATACCCTGCACCTTCTTCATGAAATCATATGATCTTCCCTTAGTTTGCAACAATCTCATTTTCTTGCACAAATATAGTTAAGAATATTCTAGTCATTCTGTGTTTATTCTGCACTTGCACTTCAACATTATATAGATGGCACCCTATTCATTATGCATTCTATGAACTTATCCATTCTCTACAAATGGACAAGCTCATATTTTTGCAAAGGGTCATATTAAACACTCTATAGAATCACCATAAGGGACACGCTAACTGACTCTGTATGAAGCCACTAACTATACACTAACCGTTATAGGTGGTGCTATATGCCCTCGTTATATCGGTCGATCTCCAGACCAACTTCCTCGTACTGGCAACAACTGGGCAAGCCTCATGCTCAACAATGCATTTGTATGTGATGGTCGCGTCACAGCATTTGAATATTTCCGCGCATCTGCACAGGGAACTGCATTTATTGGAATCTGGCGACAGGTTGCCGCTGAGACATTTATTTTATTGCATAAAATTGAGCTCTTTCCTGGAGGCCTTGGATTGAAGAGGGTTAATCTGCCTCAAAAACTTGAGGTACGAAAGGGAGACTTCCTCGGGGTTCACTACCCCCAGGATACTCCAGTTGGTGCAGTGGCTAGTGCAACAGAAGAAGATGGCTACACATCAACTGACATGTTCCAGACATATAATGCTCCAGTGTTTGATGAGCAAATCATTGAAAATGTCCAGTTAGATTTGTCCAGGTATGGTGGTGAGGTTATGGGAAGGACATATGCACTCAGAGGAATTATTGATTATGAAAGTCCTGCTTCAAGAGGTGAGTTTAAAAAGAGCAACAAGAAGGCTTCATCCAATGCTTCATACAAAGCTACGCATATCGCTCATTTTTCATAGTAAATTGCTCATTCCCACTGCTTATAGATCCAACTTTTATCTCAGCCTAGATTCATGGAATTTTCAGTGGCCACTTTCACTAGTATTCCGGCAAATGTGTCCATGTTTTTTCATTTTGTTAAATGGGGTTTCTGTCAAAACCACAATGTTTTTGACCAGTAAGTCAAATCCAGATTTTCTTTTTATGTGGCAATTGTCTAAATCAAGTCTTAACCATTTTTTTAATGTTTTTCATTTTATTTTATGTTTTCAAGGACCCATTATGTGACCTTACTGTAATCAGTTCACCAAAAATGTCCAATGTCTGTATAATAGTTGGAATTGACAAAAAACAGACCCGTTTTAGATTTATAAATGTGTTAGTAAATGTTTTAAACCAGTCCCTGTTGCCAATCATTCCCCCTATTAAAGTCATCACTGCAGCCCATCCATCCTGAAATTGGAACATGTTCTCATGATTTTCCAGTTATAAAAATAAAATCCTCACATTATTCATACATAGTAAATGTCTGCTGTATGCATTTATTTGTTAAGGGTTATGGGAATTTGCTCTCTGAATTGTTTTACATGTTTTATAGTTTACTTAGTTTATGTTTTGCACATACCTAATTAGTAATATTATAGTAATAAGTGTTACACTTTGTAACCAATGCAAAACATTCTTAATGGCATTACTGACTGCCTTACCAACCAAACAAACAAACAGCTCTTGAGAAATTACAGCTTTATCTCCAAAATGTTTCAAGACTTGATTGTTTTGCAATGGTCATCAAGTGAAAACAATATTGTGACAATAACTCCCTATTTCTACTGCATGTTAAACTTTATGTATTTGTCCTATACTGACATATATGTTGTATATTTGTACCTCTTACTGTTGTAAATCAGTCTAAAGAATATGTACAAACTTGATATAATCAATAGTGAATATACAGCCGATGAAATATCAATAGTGAATATACAGCCGCTGCCTTTTTGAGTGGCTACTCAGTTGAGTAAATTGTTGGTGAACATATTTTTCAGACTGAGTTTACTTATTTGTTGTGTCTCACCCTCTAGAATTTAATCTCTGTCACTAATATTTCATTATATTTACAATCAATCAAATTCTGTTGATTGACTCAATTCATACAAAATAAGTCATTTCAAAAGACACATCTGTTATTACTTCTTTCTACTTCCATGAAAAGTAATTACATCATGCAGTGAAAAACTGTTCTTGTTTTATTTATAAAATGTCAACTTCATTGAGGTTTTATATGACTTGACATCATTATGGGAATATATCACATATGGACTTTATGTCTACATAAATTGGAGGAATTCCTACTTGAGAATAAGGCCTCTAATGAGCAGTTGGAAACAACCAGACATTTAGGAGAGATCTATGAAACCCTCTGATGAAACCACAAATTCTCATAATTTTGTAATAAATCTATAAATAAAATCAACTTAGCTGAGGGTCTTTGTTGTATCATCACAAATTAGAAGGAAAATTGGATTTTGGCAATAAAATTTTTGGCAGTGGCAATAAAAGATAACGAAATGTGCATATTCCGAAAAATTGCCTGGTAAGGTTTGTTAACAAGGCGGAACCAGTAAATGCTACAGGGAAGAAAGGGTAAAGTCAGCTAGGTTCAAGGGATGACAATTTACCATATGTTGAATGTACCAGGCCCAATCACAGGCTAAGTTTACAGGCCTACCAGGCTTACACAAAGAAAGGATTAATGGATTGACTCTAACAATTCAGAAATTATAATTGAAATAGATAATGCAAAGATGAAATCTGAAATTTGGATATGTTTGTTAACATTATTTGATGTTTGGTTCACAGCACCTCCAGTGACAACCCAATCCACACCCCTGACGTGTAGTCCAATCCAGTTCCGATGTAACAATGGACAGTGTATTGATAGGAGACTACTCTGTAATGGCAGGAATGACTGCTCTGATGGCTCTGATGAAACTGTACTAACGTGTCCTGGTAAGTAAATGTTCTTATGTCATTTAAAGTAGAAATTACCATTCACTGTCATGATTATGAATTTACTTATGATGCATTAATTTTTACTATTAAGTATCAACATTGATTTATTATGTTAATTTTTTCTTAACTTTTCAAAAATGTATTGACAAATATTCAGTGAGTTAGACTCTTTATTAATCATTGGTAGTTTGTCCGCATTCAAAAGCTGCCCATTGGACCCTATATGGTAATATTGAAATTCATTCAGAAGTATGAGGAGTATTTAGGTAGGGTTTTTGGTCAGTAAAATGTTCCCAAAAGAGCATGAATAAAATACAATGTGTTGTGTGACATTCTGCAAAAAATCTGCATCTGCACAAAGTTCTTCACTGAAACCTTTATAATTAAGAAATACAGACTGAAGAGCAGAAGTAATATTGTCGAATACACCCGCAGGGCTAGGCACAAACGTCTTCTGTAACCAGAATGACCGAAGGGCGAGAGGGGTTCGAAGGCTTTTGTGCCTAGCCCTGCCCTAAGGGGCATATTCGACAATATTACCCCTGCTCTGGGGTCTATATTACAATTCGAACATGAAAACTCACCAAAATGTTTTGAATATTCATTTTGGTCCACCATAACTACAACCCGCCGTTATGATGTCACACATTACATGTATTACCAGGGGTACTCTTCGCGAATATACCCGGGGGAAATGTTGACTTTGTTTACAGTTTATAGAAGGCGTGAATACAGTCATGTTCGAATACTTTATAATTATTTAGTTAATAAGAAAAGACCAATGAATTTATTATTATTAAAAGAACAATACAATTGCTAGGAAATGTGGTTCCTCCTCAATTTATTGCTCAGGGTAGCTTTCCAAAAAATATGACTCTCTTTCCATCTCATGAGTTGCATGCTTAATGAACCAGATGAAGTTCAAATATTCCTATCACTCCTCTCTTTATTCATAGGTTGTATTAACAATTGATTATAAGAGTATATATTTTCTTAACCATCATGATAAGATTCAGATTTTTGAATGTATTATTCTGCAATAATATCACCATTTTCATCATCTTATACAAGATTATGCTCGCCACTGATAGCAACATATAAAAACTCTAATGCACAAATGAATTGAACAAAAATGTTTTGTAATATCTCCTTAATGGGGATTATAGAGATTAAAGGGATCAGATAGATTCATTTGACTGCTTGTTGGCGCTTCACTTGAATCCTCAATTATTTCATAATGAAATGTGAGCAGCAAGTGGTCTTTCTACGTGGTGGTCCAAGTCATATTAACGGATTTTGTATTTTACTTTCATCTTTTGCTATTGTTGTTGGTTGTATTGTCAAAAATATGCTATTCCAGAATTAAGTATGGGGAAATATAAACCTGCATCCTATTATAGCCATGGGATCTCTCCTTTTCTTTCACAACAATGCTGGCGGTATGTTGAAGCATTGGGTCTAGGTGATATCAAACATTGTATGAAGCATATTGAATGCCATGGTCTACATATGTTGATACATGACATTATTTACCTGAATATGTTTCAACTCAGACATTCTATGTCACATTAAGTCACATTATCATTTGTTCATAATTGTGTCAACTTCAGTTTTTTCCATGAATTGTTCATTAATCTATCCAGGCAAAAACTCAAATACTGGTGGTAAGATTTCAAAATGTCTTCTATATTTGATTTCTTATAAAGTCGCCCCCACATTTAAATTGACTGCCATCTGCCATCAAGTATTTCTTATACCATTTCATGGAAATGGCTTTCGTAGGAACATGAGCTAACATGGGTCAGTTGGGTATTTTGGCATAGAATTTGAGGAATGATTTGAGAAAATATGTTTTCCCTAAAATGTTCAGTTTTTCTTATTCTTGAAGAATATTGAGACATGGTTATTTTTAAAACTTTATTTTTCAAGAAAGAGATTAAGGGTATATCTAAAATATAAATTGTGAGGAATAGTTACTGTTGGAAATGAAACTGGGGTTAAGAGATGGAGTTTAAGAGATTTATACACTGTATGTTATATGAATATGGGGTTATAGTGGTCTGAAACTATTTATCTTTATTTTAGAGTATATAATGTCGGTCACTTATATACATAAGGGTTATGCACTGGGAGGTTTTGGATACAGGGAATATCCCGAGGGATATACAAGATTTATTCCATAATACTACTGTTTTCCCAGGGAAATATGAAGGAATAAAAATCGTATTGAATCGTATTACATGAAAAAATCGTATTGTCCCCGGGAAAAAAATCGTATTGGAGCGTATTACATGGAAAAATCGTATTGTCCCCGGGACAAAAATCGTATTGGAACGTATTAACCTATTTTTGGTTTTCCCGGTTATTTTTAACCTTGAAAGCATTATCCAAATGTAACATTTTAAGGAGGAATGTATTATGGAATAAATAGGTTATTTACTGGGAGGGATTGAATATGGGTTTTATTCCGAGGGACAATATGATATTGACCTTGGGAAATATGATATTGACACTCGGTCGCTGCGCTCCCTCGGTCAATATCACATTACCCTACGGTCAATATCATATTGTCCCTCGGAATAAAACCCATATTCAATCCCTCCCAGTAAATAACCTATATGTATTGCATATCCCAAGGGATATTCCATGTATCCAAACCGACTGTGCATAACTGGTGTATCTCATACTTGAGTGGGTTTAGGGTAGATATAACCCTTTCCACCTTTTTCAAATGACAAGATATTTATATTTAACATTTTCGTAATATTCTTTTTGTTCAATACAATGAAATTGTAACATTTAAACTTAAAAAAATTAAATTTTGAAATTAAAAAATTAAAACTTTTGATATTTAAACTTTTTTAAACTTTTGAAAAATTCCCGGGAGCGGGATGGATATATTATATCTGCCCGCATTTGGCCTGGAGCGGGACATATACAATATATCCTGCCCGCTCCTCAGATACGATATATATTCCCGGGTGATATCTACCCCAAACCCACTCAAGTATGAGATACACGTACATATTACATGTACTAAGATTTTTATATATAGACATTATGCTGGTATTTCTTGATTTTTTAGTGTTTTATTGGTAGTAGGTCATCGTTAATGTTAAATGTAATGGGGCTTATCTAGATAACACAGTGAAATGCTTTCTAAATGTTCTAAAAGCTATTCTTTTAGTTTTTATGTTACTTAGTTGTTTGAATGGTGTAATCATTAGAAGTGTTTATAGGTGGTATATTTAGTTTTATTAGTAGTCTACACATAAACAGTGCCTGTGTGGTTGCAAGAAATATTCGGTATTATTAGATTACTTTCAAAAACTATTCATGAAGAATGATTTTGTTTATTTTACTGGTTGCCATACAATTAGCGCTGATCATCTTGTACTGATATTTTATCTCCCAGTAAATCAGATATGGATCAGTAAATGTCTTGTCTCATTAAGAACCCGATGATGGGCAACATTTGAAAAGAGCAACAAATACAAAACATGATTAAGCAGATGATTGTTATGACAAAATGAACTTGCTGTAAAAAATATATATCAAAATCTTAAATAAACAAATACCAAGAAGTCAACCTAGTTATTCTAACCAGCACCAATATTTCTTCCATCATCCTCAGGAGGGGAGATAACTGTTGAGGAGATACTGTGAACCCTGTCATCACCCTTATGTGTAAAGCTATCCCTGTCAGCATGCAGAGGCAGTATTTCCTAAATGTCACCCCTCTGTAAAATATTGGCGAAACTTCATGAGGTCACATGTTTAAATACAGAATTGGAGGCATTGGGAATAATATATAGAGATATAGAGGAAACATTCTACAGCAAAATATAAAAATATGATATTGCCTTAGAGTATATGTAGAATGAGAATTGTTAAGAGGACATATATAAAGCATGGTGGTCCTTGGACATATGGCACATTTAAGAATGCCGTGTCTTATCATTTTGAACATTCCAAGATATACTAGTAGGCTGTTTCTAAAATGTGTATACTTGTATCACAGTTAAATAACACTATGTTTAAATTGTTCTTGAGAAGCATAAAATAATAATTTTGTTGTTATTTTATTTTCTCGAGCTAAATAATAATTTTACAATATTCATATACAGTTAGAGGTAGGTATCAAACTGGAGATAATTTTTTGATTTATATTTCAAAGTTAATCTTGAGTTAATCTCTTATGCAACCTCCCACTTTTTCTCTTTCCCCGAAGTGCGATAATATTGGAATTGTGGAATAATTATTTATAATTATAAATAGTGTTATAATAATTTAAACCTGATTTTAAATTAAAAAATTCAAATAAGCTTCATCTGCTTATGTTCATTATCAACATTGGAGAAAAGATCAGAAATACTTTTATTAAGCATTCTATGAGCGAATTATGAGTCAATAAAAGCTCAGCAAGAGATATTCCTTGTATAACTGAACATTACATGCCAGTCTGGCGTCCCCTGCAAGAAACTACATGAAATTGAGATCTGGTTACATGAAATAATAACAATCATGAAGTTAAATACATATTGTCTTCCTGAGTAGGTTCACCTTGACTCGGTTCTTTTTTATTGGTCCATATGGTTTCCTTGAATTTTATCTGAATATGCACATACTTCAGTACCCTTTGTGATATTAAACACAGACAATTCTGGCATTTCCTTAAAATAGTAATTAACTTCAATGAGAATATCCTGCCAGGGTCTGTCAGTATTGTCCCGGGGTTAGACTATCTGCATGTCAGTGCAACCCAGACTGAGAAAGGTGTTGATGAGCACAATGTTTACATGTTGCTAGGTGATAAACACTTCAGCATCCCCACTCATTGTATCATCCCTCCGGGATACACGGCTACCAGCCGGCAAATATATATTAGTCAGTCTTTTATTGCGGACTGTTTTACTCTTCTTCCAGATATTTTCAAAAGGCAGAAATTAGCCCTGTGCTATGCTCCCATTCACCTCAACCATGTTTGAATAACCAATTCTGTCTGTTTTACCTCAACTCAGTTTTTCCAAATTCTTGAAAATGACAACTTCTAATTTTAAGCTCAAGGGTACGATAATATTTGTGAAGAATTTTATTAAGTACACTAAGCATTGGAAGGAAAGGGTGATCCAGGTTTAGTTTATTACAATTACTGAGCATTTTGGCAACACTAATAGCTTTAAAGGTTTAAAACAACCTCATAACATAATTTCAGTGAACCATTCTGTGTAATTATAATAAATGTGTGGGAGAGAATTTGGTAATTTATGTTCAAAGAGATTCTTTGAGTCCTTTACACTGTTTAGGTCAGTAAGGTGAATGAGTGGTACTGCAAATTGAACAAATTGGTAAACTTATCAGAACTGGTACACTTGTTCAGTAGTATACAGTAATGCTATTCAGGTTTAAGGAAGCCATGTAAAGATCTAATAATAGGAGAGTTGTCCATGATGCTGCATCATAGTGATTGTTGACTGGGGTGCCCTAATGTTGAAAAGGGGGGGGGGGGTTCTACTGTGAGTTTTTCTGATAGCACCAAGTAGTATCTGTAGAAGTATTTAGACATCCAGTCATTTGCTGTACCATTAAGTCTGGACATTGAACAGAATTGATTGAAGTTCCATGGTCAGAATGAAAGTTCTTTCTGTTTCGATTTATTTGGAAACCTTTGGGTGGGTGGGTTGACTATTAAATGATTTCATTTACATCTTGAAATAAACTCTCGCATGTTCAATGTGGAATATCTATAAAATCTGATGTTTGATTTACACAAAGATGCTATCGTATACATGTACATGTTCCTTCTTTCAAAAACGTCCTGTTGATTGCTTATTATTGGCACAAATAAAGTCATTACTACTGTTCCTGGCTTACATATTTACTGGTTTCATTGTTATAAAACAGAGACTTAAAGCCTTGAGGATTGTCAGAGAGATCACCAAGCAACTCCTCTGACAATCTGTTCTGCACTGATTCTTAAACCAATTTGAGATTAACCATTTGGGCCCAGTGTACAATGCTTGAATAATATATATCCATATGTCATTTTGTTGAAGAGAGTGAATGCTATATAGAAATTATAATTAATGTGAGATTATCTCTTTAGAGAGGTCTTCCCTTTATGAGTCTTCCCTTTATCTGGTGAAGGTGATTGGGAAACCATATGCTTTTGTCTCTTATCTTCTGAAAGAAGTCTCTTCCTGTGGCATCTTCCCCATGTAGATCCAACCCGTTTGAAGGTGGTGAATGGCAAAAACCACCTGTGATGCAAATTTGCACATATTTTCACAAATGCACAGATTTCATTCATGTTTTCATGGTAAATTACATGTATTCTGCCTGTAATGATGGGGTTTTCACCACCTTTGTGTTACACTTGTGAAAGGGCTGAGAACACTTTATGAGACCTGCTCTGTACTATAATTGGTATGAATTTAAATGAATTTACACAGTGGACTATTTTAATACATCTTTTTATTATCCTATTTCAGTGACAAGCTGTAGGGCTGAAGAATTCCGCTGTGATGATGGTAGCTGTATTGATGCTAGACTCAGGTGCAACAGGGCTTTTGATTGTGTTGATGGATCTGATGAACGAAGATGTGGTAAGTGTGACAACATGCCTTCTGTTTAGTCATTTGATTGGTCATTTATTATATTTGTTCATTTGTCAGGTCATTTATTTGTTTGCCCTGTTATTTGCAATAGTATGATACCTGAAATGTATGTTTCAGTTGAAGAATGCCGAAGTGGCCAATTTAGATGCACTGATGGTACATGCATTGATGAAAGACAACGTTGCGACTCCAGAGCTGACTGCCCTGATAACACTGATGAACTTGGATGTCGTAAGTCACCTTTTCTAGTGTCACCTATAAGCTTACCCAGGAACCAATCAACTTGTAGGATCCTTACATTTGGATGATATAATTTTTTGTTAATAAGCAATTTAGACAGAATGGAAAATGAAACTCAATTTATGGTCTCAGGTATATAAATCGACATACTTTAATCCTAATATAATATTTCAATTCCATTTTATTGATCTTTGAAATGACTCCAGACATGAGGATCGTACAAATTTTTGGTGTCAGTCCCTTGACATGCATTTTCTTGCCAAGCCAAGTGTGCCGATATAGCACTTTAGTAGTAAGAATATCTAACTCTGCTACCTACAAGTTTGTATTGGAGAGCTTTCATATTTAAGTTCATACATATCTATTCTATTCTTTGGAAAATTTGTTGTTAAAGGCTTTGCAATGTTTGATTAGTGTATGTATCTTTTATACCTCATCTTATTATTGTTTAGTTCATCTTATTATATCTTTCATTTTGTGACTATTATGTATGTTTCTATTATCTTCCTCGATTAGTTCAGATCATGAATGAAACCACCCCCAGTTAGATTTCTATTGATTTTAGCGTGTGTGGTGATTCTACTGTGTGGCTTCAGCCCAAAGGATAACTGTTATTGTTTATTTGTTCTTATGAAGTTTGCCAATATGGCGAATTCCGCTGCGTAAGTGGGGAGTGCATTCCCGAAGCAAGGCGCTGCGATGGTCGCCAAGATTGTCCAGATAAAACAGACGAACTTCAGTGTCGTAAGTCTGTGCTCCACTGCTTTAGGCCCAGATGTTGCAGACCCCTTAGAAAAACAAACTTATTATGTTCCTTTGTGAAAATATTATTGTCTTTTATTCTCACTTTCTGATTTATCTTTTGATAAGCATTTGCAATAGGTCAGCTTAACTGTCTTTCTCTTTTTGTCCCCATTAATCGGAATAAGATTGATCGATGTCTGAGCACCAAAAATATCAAGAGATTTTTTTATTTACTTATTTTTGTATTTGTTCAAAAAATGTTATTCTTACTATTGACATTTGAGAAAACAGTCACTTAACCTCCTGTGTTAACAAGGGGTCTGTTAGAGTAGAGTGGATTAAGTAATTTAGAATGAAGTTGAATTTTGTAAAAGGCTCTGATCCTTGATTGTATCAGACGTTATAAAGGACAGAGTATTGTAGCATCTTTGTTGTTTCCACTTGTGCTTTCAAATGTTAGATCTGCACCTTCTTTGAAGATTAGAGTGCATGTAATTTATAATGTATGAAATAAGAATTCAAATAACTTCATTCCAACTATTTAATTCATGTGATAAGACAAAATAGAACTCGTATATTTTTTTGCAATTCTTTCCACAGTTAAACCTGCAAAATCCAACAGTCGTGGTTTTTATGAGAAGAACAGTTATGTTATGGAGGTTTAACTGCACGAGAAATGCATTGAATATTTATCATCTGGGTCTAAGCTATATAATGCTAGGTAAATCCAAACTTGCTGCGGTTGGCTGTAGTAACTTGAAGATGACCAGATTAAACTTTCCTGACTTGGCATGCATTTGGTCTTTTAGGTCGCAATACTGAACATAATGCTGTATAATTATGAATGTATTTTTTCTTATTAATAAAATCGTTTTTTGTTTTATACTATCATCCAGTGGTTGTATATATAATGTATAACATTATGTATAGGATTCAATCTCATTGGTACTAACTAAAGTGAAATAGAATCTGAAATTCCTAAATGCTTCATTATATAAAGAAAAACAAAAGTTCATAAGCTTAGTTTATTTATTATTTAACATAAATTCTGGAAATTGCTTACCCCATATAAGATTGAATAAGATACAACTGCAATTATAGTACATCAATAATGACATTTCGAGGGAAATAAATTCTTGGCCAAAACCATCGGCAAAGTCTCACAGAGAATCTTAAGAAATCTTATTCACTATCTCTCATTTTATAGTTCCATAAATCAGTTGTAGAAATCACCAAAGAGCTGTTAGACTCAAGATTTTATTTCTTACCCGCTATAAGCCCAAACTTTAATATTCTTCTATATCCAGGCCAGGAATAGGTTTGTTTACCAAGTCCACTGGCCAGTCTCTTATGTGAAATTGCACAATCAAATTCTGTAATTGCAAGCTGGTGTAAATCATTGAAGTAATACAATATTAATACTTAAAGGTCTCGCTCATGGTTGATTTGGCAGTCGATTGGCAATACAAATATTAACAATTCCTCGTGAAATGTCATTATAAATGAACACTAATCCATGTCATAGCAATATTCAGATTTTTCAGCAACTAATATTAAGAAACAAGGTTGGGAAATAACCACTAAGTAATGAATGGCTTTATTACACTTACATACATTGTGTTTTCTTTCACATTTATCTGTTCACCCATTTGCATTTTTCAAGTGGCAGCACCACCATGAATATCCCAAAATATTTGTTTTGAATAATTTAAGATGTTGAATCATATAATGTATAGCATCTGTATAAATACCAAGAATTTAAGTATTTTGAGATTATTTGACAAATATATATTTCTGTAGGCCCATTCATGATATGCATTCATCAAGTTTTGCATTTTCAGAATTACTTGAAAAATATAAAATACTGTTGAATTGGTGAACAGATAACTTGCTGGTCATTTGGGGGAATATTCCACATGGCATATGAGTGAAAATGCCTATTGGGACCTAAGCTCTACTTACCCGAGGAAAGCTGTATGCATGTTTTCTGGGTAGCTTAAAAATGGTCCAGATGCAAAACTGCATGGTGTATTACATGCATTGATACTATAATGATGTGTTATATTTAATTCAAAATTGAATTTTGAAAGTGAAAATTGCAGTTGTTCTTTTTGTGATGTTCAAGAACAAATTAATATTTGATGTTATAGAGAAATGTTATAATTCATGAGTTTTTCAGATGAAAAAGACAACTAAGATATGGAAAGGAACATTTGAGGACACAATTTATTGATTTTAACAGAACTGCATTCATCAGAGACCAGTTTTCCCATCCATTTCTTCAAAAATATATTTCTGGATCACTTTTAGGGAAATAGCATCTTCTAGATGCATGTATTGTTTTTTAAAAGTGATATAAGAGCACACAAATCAATTTCAATTTCTTTATTAAGATACTTTTGATCTTTTGTTTTTACCATGCTCTGATGGAAGCTCGATGCTGATTAGTTGGGTTGTAGTTTCAGTTCCGTGTGCAGAAAATCAGTATCGATGTGAAGGTGGCCTGTGTATCCCATTGGAGGATCGTTGTGATGGCAAATCTGATTGTCCCGATAACACTGATGAGTTAGATTGTCGTAAGTGCCGTGTCATGTCCTGGCACCCCTCAGACACCTCTTGCTACATGCATGGACTTGTCCATTTTGCTTAAATGGACATGTTCATATTATGGTAAAGGGGTGTCACTGTGTTTTAGACTTACCAATGAGGGATTAGACAATGTGTTTATTTATTAGAGAGGTTAAGCTTGCGCTATCTTTCACAATGTAAACGTGTACAGAAAAATTTAAGCATGTACATGAGTCTGTTTAGGAATGTGTTGCGCGTGCATACTGTTGTACCATTCCAATACCCGCTCAGCTTCAGAGTTTTATGTTTTGAACAGGAAATTTGAAATTACACATTGAAGTCTACAGGAATGATTATACGCATATTTATTGAATACTATGCAGGCATTTTGGTTTTGGTGCACAGTAGACATGCATGTTTTATCTCCAAATATCTTAAACAAGCTTGAAAATTAGATACAGTATAATGTATATAGATTTATTAAGTCCATATACATTTCTTTGAACAAATCTTGTACATGCAGAATGTATGTATTTTTGACTTTTATGATTTCAATGTACTCAAAGAAACTCACATAACTGTGCATATTCAGGAAACACTAAGAAAATCATTTCTGTACATACTCCCGTTCTAAGCAGAGCACTGAAGCTGAATAGCAATACAACTGTATGCAATTACATGCACACTCAATACATTACTCGTTTTCATTTTGATTAAATGCAAGCTATACCTCCCTATTATCTGTTTAAACTCGTGTTACAACACTGCTAGGGTTGTCCACACATTGATAGGCATATACATTGCACAACTAAATTTATAAAATTGAATGTCACAGAATGACTTCGGGGTGATTTTATTCAGTTTTAATAGTGCCTTTCTATATTTGAATTGCTCTGGTCTAATTTTTGGACCAGTGAATGAATTATGTGTGTGAATTTGGGATGGGGCTGACGCCAAAGCAGTTTTCTAACAGCACTTTGCCTTGCAGATTACTACTGTACTCACACACTGACACACTGAATAATGATTAGAAAACCCGCTCCTTGTCATATTTCGCTCCTTGGTATATATCTTTAATTAATAGACAACTTTGCATGCTTTGGATCTCATTATATAAGAAACAAAGCAAATAAAGAAGTCCCTGAGTTCTTAAATGCACATAAGTTCTAAATCAACTATCATGGTTTATTTCCCAGTCCAAAGAAATATTTTAATTGGGTTGTTGACGTGTCTTTTCATCAAGCGGATGAAACACACTTGATGCTTATTCAAATTCAGAAAGCTATTTTTTGACATGCTGACATTAACTTCTTTGATTTCAAGATTTAAGTGTATATTTTACAGGAGCTACGCTTAAGGTTAGACTCAAAATAATTTGTTATATTAATCTATTGTTTCCAGTTTCTGTCCATGTTATTCAATGTTAATGGTATATTGTTCTGTTTGATTCGTAAATGTTGCACGCTGCTATGCTTTATCTGTTCTATTTTGCGCTGTTAAATTCTCATTTATTGATGTGTGTTGCATATTATGAGAAATTTGATTTCCATTTCTGAAGATGTGATCATTATTCAATCCCTTATGTATTTATAAGTTTTCTCCTGTTCTGTAATAAAATAACATTGCTTTACTTATCTCAGTGTCCAAGGCTTTTAAGACAGTCCAACTTTATGAAGGGCTGCATAATTTCTGATTTTCGTATTCCTGAAGAATTCATGAAGGAAACTGAAAATCAAAGATTATTCGCAGCTATGATCTGTATATGTATTAGCTTTATCCCAGTTAACAAGCAAGAGCATCCTTATACAAGGTGTCCATGATGTTAAGGGCATTTGCATCATTACTTACTGGGCACCCTGTATTAATTAATCTTTCATGTAAATAACTGAAGTAGATTCTCTGGAGGCAGCTTTGATTAACCAGCAGATATCATATTATAGGGATTGAATAATATTGACATCTGATATAGTTCTATTTATTTCAGGCACACCATGATCTCCTCACAATTCATATTCACCAGCAACACATCATTTTCACCATGTACACTTTGTCGATTTTCTAATACTGCGCAATGCTTTTTATTAATCACCAATATACATTATCTTTCAGGATTTTTCATACCACATTCATCATAGTTTTCATAATACATTAATAAATATTATAGTTGTTTAATTAATTTATACATGCCATATGTGCAGTGTTCATCTGAGTTGAATATATTTTATGTTTCAATAAATAGTACACACTTTGAAATAGTGTAAGAAAGTCACTTTCTTATCACAAAAAGTATTATTCTAATAAATATCTATTTCCTCTAAATAATCTCTCATCTTATTTATACAGTAGTTTATATATTCATGTATGTATGATTTTATCTTATTTTTTCCAGCCTCCAAGCCATGTGGACGGGGACAGTTCCAATGTATCACTGGGGAGTGCATTGATGAAAATAGGAAATGTGACAGTAGGGTTGACTGTAGAGATGGCTCAGATGAATTTGGCTGTCGTAAGTTATACTTTGATTTGGGATAAAGGATATGATGCGTTAGATCATTAATTTGAATGGGTGTAATACTGTCATATGACATTTCATGAATATTTATGTTTTTTTTCATATTTATTTATTCATTTATTTATGACATTATTGAAAAATATACAAGTATGGTACTGCTGCCTAGCACCAATGGCATTATAGGCTAACCTTATTGGAAAAATTACATTATTGAATACTTGAAATGTCTTGATAGATTTTGATATTTTTATGTTAATATGGTTCCAAAGACTTGTTTTCTTTCAAGTTGAAAATCCTGAATGTTATTAATCTTATGGAACTGTTTTCATGATGTAAGATCAAGATTGAAAGTAGATCTCTGATGAAGAATTCAGGTGGATGTAATGAAGGGTTGAGCTTAGCAGTTTGAGTGGAATACCCATTGCTTGAATAAAATACGATTGATCTAAAATGCTTGAATCATAAAAATAAAATTATGATATTTTTCTAGCTGCTGTGGGTTGTCGGGATAGTGAGTTCCAATGTGCCAGTGGTGACTGTATCGATAAACGACGTCGCTGTGACCAAAGATCAGATTGCCCTGATGGTTCAGATGAAGAAGACTGTCGTAAGTGACTATGTTATTCTATATTCTCACTAATAAAGCACTGCAATCAGAATGAAATGATTTTCTGTTTTCAAAGCTAAATGCAATTATTAGACAACAGAAAATTGTAGTTAATTTTGATATTCGCAATACCTTGTCATGCTAAAATGATGTCAGTGTTTATGTCACCACCACAAGTGGTGACATATTGTTGTGGTCTCCAACTTTTTGTGTTGAATGTCCAGCGTTTAGTGGTTGATGTTCAGCTATAATTGGTTGGTGCTTGGCAGTTGGTGTCTGTATCAAATGGCAGGTTGTGACATTTTGCATGGTAATGCCTTGTCTTACATTATTTTAATAATGATGAGCCATGCTTTTGTATATTGATTACACATAGCAGCATGTGTCTTAGAAGCTCACAATTGACAGATTTATTATATCATTGGAATGTTTCTCACTATCTCTCAAGATATTTAAAAGGATGATTGTATATTCCCCTGTCACCTGCAGTCTCCATCTACAGCCTTATTTTATTGTATATATACCACAGAGTGTATACCACAGTTGAGAAAGGCATATACTACCAAGATTATGTTCTGCAGCTTCATAACTTGACAACATAACTTGAATCTTGAATGGGCAGAGAAAAATGTCATAAACAAAAAACTTCAAGATTTTTATTCAGAACTATTAAATGTAGATTTAAAGGCATACACTTGTTTTGTACATTTTCTAAGTAAGTGGGAAACATTCCTTTAATATGCAATAAACCATATATTCCATCATATTTTCAGTGAATACGTATTCACCTTTCCATCCATATATTTCCCTTGTCCTAAGGGCTGTGTCAATTATAAAGAGGAAAAGATGAAAACGTATTCACCTTAATAGAATGGAATATTTTGTATGTATTCAAGTCCATATATAGGTTGAAGGAGAGCAAACTGAAATACCTGATGCATGTTCACTGTATTGTTTATTCACTTGCATTAGATCACCTCAAGTTCTTAATTCCATGTCACTCTCATATATGTATATGAATATGATAAGTATTGCTTACCCTCAGTTATGTTATATGAGAGATATGGGTATTTTATATGCTGTATCAAAACTGCACACTAGTTTAGATTTTATTACCTCTAGCCCTTCAATGCCGTGCTGGAGAGTTCAAGTGTGCCGATGAGAGTCGATGTATTGATGCACGTCTTAAATGTAACAACAGAGCTGACTGTGCAGATGGTAGCGATGAAGTCGGTTGTGGTACGTAGGCAACTGGTCTAAGATTATGTGTGTATGATTTCGTGAGAATTGTTTCCTAATCTAATGTTACTATTTTGTATATATGATTACACAAATGACTCTTACTTTGGAATTAAAGGGTCTTACTTTCAGTAGATGACATTTAAATAGATAATCCATTTTTCACACATAAATTAAATTGATAATCCAAAAATGAACATTTATTTAATAAGACCCTTTAAACCTTAAGGCAATATTGTCATTTATTAGGCTAAACTGTAATGTTATGTTTTGCAACGAACAGACCTATTGACCTTAGAATGTATGGATTAGAAATGTGTTGTAATATGCAAGTTCGTCTTCAAACGTTTTTGTATCTTACGTCTTTTAAAGGCGCTTCATTGATCGATATGATTTGAAAGCAAATATTTTGTAAATGGGCAAAATTTGGTTTCAAATAGCTCACTCAGCTGATAGTGTTAATAAATCTGCGCAAAACATTGGTAATAGCAAAGCATTTGAAAGCATTTGTAATGATATGCGTAACACTCTTTTAGGCGACTTCATGTATTTGTTTAATCTCTCAAGAGTTGATCAAGTTGAATAATTGAAGCATGGTTTGCACTTTGATGGTGGTTAGTGTAGGGGAGGAACAAGGTGGATGTACTTATTTGAGGGGAATAAGTAAATACATGAATGTTTCCTCAACAAGAGGTACAAAATGCAGCGTGAATGTGCGATGCTCATAGCAACCAAAGAATGCAGCGCAATGAAGCATAGCAACAGATTGCAGCTGTTGTATACCCTAGAATGTTGTAGTAGCATAGCTTTCTATGTTTTTGTTCTCAGTAAAACCAGCGTGTACCAGTGACCAATGGCAGTGCAAGAATGGAGATTGCATTAGTGTACTTCAACGTTGTAATCGTCAATATGACTGTACAGATGGAACCGATGAATTTGACTGTCGTAAGTTGTTAATTTTAAAGGATCAATGAGACTATGCCTTCCGTATAGTAATTTATGCACTGTATCATTTACATTTCATTGCACTTGTCATGTTTGTTGTTATTGCATGGTATGAGAGGTTTAGCTCACTGCCTTCATCTAAGCACCCTGTCTATGCATATCCTGCATGCCATTATTTGCAAGCAGTTCAGTGTCTGAAACGAAATAAAATGTAAGCATGTAGAATCAAGTTGAATTTGCTCTATTATGTTCCTTCTTCTTGAATAATGAGGCATTATGTAGACTTACATTCAAGGAGTGGTTGCATTATAAAATCTCGTCCACTTGAATGCTTGTTTGCAACTTTTAGCAAGTTACATGTGCTGCATTTTACGCATCTAAGGAAAGACATTTTTAGTAAAATGGACTTCATAAACTGCTTGAAAATATGGTCTTACATGTTTCAATAGTTTGATGGCTTGTAAAATAACAATTCATTTTCTCTAAACCTTTCCCATACACTCCTTACTGTTCATATCTCCAAGACTATAGTTGTTTTTGTTGATGTTTTTAGTTAAATCTACACTGTTCAGTTATTACTGCATGTTATTTCATTCATTCAACAATATCATTTATTCAAGTTCATTACGTAGGATCTCTATCCATTGACCTCCCAATGCTTAGACATTTCAGTAGCATGATTTATGTTTCTCATTTAATTCACTGATTCACAATTAAGTAGTATTTTTGTTTGTTAGTACTTTTAGTGCATCTTTCATTTTATTTATTCATTTTTATTAGTTATTATGTTTTCAATAAATTTATAAAATAAGTTAATACATAGCAGCACATCCACTCCAATAGTTCCCTTCTAAGGAAAAGTGATAAATGATAATGTTATTTTACTATCCAACACTCTATGTTAAACCAACATTTAGTTCACCTGAATTTCATTTCACTTGGACAAATTACGCAATGTATCCCCAAAGTGGAATACTTCCAGTAGACCACCTGGACTATTGGTAAATGTACCTTTTGATATAGGATTCTTTTTCTCATGATGCTTCAACATTGAATGATTGAATCTTACAAAAATTAAAAGAGTTCTCAGAGGAATCATATTATTGTATCATAGAATAATGATATAATGTCAAAAAGATACAAGTGGAGTGATATTCAAGGGAAAGTTACCCTTATAGTTTCCCAATAATAGTTCCTATATAGTACTAAATACTAATACATAGAAATATAAATGATCTCTTGATGTGATTTTTCATACAATAATAATTGATTAAGTAATTATAATAATTTCTTGATGATTTAAATTATCTGGAAGTCGAGCTTGTAGAATTTCCCCTCATCATTCATTCATTCATATACTTGTACCTTTAGATTCACCACTCAGCATTTATGATCTCATATGTAGTTGTATGCATACATTTTTCATCAGCGAATTGACCTGATCTTGAGATGTACTTTTTCATTCAAATTCTATTTTGTAAAAATATATAAGGAATAAACAGTATCCTGAGCTCAATCACGATTTAAATTGTCATGTAAAGTTATTGGAAACAAGTATTAAACAGAAAACGTTGAGTATTAGAACAAATATGTTGAGTATAAATTGTCCAAGTTTGACTTTCATACTGTAATGATCTCCCTGATGATTTTTCACAAAGGCAAAAAATGATCTTTCATATTTCATATAGGAATTACAATATTATTTATGTAACTTACAAATGCCACATTTGGCTCATTTTTAGTGCTTTGGTTTGCTTTTCCATATTCACATCTGACCTAACATGGGTTTTTCATTGTCAAATGGATGTTTCATTCTCAGTCTAGCTCACAGTCCCAAAGAAAACATGGCTAGTTATGTAATTGGTTAATCTAAATGAATACAAAGATCAGCTTATATTGGGATTTATTTGGGGCTTTGTGATATGCTGTGTTGTGTTTAAAACTGGGGAGATCATACAGTCCTGTGATTAATCTATCTGGTGTCTATGCTGCAGAGGCATGTGAACTGTAAGTACTAGAACTAACCAAACCATTGTAGGCTAGCTCATGATTTCCTCAGGTTTTCAAATCTCTATGTTCATGATAGCTATCCTCTTAATTTTCGTATCTTACAAATCTTAGCTGTCTCTCTCTACTACAAACTCATGAATCCTTTTAGGTGTTCATTCGCCTTTTTGGTATACTCTTAGAATACTTTAAGTTCTATTAATTAACTACTACTACATGATTATTGTTCAACAATTCTATATTATCGTTCGTTTCTGGAAATCATGAGAACTGCAATGGAAGTTAGTTGCTTACTTAAGTAGGAAACCTAGCGGCTCTCCCTCTAAACCCTGGGAACTACCTCATTACCAATCAACATTCGTAAAGAAATAAGATCAAAATACTTTGAGAAATAAGATCAAAATACTTTGAGAAATAAATGAAAAATAGTCCAAAGTAATCCAACCTGAAACTGATAAAATAAGTTAAAAGACAACCAGACCATCCATGCTGAATATGATGTCCATTTGCAATCTGCCCCAGCTCTCCAAAAACCCATCTCCCCAAATTTGCCGCTAGGTTTCATAGCTGGTCCCTGCCTGTTATTGTGTGATGTGAGAGAATGTCCCATGTGACTTGTAGCCTCAGTAATATGTCGCCTGGACCAATTTCGGTGCCACAATGGCCTCTGCATTGATATACGGCGTCGGTGTGACGGCCGTCGAGATTGTAATGATGAGCGGAATTCTGACGAAGAGGGTTGTAGTAAGTCTGTATATGTACTAGTCGTAGATGTAGATATTCTGTCACTTGCATTGTACTATTGGAACTTTTGAGACATTTGGTAGAGCCTTAGTTACTGAATTGTTGATTTTTTTCAAGCTTTTATATTTTCAGAAAAAAGTTCCAATATCAAAGGTATTACAAATTATGTTTTGGATGAAAAGGTGCAGAATGTCAAAATTACAGACATTATTCATTTAAGGATTCATTCATTGAAATATTTACATGATTTAGAAAGGGGAAATGATCATCAGTTTTTTCTATGGTACATTGATCTTTTTGGGGTATCGATTTAGTAGTTTGTGCCTAAACTCACATTTGCACAAGGGATGCGGCTGTTCCAATGTACATTGTTTGTGCCCTATATTGTAGTAGGTATATTACTGTATATGCAATCTCTACTTTCGTCTCTTTGTATTTGTCATGATTCTTCCTTGCCACTTGTATTGTCTTGTCTTATGTGTGTATCTTATCTGTTCTGAATGCTTTCTCCCACTGAAACATCTAATTAAAGTAAGTAATACATATAAGTAAATATAGAATATAGCACTTAATTGAGTTGTCATAATTTAATAATAAGGCTATTTGATCTAATATTTCAAAACATTGTTATTACTAAGTAGTTTTCATTGTGGCTTTTAATCATTATCATTACGCACACTAATTGTGCCTCATTTGCCATAACTTCCCTCGGGACATTTCTTAAAATTAAATGGTTCACAGAATGATTGAAACTTATTTAACTTCTAAAACTGCTTCTCACGTAGAAATGAAATCATGAATGCATGTTCAGCTATTTCATCATTGAAATATTCATATATAATGTACAGTATGCTTGAACTGACTTTCAAAACTATCCTCCTTTATCTTATGGTGAGATATCATAGTATTTATCACTGCAGGATAAAACTCTATTTTATTGCAGTATAATTATGGAGGTAGATTTGAAAATCATGAAATACAAGTATTACGAGTAATGTACTGATTTTGGCCTAAATTTAGATGCCTCTTCGATATGTGCCCTGTATAAAATTATCAGATTTCTGAATTTGGTACAGAAAAAAATGTTTTCGGGAATCTGATTTTTTACAGTGACACAGATTTGAAGGTCACCTACTCTGCACTTAATTTAGGATCACTTTCTCACTGTGCATCATTCGAATAATATTATACATTGATTTGCCATTCACGCTTTCCTTGGTTATTTCCATAAATAGCACGCTGTGTAAGCGGTCAGTTTAGATGTGAGACTGGAGGTCAGTGTGTCGATGCCGGACTGCAGTGTGATGGACGACCTGATTGCAAAGACAAATCTGATGAAAAGGATTGCCGTAAGTCATTTTAGTTTTACTATCATATGTAGATTTTTATTACTGGTACTTATTGTGTTCAGCAATACATATGGAATGTGTTGAAATAAGAGATTTGATTTGTTTCAAGTCTATGCTATAGTGTAGATGAATATGACAGAGGAATTCCTTTGCTAGTTGTCACACAACCAAATTTTTCTGAGCCCCAGTTGATCGGCTTTAACATTACTCCCTGACAAAAAACTTGAAATAAAAAACGAACACTACATGATGCATACAATAAAAGAACTTCTTCAAACAAAAATGTGGATAATTTATGTTTTATTTACAATTTCAAATTAATAGTAACATAACATTTTCTTTGGCTTCAGCATCAGGGGATTGTACCCCAGACCAATTCCGCTGCGACAATGGCCAGTGTATTGATGGCAGGAGGAAGTGCGATAGACGAGATGATTGCCGTGATGGCTCAGATGAAAATGACGCCACATGTCGTAAGTCAATCTTGAATCTCTGCAACCTATTAACAAGTATTAATTTCCTCAGTATTGTATTTGTTGCTGCTTATTTCCAAAACATACTATTCAAATATTTTGTTCTTTTGACAATAGAATGAAATATTTGTTTTATTATTCACTGTTGTGTTTCTTATTCTGTAACCATGGAAAAGGGAGGGATTCATTATAGAGAAGGAATATTAAAAACAGGTTGAATGGAATATTTGCTCTTTAAAACGAGGCTCACTTTTCTGCCAATGAACAGCAAGGATTACAGGGAAATATCGCAAGATATCTTTTGTATCATATGATCCCTGTTCAACAAATCACAGAATGAGAACTATGACAGTGAGATGATAATAATAATTGTTGTTTTCTGCTTTTTGAAAAACCCTATTTTTTAATAAACCTGATTTTTGTTTTTAAATGCAAAGTGGTTAGGGGCTGGAGCACTCAAGAATGCATGGGTACATGCTATCTAGTTGCATTGGTGGACTTGAGAACTTGATTGTTTTCTATTTAAAGCATTTCACAGTTAAAAACCTTCCAGGATATTAATCTTTAGATACTTTTGACATCACGTCTCAGTGTTTTATTTAATACACATGTGTTTGACCATTGGTCCAAACGCTGTTAGAGATGATATTTACAAAATTATTGTTTTCTGAAATTGAAATAATGAAGGTAGCTCAAGATTAATGATGGTTAACAGCAATCACCTATGACACTATAATTGACCTGACTTGAAATTCTTATACAATTTTTTTTATGATTGTGTCAGTACCTGTTTTGGGGGTGACTTTGATGCCAGGGCCATGCATTGCGCGATTGTTCACTCGGTCCCAACCAGTTATCTTCAATTCTTCAAATGCAGTGTCACACTATGCAATCCAAAGGTCTCCTCCCAAAATCCCAAAATGAGTTGTGCCTGTATTTAAAGACTGCTTGTCTATGAATAAGATACTTGGTTGGGAAGGAGTGAATAATTTTGATTAACATTGAAATCTATGATGTTTAATGATTCAGGTTTTGTTCAGTATCAAAACGAGGAATCATATGACAAAATAGATTCATGCTCCTTGCGTTTGCGCTTATGAATACCCTGTTAACTTCCCATATTGTAGCCCCTCGTGAATGCACTGCTTATGAATTCCGCTGCTCAGATGGTGATTGTATAGATAACAGAAGGAAATGTGACCAGTATGAGGACTGTAGAGATGGATCAGATGAGTCAGCAAGTGCATGTTGTAAGTGTATATGTGGTCAATATGACTCAGTTTTCTCTGATCACTGGTAAAGCCACATACAATGGCTTTAATGACTACTATACAGAAATGACCATTGGATGAACATGTGTATCCCATGTAGATAACACATGGGAATATATGATGTATCTAGGGAGTGGAATTTATATATCCTGCTACAGCAGAGGCATTTTTCATTTGTCAATCCTGTCCCACTTCATAACAGTTTTAAAAATAGATTTTTATCTCAGTTTTAAAACTGAACATGAATTTTTTCATTTTTACTCAAAAGTGTTATCTGAAATATTCCATTTTCAAAAACTAGAATTAAGCTTTTTAACATTTTTTAAAAAACCTTATAATAGGTAGAATGGAGGTATAGGATATGTTTATTATGTATGCTTGGATTTGGATGCAGGGTTTATCCCTTGGGAAATATGTGTATCTTTCTCAGTCCCTGTGGCCCATAGGGAGATACAGATATTTCCCATGTATGAACCCTGTATATTTAAAATGCTAAACAACCCTTATATACTGATACTGTATTTAGTCATTTTTGTTTTGGAACATATTTCCTGGATTTCCAATATTGTCTTTATCACAGTGCTTTATTAGTAGTTCAAAATAGAATCATTCTTCATTGTACTCCAAAAAAGAACTTAAAGTACATGAACAATACATATATTTATATTGCTAATATTATTCAGCATTGTATCTGGTTCGACATAAATGGGATGAACATTAAATATTGCATTTATCATTTGGGCAAAATGGCTGAGAGGTTTTGAAAAATTCAATATTAAAATGTTTGAGCAGTTGACATATTGCATGTTTTTAACAAACAATGTGAATATTAGCAATACAAATATTTGGAACAATAGAATATCACTTCATCAGCTCCCTGCATGTGCGCTTACAATGTTTCCCACATTTTAGCTGCAGTAGAGTGCACTGCTTTTGAGTTCACATGTGCCAATGGCGACTGCATTGATGCAAGGAGAAAGTGCGATAGCCGCGAGGACTGTTCCGATGGTTCAGATGAATCTGAAGCTACTTGTCGTGAGTACACTTTGAATTCTTCATGCATGTTTCCTTTCATTGCTTGTGATGGTTATTATTTGTTGTCTACACTAAATAAGAACATAGGTGAATGATAAGTAGAATAGGTTTCACTTGTACTTGTCAAAGAGTGACTTAGTTTTAGTGATCAAAGTTATCAGACTTAGCACATATAGTTATTTGCTTGGAGCAGTGATGGGCATTGACTGTTCAAGACAATTATTAAATCCTTGAATAAACTATCTTCTTAATGTAATTTTTGACAAGTATGAGTTATAACATTTAACCATGATATGATATACCTTATCTGTCTTTATATAAAGGGCATTTCAGGGAAAGCTGTTATTGAAAATCTCAGTGCCTGCATGTTCAAATGAATCTTGTATTCAGTTGCCAGTTTTGAAGCTTTCATTTCATCCATTTTTTGATTTGGTATTTACTGTAAGTAGTCTCAGGTGGCATGCTCTAAGACCTGTGCTCCCCTTATTGTAGTTACAGTTGCATGCACTGATAATGAGTTCAAATGTGGTAATGGTGACTGCATTGATGTAAGGAGAAAGTGTGATGGCCGTGAGGACTGTTCTGATGGTTCAGATGAATTTGAAGCTACTTGTCGTAAGTTTTTCCAAGAATTTTTAAAATTTTTAATTTTTGTTATGGATGCATGCTCTTTTGGCATAGTTGTAGTCAATCACATGTAGTATAGATCGCTTTATTTAGTTTAAGTTTAGTATAGTATAAACCAATGCTTAGCAATAGTTTATTTCCCTTTTATCTGATGGTGACTGTTGCCCATTTAGTTATTTAATATTTCCAAATCAGCCAGCAAAACTTCAAATGATGTGACAGCATCAAATAGGATCTGAATTATCTTAGATTTTATCAAAAATGTTCAATAAAAGATTTTGTCAGGATTGCTTACTAGAACTGATACAAACTTTAAATGAAAATGTGGTCACCATCGGATTTTGTCCATTCAGTATTGACACCAACATATTCCGTAGTATAAGTTTCTATGTTTGTAAAGTATTGTCCGTACCTGCTAATTTGACAAAGAGAAAAATATATTACACAATCATCTTCTATTATTTTATTTTTTATCTTTTGACCCTGTTTTTTGTCAAAACATATATTGTTTAAATCTCTTTGTCAGATTCATAAGCTTTTCCTTTATGCTTTCTTTTTGCAAACACTGATGTCACATCAATGACAAAAAAATTATATGTTGACTTTAGTATTTTGATCACATAGTCATTGATCTGGAATCAATATTTTATGCTGCATGATATTTTAGCAACACCGGTAGAGTCAGAGTGTAGTTCTAGTGAGTTTCAATGTGAAAACAAACAGTGTGTCGATATAGCTAAGAAATGTGATCGTTTTGTTGACTGTAGTGACGGTTCAGACGAAACTGGAGCAGACTGTCGTAAGTATACTTTTCATTTATACTTTATATTTAGGTATTTTATTGAACAATTGTTCAATAAAAATTGCACAACTGTCACAACAGTGAAGTGCAATTCGTCACGGGATATGTTCCAAGATGGACCACAACCTAATAAGCAATGCTTTATTGATACTAGACTGATACATCCAATACACATACATACATACATACCACATGCATACATACAACCGCAAACAATTGAAGGTCAGTTTAGGTCTAATTCAGAATTTTCTCCAACACAATACTACACCTCATTTAAACTAAGTTATCTGTCAACAACTCCTCAAGAAGATATTTCAAAAACAAGTTTAACCATTTTAAATTTCATTATAACATTACATAATACAAGAAGAACTTCGTGGAATATTTGACACGTACACCAATATAATGTGTGGTTTTGGTTGTTTTTACAATATTTGAGATATAATATTTTAGCACCTATTGTTTGTGCTGTTGGTGAATTCCGCTGTAATGATGGGGAGTGTATAGATGGTAGTTATAAATGTGATGGTATAGAATACTGTCTCGATGGCTCAGATGAATTGGAAGAAAATTGTCGTAAGTTTTATTCGACTCTTAATACTGATTGGTTGTTACAAATATAACATATTACCCAATTGATTATTAAGAAAAACCATGGAAGTGAACATCGATTTGTTTTATTGATATTTATACTCACATTCTGAAGAACATATCATTCGGTTTTAAAGCTTGTACTGGTGATTCTGATTTCCGTTGTGATAATGGAGAATGTATAAACATCGCTAAGAAGTGCAATGATAATGTGGATTGTAGCGATGGTTCTGATGAATCAGCCGAAACTTGTAGTAAGTCAGGAATTACAAAATGAAATACATACATTACATTGAGTGATTTAGAATTAAGAAAATGCACATCCAAAGAAGTACATATTCCTTATATATTTTAAAATTCCTTTATAAGTAGGTTGGATTTTAATTCACCTGTTTTAGATTTAGAGCGTAAGGATTCATTAAGGTTAAATATTCAATATCTAAGTCAGAAACATGAACATTTTAGACATAGCTGCGTGTGTAGAAGATGAGTTTCGTTGCAATAATGGGGAATGTATTAATGTTGATTATAAATGTGACCGTCTAGAGGACTGCAGAGATGGTTCTGATGAATGGGAGTCAAATTGTAGTAAGTTAGAGTTATTTTAGCATCAGTGGTAGAAGACAGATCTATTGTTTGAATGTGCTTATAATTATGTTAGTCAGGTTTTTAAAAGTTTCATCGCACCTATGAAAAATCGTAAACCTCAACTTTAGAAAGAGTTCTTCATAAACCAGAGCTTTAGAAACACAGACATGCAGCTTACAACATTACATTTTTAATACTAGTCCAGACTTGACAAATTAGTCAAGGATATACCCTCATTATTTTCTTTCTTGATATCACATTTAGTGTGCACTGAGACTCAGTTTCAATGTGAAAATGGGGAGTGCATTGAACTTAGTTGGAGATGTGATAAGGCAAAGGATTGTCAAGATGGATCAGATGAAGCACCAGAAATTTGTGAACAACGTAAGTTGTTAACTCTAATATTTACACTGATTCATCTCTTAACTCATTTGGATTCAACAGCCATTCGGCCAACTTGATCCTGTTGTTTTTGTATTAGTCACTTCTGTTATTATAATAACATGACACTTATTGAGTGGTGTCTCGTCTCCATTTACCAGCTGAAACCCCTCCTGAATGTGCTATAATGAATTGGAATGATATTGTAGCACCCACCACTGATTGTACTGATATTGAGTTCACTTGTGGCAATGGGGCTTGTGTTGATGTTCTCAGAAAGTGTGACGGCAATGATGATTGTGGGGATGGGTCTGATGAAGCAAAAGATTTGTGTCGTAAGTCCCCTGTAGTGCAATTCTTGCTATCTTGTCGCCATGCATTTCATTCACTGAATCATCCATTTTTAAATGAACTAGATTGCAATCCTTTGGTATACAATTTGAGGTTGATTTATGTAACATTAGGGCTAGTATAAAACGTTTGTGAAGGGTTGACAAAACACCCTTAAAATACTCATTTATTTCAATCTTTTAGCCCCAATTACGTGTCCTGTTAATACCTTTACATGTGACAATGGCAAGTGTATTGATGCTAAAGTGAAATGTGATGGTAATGATGATTGCTCTGATGGTTCAGATGAATCTGAAACAACATGTCGTAAGTTTGTTGACCACAATCTGTTAGTATTAAACATTATTCTTTATGTTAAATTGAACAAATAATTATTATAATCATAAAGGGATATCAATTTGGATTTTCACTTTCTAGCCCCAGTTGAATGTACTGATAATGATTTCCGATGTTTTGATGGGAATTGTGTTGATTTGACTAAGAAATGTGATGGAACAGAAGATTGCAAAGATGGCTCAGATGAATATGATATTATCTGTCGTAAGTTTACCATATAAACAGTACTCAAAAATACAAGTACAAACATGAATTGAAGAACATTAACATCAAAACAGTTTTAATCCATAAAGACTAAGGTAAAAACCAGATCCATATGGTACACAAATCTTAATATCAATCTGCAATATAGAACATACATATATTGTTCAAACTATGATGGGTAACGTGAGAATGGCGCAACTAAAGTTATTCTAAAGAAGATATTCATTTAATTTGTTAAATACTTCCTACTGTAGCAACAAACAAATGTGGCAATGAAATGTTTACATGTGATGATGGTGGATGTATTGAGTTAGCATGGAAATGTGATGGTTCTCCCGATTGTAAAGATGCTTCAGATGAATCTGATGTAACTTGTCGTAAGTAATTAACATACACATTCTCCGCTTTATTCAAGAACTTCACAATTTAAAGCTTTAATTTTACACATTGTCAAACGGTTTTTAAGAAGAATTACATGTAGAATCCCTACATCAGGATGCGTGGAGCAGAAGTTGATTAATGAACTTTAATCCACATTATAGCTCCCGTTGAATGTACTGACAAGCAGTTCAGGTGTGATGATGGGGATTGTATTAATATTGAATGGTTGTGTGATGGGGTTAAGGAATGTTTTGATGGCTCTGATGAATCTGAGGCAAATTGTCGTAAGTTTAGAGCATATTAGAATAACATTGACACAACTCATCAAATTGATAAGTCATAGCCGAATCAGAAACTCATATCCCATTGAAGGAAATCTCATTGAAACCATTAATTCAGTGAAGTATAATCTAGGCGATTCAAAAAATTGAATGATGAATTAGGTAACAGATAAAACTTTTTATAACACAGACATTAGAAAACATCAAAGAAACAATGTCATGTTGTTATTTTAAAACCTTTGTAATTTCCCTAGCCCTTCAAAATTGCACAAGTAAACAGTTCGAGTGTGGAGATGGTAGCTGTATAGACATAAGTTGGAAATGTGATCAAGCTGTAGATTGTCCAGATGGCTCAGATGAATCTCTGACTTCTTGTTGTGAGTTGCATAATAAATAAATATATTTGGCATATTTGAATTGAATATATAATATAGTCATATAGTTACCATAGGTTGCTGGCCTATCTAAATGTGAAACCATATAGGGCATCATTGTATGAAAAGATTACACAATGAAATCAAGCCATAAGGCCTGCTCTCAACATTATTACATGATAACCAATGCAAAAATCACAACTATATGACAAAACATATCGTCATTCCAAAATCCAAAAATCCCCCAAAATATGTATACAACTACATGCCACGTGTTTTAGTGAGAGGGACTTGCACAGATAAACAGTTTAGATGTGAGACAGGGGAGTGCATTAACATTGCATTGAAATGTGATGGAGGAAAGGATTGTACTGATGGTTCAGATGAATCTGAAAAAACTTGTCGTGAGTCCCCTTATTATTCCAATAACCAATTTAAACATCTGAATTAAAAATTAACATAAATACCAGCCCTCTACATGTTTATATATGACCTGTATTAAAGTATAGGATTCCAATCCGACAATGAATTTAGATAACCCTGTATACATTATTACTCCATGGTATTGTTTCTATTTGTTCATAATAAACCCTTAGACCTTTTTTTATCAATCCCTGATACACATTTTGAGCATTCTTGTGCAATCTATTTGGCTTCATATTCTAGCTTTATTGGAATGCACTGAGAAAGAGTTTCGCTGTGGCACTGGAAAGTGTATTAGTATTGAACGTAAATGTGATGGTTGGAGTGATTGTAAAGATGGATCAGATGAAGCAAAGGCAACATGCTGTAAGTTATCATCTGGTTTTGGATTAAGGATTTAAATCTTTAAATGATAAAATTGACAGTTCTTTTAGTTTTGATTCATTCAAAACCTTTGGTCCCATCAATCACTTATCATCATTACTTATCATTGTGATTTATGGTGCTCCCACATTTTAGCGCCGAAAGTTTGTGGAAGCAACACATTTACTTGTTCTAACGGTGACTGCATAGATATCGAGAAGAAATGTGATGGTACGAATGATTGTACTGATGGATCAGATGAATCTGAAGAATGTAGTAAGTTCAGTTATGCTATAGATCCAAAACTGTCAGAAGATGTCTGATATTATGTTTAAAAAAAGATTTACTCAATTTTAAAAATTATCCACAATTGTCTTTCATAATGAGATATTGTGGCATTGTCAATCATGGATATGGGATGAATATGATTCCCGTGGAGTAGGAATTTATTCTCTATTTTCTCTCTGATTTTGCTGCATCTATTTGATATTGCAGCTCCTGTAACATGCGATGTGAGTGAATTCAGATGTGCTAATGGTGAATGCATAAAACTTGCATTAACCTGTGATAATTCCAAAGATTGTAGTGATGGCTCAGATGAATCTGAAATGACATGTCGTAAGTCATTCAGTTCTATCAAACCATATTCCTTCATTCATGAGCTCAATCAAGTGTCCATACTACATGTTTCTTTACAAACTTTTTTTAATAAGAAGTTCCATTGAACACCCAATTCAGAGATGAACAAACGTAATGGAGTATTTCATGTCATTATGTCATTTGGAGTTTCATTTGTCTCAACAAAATGAAATCCTGTTAAAAGCTTTGAAACATGCTTGATGTTGTGTCACATGCTTAAACATGGTACAATTTGATATTTTAGTGTCAAGTTGTAGCTCTACAGAGTTCACATGTGATAATGGTGACTGTATTGATAATAAAAAGAAGTGTGATGATGTAAAAGACTGTAGTGATGGGTCGGATGAATTAGAAACTATATGTCGTAAGTCTTTGCATAATCTTGATCTATTTAAAGCCTAAGTCATAAGATGATCAAAGCCAGATAAGATATTCACTCTACTCATGTGTGCCAAATAGCTGCTGCATTGGACAGGTGCATCTGTACTGTACAATGTATGCCCTAATGTTTAATGTAACTATGATTGTCATTACTAAAATCTCAGGCACCAGTGTTCCAGAGACTGGACATGATACATCTGGTTTGATTTATCCGACTATATCCAATATAAAGAGTATAAATAGAGAGGCACTAGATTGGATATGAATGGACCTTTGTACCTAATATTCAACTGGTGTTATATTGTAGCAGTGACATCTATGTGTGGCCCCACTGAGTTCCAATGTGATGATGGTTCACTTTGCATTGACAGTAGATTTAAGTGTGATCTTTATTCTGATTGTTATGATGGATCAGATGAATCAGTTATTACCTGCCGTAAGTTCTTTTTATGAGAGAATGATTTCTCACAATCAAACATATTTTGAAATACATGTGAAGCGTGAACAAATGTGTATTGATTTTCATGAAATTCCTAATTCTATAAAATGAATTGAATTGGATTGATACCTTAGTTTCGGTCTGTTTGCTGTTAACGTAATGATTGGAACATTGAACATTGTAGCTCCTCGTAATTGTACTTTCTTTGAGTTTCGCTGCGATGATGGCAAATGTATAGACAAGAGAAGGAAATGTGATCGTTATGTAGATTGTCAAGATGGTTCAGATGAACTACAAGCCAACTGTCGTAAGTCTCTTAAGCTCCAGACAATTACATATATTACAAAACTGGCATTATAATAATATCACAATAACATTGAATAGTGCATTCAGTAAAACTGCTTCATTCTAAAAGGTACAAGCAGTCGTATTGTTAAACTAATCAAAATGTTCTGTGTTTTACTGCATACCTCAACCATTATATTATAGAAACTGCCCGCAACTGCAGTTGGTATGAGTTTCGATGTGACAATGGAAATTGTATAGACAATAGAAGGAAATGTGACAAGTATAAGGATTGCACAGATGGTTCAGATGAATCTCCATCTACATGTTGTAAGCTTTAATCATATATACTGAGCAGGCCAGAGAAAGCCAGAGAAAACTAACATATAGCATAACTAGGGAAAATTTGAAGAACTTGGTAGTCTAATAAAAATCAGAAACTGGATTATTCACAAAACATGGAAAACAAGAAGCAAAAGTGATAATGTTGAGAATATCGTATTATTTGAAAAATAAATATTGTTTTTTATTTTTTCACATGGATATTTCAGCCCCAAAAACTGTAGAATGCTCTGCTGATCAGTTTACATGTAGCAATGGAGAGTGTATTGATGGTATTAAGAAATGTGATAGTAATGATGACTGTAGTGATGGCTCAGATGAGTCCGAAATAACTTGTCGTAAGTTTTCAACAATTTGAACATCTGGAGATAAAAATCGCCATGTTTTGAAGTCTATTGTAATATTTACATATTCAGAACCAATATCAATTCCATTTCTTTTTGCTTTTATTGGTTATTCTCAACAATAATTTTAGCGAGTACTTTGGAAAAATGCACTGCTGTTCAGTTTGAATGTGATAATGGTCAGTGTGTTGGTCTCAACAAGAAATGTGATGGTCGAAAAGACTGCAGCGATGGTTCAGATGAACTAGAAACCTATTGTAGTAAGTTTTTTCTGTAAACCCTCATCATGTTCTCCTTTGAAAATTTCATTACATCACTGCAAAATACATTGTCTTAAAGACATAATCTGTTGACCCATTCAAAATATGTATTTCATATTTCACATCATTTTGTTTAGTGTCCTCTGGCTGTAGTGCTGATATGTTTCACTGTGATGATGGTGAATGTATAGATTTACAGTTTAAATGTAATGGTGAGGAAAACTGTATGGATGGCTCAGATGAAGCAAATACAATATGTCGTAAGTTTGGTTTGTGTTAAGAACTATAATACTAGATAGTAATAGTCGCCTTAATCAAATCGTATGTTGTTAACATGTGGAATAATATAGTGGTATAATATAGTTCTGTCCCCAATGTTAATAATGACCTTCACCCACTGTTCTTTTTCTCCTTCTTAATCAGATGGAAATATGATACAGAATAGTATATGTATAGGGTGAGAGATAAGTAAATGCAAAAGTGCTCTTTTCTCTTTTCGAACAATCTAATACTTCGGGGAATGCATGTGTGATATACGCGAGTATCTTGGCATTATTAGTGTTTCATATTGTAATTATAGTTTGAAACACCTATACTAAGCTTGTCTCGAGAATGTTTAAGTGTACCACTCAGAAAATTCTTTTTTGAAACATCTTGATCGAGTTGATGTTTATATGATGTATGTAAATATTTAGTAAATATTGTATTACTTTTCCATTGATGACAGCACTTCTCATTTCTTCTTGATCACCCTGTACATGCAGAAATATAGTAACTGTGAGCTATAAAGATGGCTTAATCTCATAACAGATAGAAAACAATGGGATGATTGTCTTTTGAATTGATCCATTCTAGCTAAGAGAGAGTGTACAGAGAATGAGTTCCAGTGTGGGAGTGGGGAGTGCATTAATATATACTTTAAATGTGACCTGTTAAAGGACTGTGTAGATGGATCAGATGAAGATACGGAAACTACTTGCAGTATGTTTCCTCTTATATAAGCACCTCAGCTTTACTTGCCTTAGACTCGGTTCAAAAGAGAATTTTAAAACACTTTAAACTCCATGTTCCATTACCATTGATGAAGCTCTCAGATCATTGTACATATTATAGAATGTAGTGATACACAGTTTCATTATGATAATGGCAAGTGCATTCATATAATGTTTAAATGTGGACTCATTTCAAGAGAGAATATTAAAACACTTTAGACTGTATGTTCCATCACCATTGTATGAAGCAATGATAAGATCATTGTACATTTTATAGAATGTAGTGATACACAGTTTCGTTGTGACAATGGGGAGTGCATACACATAATGTTTAAATGTGATATGACCATAGAATGTATGGATGGGTCTGATGAAGCTGTTTCAACATGCTGTAAGTTTTCATGGTCAATTCCTTTGGTAATGGGGTATTTCTACAGCATGCATTTGCAGGATATGGAAACTGAGACTCATTCTATCCGATCGGATATATTGTCCTCCTTCATTAAATAACAATTAATGTCAATATATTTTCATTTTTTAGTCAATACTCATTGAATTCTGAATTCTTTTTCTGTTAATCAAATATTATTCGAGATGATACCAATCATTATATGAAGTATATTTGATGACTTTCTTGCATAGGGCAGATCTGGTTCTTTGTCTTTGGGTCCAGTTTGCAACAAAGTATTTTCATTTTTCCCTCAACAAAGTTATTATCACATATTGTTATCTCATTCCTATTGTTTTTTTTTTAATTTTATGTGTGGAATTGTCGAGTTATTAAGTGAAAATGAATTGGAATATCATATGCAAGATATCATCAAATGTAGTTTTGTTCTTTATACTATTCAGCACCTCATTTCTGTAACATTTCATGTCTCTAACATACTGACTGCCATGTTTTAGCACCCAAGTATTATGTGACAACTGCTTATGTTAAATTAGGATATCCACGTGACTCGTATAATATTGAGTTGGTAATAATTCACAAGAGAGGACAAGGATAAAATATGGCTCCTTACCTAGAGATAATCAGGTATATCAAGATAAATTCCCATTGCATGCTTATCAAAACACATATTCTTAGACACATACTGCAGGACAAGGAAATGCACATATCAACAATGTATATGAAAAACTTTGATAAGGTTTTTATTGAGTAGATATATTAGAAATTGCTCTATTTAAACATTTTAATGGTTGTACCAATAGATATACACTCCTCATCATTATGTAGTTGGTGGATCGTTGTATTAAAATGTCCCATCACCACATTTCAGCTCCAATAACTTGTACTGCTGGTGAATTCACATGTGCTAATGGTGAATGTATAGATGGTAGCTTATCATGTGATGGGAAAGGAGACTGTTCTGATGGTTCTGATGAATCTGAATATATTTGTTGTAAGTTTTGAACACAAATTGGAATTGAATTTGAGATTTTCCTAATATAAGTGTTGTTTTGTTAATATAATACAGTTTTCCCCCTGATTTTGTGTGACATACATATACACATATTTTCAATGGCACGATAACCAATACAAATTCAAATCCTCATAATACTTGGCATCAATGTTTCAGCCACAGCTGTTACATGTACCACTAATGAGTTAACATGTGACAATAGAGTAGAAGGAAAATGTGATGAAACATATAATTGAAGCGAAAAAATCAAATTCTTTAATAAAACATGTTCCCCATGTTGATAACCCTAAATAATTCTTTGTAATATAATGTTCAATACAGTGGTGTTGTTTACTTCATACCATCTGTTGATATGGAATGGTGATTAACTTTTTTTCAATTTTTAATCATTTCAGACAAAACTCTGAATGTCTATCAAAATTAATCTACACACAGATACATATTATTTGTTCTTTTCCATTTTATTCCATCAATTCTGTTTTAGCTTCTGTAACATGCTCCGAAAATCAGTTTACATGTGAAAGTGGAGAGTGCATTGATGTAGAAGATAAATGTAATCAAAAGGAAGACTGTAGCGATGGCTCAGATGAATTAGAGGAAGTTTGTTGTAAGTTTTGATAAAATCTAATAGCATCATGCTTCGTATATAAACATGGAGAATGTGCATCATCGTCATAGCATCACCACACAAACACATGAACATAAAATTATATCACAGTTCACACATACACAATGATACAAAATTCTCAAACTATTTACATATGAATGTTGTAGCTGTAGATGCATGTGGTCCAGAGAAGTTCCGTTGTAATGATGGTGAGTGTATAGATATTGCATTCAAATGTGATGGCCTAGAAGGGGATTGTGCAGATGGTTCTGATGAATCAAAAGCTTTGTGTTGTAAGTTTTTGTATTCACAAAATAATTAAATGAAATTATTCTTTCAGAGAAAAGTTAAGAACTTAAGTGGTTTTTCATTCCCATGATTTTAGCTTTTTCCATTTTTTTCGCTTATAAGCTTATTTTTTGTTTAAAACCTCACATTTCTAGCTGCATGTGATCCCAGTGAGCATCGTTGTGGAGATGGTACATGTATCCCAGGGACAGAAAAGTGCAATGGTATACCCAACTGCATTGATGGATCTGATGAATCTGAATGTTGTAAGTCAAATCCCCTTGGGTGTACCATCTAAATCTGTGTGTGCCTCATTCCTCTCCCAGAAATGACCTGTGTATAATCTCAATGTCTAATGTTAATAATCTAATGTCTACTTAATTACCATGTCTGTTCATGTTAGATCCTAGTTTGGGATGTTAGGATTTGTTTCCTTATGACCAGTTGTATTGTGAAATTCTTGATTTCTATGTGTGTTACCAATACTTTTTGGTCTGTGGTTCCGTAATAAACCTTCAATTAACATAATTTATCTATCCTTATTTTAGCCCCAAATCCTAATGTGTGTACTGACAATCAGTTTAAATGTGACAATGGAGAGTGTATTGATATTAGCCTGAAATGTAATAGAGTTAGTGACTGTACTGATAACTCAGACGAATCTGAGATAACATGCCGTAAGTACTCAGACCACTTGGGCTGATTTTGTGTATGGTTTATTGGGGTTTGGTTCGTTGTCCCTGGAACATCTATATCACTGGTCAAAATCAGATGTGCATTGGATTGGATTTAATATGCGGGTATTTGCAAGATTTTATATTTCAAATGAATATGAACTCCTGATGTTTGTTGTTGATTATTGTGATATCCCCCGATGGCATTGTCTATTTGTCTGTGGTATTCTTATTTGTGTTGTGTTATATGTAGCACCTGGCCTTACTAACTGTACTAGCACACAGTTCCGTTGTGGTGATGGACAGTGCATAGATGCTAGGTTGAAATGTGATGCATACGCTGATTGTAAAGACGGCTCTGATGAAAATGAAACTCTCTGTTGTAAGTTTCAGTTGGCTGTTAAGCATTTTCTGAGTTAAATTAAAAGAAATTATAATCCATTGATCATGTGAACTTAAAAAGTCGTGCATATACATTTGACAAATATGTGTTTGTACTGCTTTTGTAGTGTGTCCCTCAAACATAATTTTACTAAGTATAAGAAAATTTATATATTATGTTTAGCCCCCATCACAAATTCTGTCCCTACAACTCCTGTACCTACAACTCCTGTACCTACAACTCCTGTACCTACAACTCCTATTACAAGTAAGTGTAAGGCTGATTATGAGTTCACATGTTCCAATGGGGAATGCATAGATGTAAGAAGGAAATGTGATAGGTATGCAGATTGTTCCGATGGATCTGATGAAACACCCACTACATGCCGTAAGTCTTATTCAGAGGTTTATTTCAGAGTTAAAATATCTTTAGGCTTCTTCTATTTTAATAATTCTAGTACTGAACATACCATGTTTGCTTTTGCTTGCTTTCCCCAAATGCTTTGATTCTTTATATCTTTAGTAGTTATAGTATACTCTATTTCTTACTGCTGTCATTATACTTGTGATACAGATATATATATATGCATACAAATAATTACATTTTACCAATCACAAATGTAATGAATGTAAAAATCCCTGCATGTTTTGTAATTAGATGTATATAACCTTTTTTAGCACCTCGTAAATGTACTGTTTATGAGTTCGCATGTGATGATGGATATTGCATTGATAATAGACGAGTATGTGATCAGTATAATGATTGCACAGATGGCTCAGATGAAACTGAAGCTGCTTGTTGTAAGTTACATGTAATATTTTGGAATTTTCTGATTTGAAAATTAAAAAAAATATGTTCTAATGATCTTGTGAACTTGAAAAGTTGTGCATATTTTTTATGCTGTCCCCTCAAATATGATTTTGCTAAGTATAGGAAAAATATTTGTATTACATTTAGCCCCCGTTACAACTTCTGTCCTTACAAATCATGTCTCTACAACTCCTGTTGTTACAACTCCTGTCCCTACAACTCGTGTCGTTACAACTCCTGTCCCTAGAACTCCTGTTCCTACAACTCGTGTCCTTACAACTCCTATTCCAAGTAATTGTAAGGCAGATTATGAGTTCACATGTGCCAATGGGGAATGCATAGATGTAAGAAGGAAATGTGACAGGTATACAGATTGTTCCGATGGATCTGATGAAACACCAGCTACATGCCGTAAGTTTTATTCATTTCAGAATAAGATTATTTTTAGGTTCCTTCTATTTTAATAATTCTAGTACTGTACTTACCATGTTTGCTTTTGCTTGCTTTCCCCAAATCCTTTGATTCTTTATATCTTTAGTAGTTAAAGTATACCCTATTTCTTACTGCTGTCATTATACTTGTGATACAGATATATATGTGCATACAAATAATTACATTTTACCAATCACAAATGTAATGAACGGAAAAGATCCCTACATGATTTGTAATTAGATGTGTATAACCATTTTTAGCACCTCGTAAATGTACTGTTTATGAGTTCGCATGTGACGATGGATATTGCATTGATAATAGACGAGTATGTGATCAGTATAATGATTGCACAGATGGCTCAGATGAAACTGAAGCTGCTTGTTGTAAGTTACATGTAATATTTTGGAATTTTCTGAGTTGTCATTTAAAAAATGTATAATCCAATGACCTCTTGAACTTGAAAAGTTGTGCATATTTAATGCAGTGGAAATGCATATTTCCCGCATTTGACAAATATGGTGTTCATACTGTCCCTCAAATATGATTTTGCTAAGTATAGGAAATACTTATATTACATTTAGCCCCTGTTACAACTTCTGTCCGTACAACTCCTGTCCCTACAACTCCTGTCGTTACAACTCCTGTTGTAACAACTTCTGTCGGTACAACTCCTGTCGGTACAACTCGTGTCGTTACAAATCCTGTCCCTACAACTCGTGTCGTTACAAATCCTGTCCCTACAACTCGTGTCGTTACAACTCCTGTCCCTACAACTCCTGTTCCTACAACTCCTATTCCAAGTAATTGTAAGGATGATTATGAGTTCATGTGTGCCAATGGGGAGTGCATAGATGTAAGAAGGAAATGTGATAGGTATACTGATTGTTCAGATGGATCTGATGAAACACCAGCTACATGCCGTAAGTTTTATTCAGAGGTTAATTTCAGAGTTATAATATCTTTAGGGTCCTTCTATTTTAATAATTCTAGTACTGAACATACCATGTTTGCTTTTGCTTGCTTTCCCCAAATGCTTTGATTCTTTATATCTTTAGTACTTATACTATACCTCATTTCTTACTGCTGTCATTATACTTGTGATACAGATATACATGTGTATATATATACAAATAATTACATTTCACCAATCACAAATGTAATGAATGTAAAAATCCCTGCATGTTTTGTAATTTGATGTATATAACCATTTTTAGCACCTCGTAAATGTACTGTTTATGAGTTCGCATGTGACGATGGATATTGTATTGATAATAGACGAGTATGTGATCAGTATAATGATTGCACAGATGGCTCAGATGAAACTGAAGCTGCTTGTTGTAAGTTACATGTAATATTTTGGAATTTTCTGAGTTGTAATTTGAAAAAGAAATAATTTAATTACCTCGTGAACTTGAAAAGCTGTGTATATTTGATGCAGTGGAAATGCATATTTCCCACATTTGACAAATATGATTTTAATACTGTCCCTCAAACGTAATTTTACTAAGTTTAGGAAAAATGCTTATATTACATTTAGCCCCTGTTACAACTTCTGTCCCTACAACTCCTGCCTCTACAACTCCTGTCGTTACAACTCCTATTGTTACAACTCCTGTCCCTACAACTCCTGTTGTTACAACTTCTGTCGGTACAACTCCTGTTGGTACAACTCGTGTTGTTACAAATCCTGTCCCTACAACTCGTGTCGTTACAACTTCTGTCCCTACAACTCCTATTCCAAGTAATTGTAAGGATGATTTTGAGTTCACATGTGCCAATGGGGAATGCATAGATGTAAGAAGGAAATGTGACAGATATACAGATTGTTCAGATGGATCTGATGAAACACCCGCTACATGCCGTAAGTTTTATTCAGAGGTTTATTTCAGAGTTAAAATATCTTTAGGGTTCTTCTATTTTAATAATTCTAGTACTGAACATACCATGTTTGCTTTTGCTTGCTTTCCCCAAATGCTTTGATTCCTTATATCTTTAGTACTTAAACTATACCCTATTTCTTACTGCCATCATTATACTTGTGATACAGATATATATGCATACAAAAAATTACATTTTACCAATCACAAATGTAATGAACGGAAAAGATCCCTGCATGATTTGTAATTTGATGTATATAACCATTTTTAGCACCTCGTAAATGTACTGTTTATGAGTTCGCATGTGGCGATGGATATTGTATTGATAATAGACGAGTATGTGATCAGTATAATGATTGCACAGATGGTTCAGATGAAACTGAAGCTGCTTGTTGTAAGTTATGTCTAATGTTTTGGATCACTGTTTTATATCGATGGTCCAACGTTCTTTCAGTTATATTCATTATATGAATTATATGTAATTGTTAAATTACATGTATATGTAATATCTTTTATATGTTGTCTCTTATCTGTAACTTATATATACAGTAATATTATGTCACATGAAATATATCACATACAGTTAAACACATAAAATAATGAAAATAAATTCATGAGCAATATATAGACCTTTGACATGATTTTACTAAAGAAGTAAATATCATCTTTCTTTAATTGCAGCTCCAGTTGAGTGCACTTCATTTGAGTTCACCTGTGACAATAAAGAGTGTATAGATGTTAGGCGTAAATGCGATGGAAGATCAGACTGCAGCGATGGATCTGATGAATCTGCAGCTACTTGTCGTGAGTACATTATTTTATTGATGTGGTTTGTGTTCTCCAGAAAGATCTTAATGTATGAATTAAACACTGACTTACTATCTGTCCTGGAAGTCAGTTTTTCAAGCATTCAGCTTTGATCTTTTACGCTTTGTATTTGTAATATTTTCTGAATGAGACATCTCTTAAAAATTGTATATCAGGATTCAAAATATAAAATAATATTTTAAAAAATATACCATATTCTGAACACAATTTTTTCATGAGATGCCTCACTGATACTATATATAACTAACATAACTATTTGAACTATATTATTAACTCTGGATGTCAGTTTCCATAAAACAATCAAAAGCAAGGGAATTGTTTGGCTAATTCGCTTGTGCGCTAATTACATTTGAATATCACATTGTAGTCAGCCCTGTAGAATGCACAGCTAATCAGTTTACATGTGGTAATGGGGAATGTATTGATGTAAGAAGGAAATGTGATGGGAGAGAAGATTGTTCTGATGGATCAGATGAAAATGATGCAACATGTAGTAAGTGCTGGTGTATTTGGGAATCTTGACTGTCTTACATTAGAATTTGCCTCAGGGATTCATGTTGATATCTCTAAACTATATGAGAATTATCAAATAAACTTTTCTGGTTATTATGGGTTCAAAAATATGTGCATCAGCTTTAATTTCAGAAAAATTGCATACGTAGTAATGTCACATATAGAAAGTGCTGCACAGTTTTTGGCTCATCTTTATCTAGCAACCTATTTGATATCTTGGAACTGACATTATTTCTCCCACACATGGTGCACCCTAACTAATAACACAGAGAACCTGTCGTCAAACCCTTTTATATAAAATAATTTGTTTTTCAAGATTGCCTCCACATTGCTTGATTTTATTTTATTAGATATTTGAACATTCATGCAAAATCTACATAGAATCAAAACATGTCTTAACTGAGAAAAGCGGTGAAAAGGCAACCATCTTGAAATAGGGCAGGATCTTAATTGGTTGACAGCATGCTTTGCAAGAGATATAATCTCTGGAAAAGTTTGTCTGCACCAGGCGCTGCTTATAACATGTATAAATGATTGACAATGAGTTGTCTATCTATTATTCACTAGTCTGTAGCAAGATACATTGATGGCCTTTTTGTTATCTTTTCAAAAATAGAAGTTTTCATAGTGAACCATTTCCCCATTGGTTTTTAGCTTTGAAGTTGGAAATTTGACTACATCAAGCTTATGTGTTATAGAGCTCTGCTTCAACACAAGATAGAGATTATCTCTTAGGGTTTGGGTTTCAATAACATGGAAAGTAGGATTGGTATAACTGAAAATCCAAAGCTGAAAGTGCATTGGTATGTGGTTACTTTGATGAAAAAATGCCAATTTTGAAAAGAAAGCTCACAACTATCAATGTATCCAAATACTGACTCTTGATTCTTGCTAACATCTTGTCCAAACCACTCCTTGCTTGTGCGCTAATCATGTTTGAATATCACATTTTAGTCACAGTAGAGTGCACCACTAATGAATTTACATGTGGAAGTGGGGAATGTATTGATGTAAGAAGGAAATGTGATGGGAGAGAAGATTGTTCTGATGGATCAGATGAAAATGATGCCACATGTAGTAAGTGACGTTATCACAAGAATCATTTTATACTGTACCTTTGGTGTTTACCTTTGGTGAATTTTTTTATCTGATGGCAAGTATCAGAACATACTGTAGCTGACTCTACAAGGGGGTTGGTGCTTATTAATAACATTTGTTGATTTGTTTTTAATGGAACATATCTTACATACTGTCTCTATTACTGGTGTGTCAGTACATTGTAAAGGGTTTGGTAGTGTACTTAACTCATCCTTTTATAACTTATACCATCTTTATTACTCATGTGTAGAATAAATTATTAAACTATTCCAACTCCAAACCATTATTAACTTAGTGTTAGTAATGTTTAAAACCCCATTTTAGTCACTGTCGAGTGCACCACTAATGAATTTACATGTGGAAGTGGGGAATGTATTGATGTAAGAAGGAAATGTGACGGGAGAGAAGATTGTTCTGATGGTTCAGATGAGAATGATGCCATGTGTAGTAAGTGACATTATCACTTAAGAATCACTCAATTCATTTGATGTTTTTCATGAATTCCTTCATTCATCTACAATGGCACTGAAACACCTTAAAATAAATGCATGTTTTCAGTGATTATTAATAGAAATGGTGGTTTAAACCACAAATGAATATTGTGGAAAGTTTGTTTAAAACATATCACTTCTGCCATTTCTATTAATGATGTAAAATAGTATAAGCAAAAAACCTTTCCTTAATCATTTATCAATAAGAATCTTTCATAGAGTGAGTGAACCAGTGAGCGACATTTTTGATAAACCAGAGCATTCTCTATTATCCCATTTTTTTATTCAGAAAAATTCCATTGGTTTCTTCTTCAATTGGGAAGTTCTTAAATATATAATATCAATTTCGTCAAAATAGTGAAAACAAATATAAACCGAATTCTGAAGTTATTGAAAAGTTGCTCAGCTCTCTCTCTCTCTATCTGATTCTCCTTCATTCACTATGTGTGATCCTTGCTTGTGCGCTAACAATGTTTGAATATCACATTTTAGTCAAAGTAGAGTGTACCACTAATGAGTTTACATGTGACAATGGGGAATGTATTGATGTAAGAAGGAAATGTGATGGGAGAAGTGAATGTACTGATGGTTCAGATGAATCTGAAACAACTTGTCGTAAGTCCAAAAACTAAGAAACATCAAACCCTGTGTAAATCATATTTGTAAAAATAATGATTTGGTAGGGTTGGTTGGGTGCTCTTGGGCCAAATGTTCATAACACTCATATTTGAAGAAAATATTTGCATTGAATGTTATTTTTGTTGTTTCATATATGTCAAGAGCTGTTAAAATGTTTGTCTAGCATCTGATTGTTAACTAATGATGTTTGAATATCACTTTTAACTCACATCTTTATGATACACTCTGTTACTACTTATGACAATGGGGGTTAAATAACATCCTCTGCTAAAATGTGTATGTTTGCTTTTTGTCTAACATGTGCTTGTGCGCTAATAATGTTTGAATATCACATTGTAGTCTCAACTGTAGAATGCACCGCTAATGAGTTTACATGTGACAATGGGGAATGTATTGACATAAGAAGGAAATGTGACATATATAAGGATTGCTCTGATGGATCTGATGAATCTGAAACTACTTGTCGTAAGTATTGTCTACCAAGTAATCTTGTTTGCTTAGTATACAATCTCGATAGTCTTCTTTCTGTCTCTATCTATTTCTTATCTCATTCTTGAGCTACTTTCTCAACTGAAATAGTGTTTTAGGTTATAAGGTTAGATATTGGTTTATTTCTGTCATCTCTTTTGCATTTTTTTCTTTTAAAAAGAATCTTTGATACACCTGTACATATAAGCTCAAATTTCCTTGTGGCCACCTTGCTGTGGTTTTACCTGGCATACTGTAGGACACATGTGTTTATTTTGTTAATGTGGTTGGTTGTAGCAAGAAAAGAGTGCACAGCGTATGAATTTACCTGTGGCACTGGAGAGTGCATTGATATCCGAAGGAAATGTGACAATAGAGAGGACTGTTCGGACGGATCAGATGAATCTGTTGCAACATGTCGTAAGTGCATTCCAAACTCTCCCCTTGCATTAATGTGCTTGTAGGTTTATGTTCTAGGGTTAGGTAATGTCAGCCCTTGGTTATTCCAATTGGCATTTTCCCTCCTGATTTATTTTCCTTTGCTGACCATACTATTATGTTTAGTTAGATTGTCCTTTGTAAACTGATTATTAGAACAGCTTTTGTACTTTCTACCAGTATGTTTTGCCATATGATGTTTAAGGTAGTTTATTTTTATGTTCCTCCTCCCCATTCATTAGAATCTGTGTCTAGTTCACATTGCTTATTATGCCTCGTAAAATATATTGGTGTGTGTTATTCAAATTGTATTTTATTGGTCTGTGCACTTACATATGTATCTAGTTTTCTCCAAATTATAGTTTCAGTTGAGTGCACAACTAACGAGTTTACTTGTGATAATGGAAGATGTATTGATGTAAGAAGGAAATGTGACAGGAAACACAATTCTTCTGATAGTTCAGATGAATCTGAAACTACTTGTCTTTAAGTTCAGTCCAGCTTGCTTAAACATTTTTATCATATATATTTTGGTCTGTTGTCATATTAGTTTACTTCCCTGACTTTGCACAAACCAATGTTTAACCTACTTTTGTATTAACCATCTTAAGTTTTACCTCCTGCATCAGTTGATGTTATTTTACCACTAATCAGTCATGTAAATTTGGTTCTACATGTGTATGTATCGTCCAATTTGCCTTTGCATCAACAAGTGTTGAGCGATGTTTAATTGGCTTGTGCGCTTATCTAAGTTTTCATTATTTCATTTTTAGTCTTAAATCATGGCCTTTTCCAAATTGGAAAGCCATAAGAATCCTGCCTCTTCTATTATTTAAGTTTTCAGCTATAGCCTGGGTGTTTTTTCTGTCAGCCTTTGACATTTAAGTTTATTTTACTGACTGTTTTACTTACTGATGGTTAATTTGCGAAATCATTGGCTTATTGCTGCCTTTGCATTAATTAATGTCTGTAAAGTTATTTTCATTGGCCTGTGCGCTTATCTAAGTTTTCCCCTAATTATAGCTTCAGTTGAGTGCACAACTAACGAGTTTACATGTGATAATGGAGAATGTATTGATGTAAGAAGGAAATGTGACGGGAGAGAAGATTGTTTTGATGGTTCAGATGAATCTGAAACTACTTGTCGTAAGTCAAAGTTGAAGTTGCACATAAATAATTAGTAATATCATCAGTTAAATACACCACTAATGAGATTAATATGATACTTCCTCTCCAATATGTAGAGGTAGTATTACTATCTAGTATTATTACTTGTTGGCGATTGGTGCCTTTGCATTTATAAGTGGGAAGTATTATTTTATTGGCCTGTGCGCTTATCTAAGTTTTTCCCCTAATTATAGCTTCAGTTGAGTGCACAACTAACGAGTTTACTTGTGATAATGGAGAATGTATTGATGTAAGAAGAAAATGTGATGGGAGAGAAGATTGCTCTGATAGTTCAGATGAATCCGAAATTACTTGTCGTAAGTCTAGCCAAAATTGATTATTTACTCAGAATTGGTTATTATTGAGATTGCTACAGGTTTGCTATATGTTGGTGTACAGACTTTATTTGCTGCCTCTGCATTTTCCTGCGTGAAGTAATATTTTCATTGGCCTGTGCGCTTATTTAAGTTTTCCCAAATTGTTATAGCTTCAATTGAGTGCACAACTAACGAGTTTACTTGTGATAACGGAGAATGTATTGATGTAAGAAGGAAATGTGACGGGAGAGAAGATTGTTCTGATAGTTCAGATGAGTCTGAAATTACTTGTTGTAAGTTTAGCCTTTGATCATATACTCAAGAGTTCATTATTATTTAGACTGCTACAGGTTTGCTATATTTTAGTGTCCTGACATAATTTGCTGCCTTTGCATTTTCCTGCGTGAAGCAATATTTTTATTGGCCTGTGCGCTTATTTAAGTTTTCCCCTTTTAGCTTCAGTTGAGTGCACAACTAACGAGTTTACTTGTGATAATGGAGAATGTATTGATGTAAGAAGGAAATGTGACGGGAGAGAAGATTGTTCTGATAGTTCAGATGAATCTGAAATTACTTGTCGTAAGTCTAGCCAAAATTGATCATATACTTAAAATTTCGTTATTATTTAGATTGCTACAGGTTTGCTATCTTTGATGTACTGACTTGGCCTTTGCACCTATTTAACTTTACCCAAAATTCTAGCATAACTGGGGTCCTAATTGCTTAGTATTACTTCAAGAGTTTATTGATTGGATTGCTGCTTGTTTATCAACAGTTTACTATTAACTTGTTGCTTATACATGTCCCAGCGCAGAGTAATATAGGCCAAGGCACGCGCTTGTTTAATTCCCCCAATTTTTATAGCTTCAGTTGAGTGCACAACTAATGAGTTCACATGTGATGATGGAGAATGTATTGATATAAGAAGGAAATGTGACGGGAGAGATGATTGTTTTGATGGTTCAGATGAATCTGAAACAACTTGTCGTAAGTTCGATCCACTCTTGTAAAAAAAAGTTTTTTTCATTCTGCTTACCTTTTTGCCACGTTTGTTTACTGACTGCATGAAGAAATAAGCATCCTGTTCTTATTAAGTTTTCACTTAATGCCTCAGTTTTGTGTTACCAGTAATGAGTGAGTGATTTTCAGATAAATGTTGAACTATTTAGTGTATATTTTGCCTAAATTGCTTCAGTATGTAGCTATTTGTTTGATAATTTACCAAATCATGTATTTTACTTTTGTGTTAATGAGTTTGAAGTTATTTTTATTGGCCTGTGCGCTTATCTAGTTTTCCCAAAATTATAGCTTCAGTTGAGTGCACAACTAACGAGTTTACTTGTGATAATGGAGAATGTATTGATATAACACAGAAATGCGATGGGGGAGTTGATTGTTCTGATGGTTCAGATGAATCTGAAATTACTTGTCGTAAGTGTTATCCACAATGCTTATTTACTTGAAGAATTCATTATTTAGATTGTTGCTTGTTTTTGGTCTTCAGTTTACTATTAACTTGTTGCTTATACATGTCCCAGCGCAAAATAATATTGGCCAAGGCACACGCTTGTTTAATTCCCCCATTTTTATAGCTTCAGTTGAGTGCACAACTAACGAGTTTACTTGTGATAATGGAGAATGTATTGATGTAAGAAGGAAATGTGACGGGAGAGATGATTGTTTTGATGGTTCAGATGAATCTGAAACAACTTGTCGTAAGTTCGATCCACTCTTGTTAAAAAGTTTTTTTCATTCTGCTTACCTTTTTGCCATGTTTGTTTACCTTTACTGACTGCATGAAGAAATATGCATCCTGTTCTTATTTAAGTTTCACTTAATGCCTCAGTTTTGTGTTACCAGTAATGAGTGAGTGATATTCAGATAAATGTTGAACTATTTAGTGTAAATTTTGCCCAAATTGCTTCAGTATGTAGCTATTTGTTTAGTAATTTACCAAATCATGTATTTTACTTTTGCGTTAATGAGTTTGAAGTATTATTTTATTGGCCTGTGCGCTTATCTAGTTTTCCCCTAATTATAGCTTCAGTTGAGTGCACAACTAACGAGTTTACTTGTGATAATGGAGAATGTATTGATATAACACAGAAATGCGATGGGGGAGTTGATTGTTCTGATGGTTCAGATGAATCTGAAATTACTTGTCGTAAGTGTTATCCACAATGCTTATTTACTTGAAGAGTTTATTATTTAGATTGTTGCTTGTTTTTGGTCTTCAGTTTACTATTAACTTGTTGCTTATACATGTCCCAGCGCAGAGTAATATAGGCCAAGGCACGCGCTTGTTTAATTCCCCCATTTTTATAGCTTCAGTTGAGTGCACCACTAACGAGTTCACATGTGATAATGGAGAATGTATTGATATAAGAAGGAAATGTGACGAGAGAGATGATTGTTCTGATGGATCAGATGAATCTGAAACTACTTGTCGTAAGTTCAGTCCTGCTTGCTCACGCATTTTCATAATTTAATTTTAGGCTTAAATGGCCTTTTCCAATTTGGAAAGCCATAAGAATCCTGCCTCTTCTCTTATTTAAGTTTTCAGCTATAGCCTGAGTGTTTTTTTCCTGTCGGCCTTTGACATTTAAGTTCATTTTACTGACTATTTTACTTACTGATGGTAAAATCATCGGTTTATTGCTGCCTTTGCATTAATTAATGTCCGTGAAGTTATTTTCATTGCCCTGTGCGCTTATTTAAGTTTTCCCAAATTGTTATAGCTTCAGTTGAGTGCACAACTAACGAGTTTACTTGTGATAATGGAGAATGTATTGATGTAAGAAGGAAATGTGACGGGAGAGAAGATTGCTCTGATAGTTCAGATGAGTCTGAAATTACTTGTCGTAAGTCTAGCCAAAATTGATCATATACTCAAGAGTTTATTATTATTTAGACTGCTACAGGTTTGCTATATGTTGGTGTACAGACTTTATTTGCTGCCTTTGCATTTTCCTGCGTGAAGCAATATTTTTATTGGCCTGTGCGCTTATTTAAGTTTTCCCCTTTTAGCTTCAGTTGAGTGCACAACTAACGAGTTCACTTGTGATAACGGAGAATGTATTGATGTAAGAAGGAAATGTGACGGGAGAGATGATTGTTCTGATAGTTCAGATGAGTCTGAAATTACTTGTCGTAAGTCTAACCAAAATTGACTATTTACTCAGAATTGGTTATTATTTAGATTGCTACAGGTTTGCTATATGTTGGTGTACAGACTTTATTTGCTGCCTTTGCATTTTCCTGCGTGAAGTAATATTTTCATTGGCCTGTGCGCTTATTTAAGTTTTCCCAAATTGTTATAGCTTCACTTGAGTGCACAACTAACGAGTTTACTTGTGATAATGGAGAATGTATTGATGTAAGAAGGAAATGTGACGGGAGAGAAGATTGCTCTGATAGTTCAGATGAATCTGAAACTACTTGTCGTAAGTATTTCGTATTGGAAGTATAGGAAAATACTCTACATGCTGTTGCTGTGTTCTTTCTTTTTGCTCTTCAAGACTGGGCATACATTTATTGTTTAAAGACATACATGTATACAATCTTTTGAATCTCGCTTATATATATATATAAGCCTTCAGGAAGCTATACTAATGATAATTCTTATTTTAGGGTATTGTTTTTTGTTTGCATTATAATTTATAATTTAGTTTTATATAACTAACATTTGTCAGGGATTCAATAGTTTGATATTGTAGAAGATATGTCGATATAAAAAGATCAATAGTTTTATGGGCATATAAAATATATGAGGGCATGCACTTTCGAAATAGAAGAATATGACAATATAGGCCATTTGTAAGATTGATTTATTTAACTTTTATGTATGTTAGACTTTATTTGTATGTTGATTCTTGTACATTCAAATAAACCCTCAAATAGTCCATAATTAAATGTTTATTCTTATTTATTTGCTTTAGCTCCAGTTCGTTGCACTGACAGAGAATTCAGATGCGGGGATGGCACATGTATTGATGCTCGAAGGAAATGTGATAGACGCAATGATTGTGCAGATGGATCTGATGAAACTGGATGTGGTAAGTGCACACTACCAGGACCAAACTTATTAAGTTTAACACTTTTAGCGCCTGACGCTTGGCTGTGTTACATAGTTGTTTATTTTAATAAAGGAGTTCATATCTACTGGTATTGCAGTATTTAAAGGTTGAAGACATTTCAGGTGGAAGGATAACTCTCATATTTTTTTTCTCTTTATATTTTTCAATAATAGTAGTAGTTAGTTAGTTAACCCTTTACTGTAGTCCTAGATTAAACCCATCTTATACAATAGTACTGCTCCCTCATTTAAATGATAGTCATTAAAAATAGATGAGGGACATCATTGTTATCCGATAATGATATCCTCATTCTTACTGTTTATTTAAGACTTCCTTTAGTTAATATTTTGCGTTTTCTGCATGCCGTTTGGTTTTATAAGTATACAGTAGATGTAAATGCTTTTCTTTTACAAATTGATGGCTGTTTTGTATTAAGCTCTAACTCCCTGCTTATTATGCCCCCATTGTTGCCCATGCTGTTGTAGCCCCAGGTCCAGAGGCTGGGGAATGTGGTGCAGATGAGTTCCAATGTGATGATGGGGAGTGTATTGATAAGTTATTCAAGTGTGATGGTGTACAGGCAGACTGTCAAGATGGATCTGATGAATCATACTGCTGTGAGTCAACTTGCAAAAATGACGCCACATATCATAGTACCGTATATCATGAAGTTTGCCGCATTTTGACAACCTACATATAACTGCATATTTAATACACACATATCTGTAAAAACACACATACTCTATATGTCTACATGATTTAGTGTTTTCACGTTCGTAGAATTTCATAAAGGTGCATTTTGACAACCTACATATAACTGCATATTTAATACACACATATCTGTATAAACACACATACTCTATATGTCTACATAATTTAGTGTTTTCACGTTCGTAGAATTTCATAAAGGTGCATTTTGATCATTGTTGTAGCATTTATGTCTGTCAGAAGTCATGTGGTTTAGAACATGTTGTGTTTGCATTTGTGTCCCTCGCTGTGAAAGTGTGAAAGTTTGTCATATTTTTAGTGAAATACTGTAATATTAATAGATGGATTTAATGTGAACATACATTACAATTAGCATTATAGCATCTGTCGTAAGGAGAATGAAAATATATTCCCTATACCATCCCAAATAAATCCCACAATATCTTATTCGTTACACATTATAAGGGTGTTACAACAAGGTATACTTTTAAAACCTCAACATTCCAATGTGTGATCATATTGTAGCACCAACTGTCACATGCAAGGCTAGTGAGTTTACATGTAGCAATGGGGAATGTATTGATATAGAAAAGAAATGTGACAATTTGGAAGACTGTAGTGATGGCTCAGATGAAACTACTTGTCGTGAGTTGGACACATTTTTTTAAAAAATTACACTCATGACATGAGTTCACTTGTATAGCTTTGACCCTGCCTTGCCAGGTGAATTAGTGATAAATTTTGCTTTTCTCTCTCTATTAGTTAAATGAATCAAAAAGGTATTTAAAAACACCCTCTTTTTGCTTATTTGTTGCATGTGTGCTTGCTTCATATTTTAGCTACAATTGCTCCTAAAACATGCTCCACTGAACAATTCACATGCACCAATGGAGAGTGTATAGATGTTAATGGAATGTGTGATGGTTCAGAAGACTGTAGTGATGGATCAGATGAATCTGATGTGACATGTTGTAAGATGGGATTCATATTATCAATTAATGAAAAAACATAGTAATATAAAAATACAAGGTGTCACAAAAATGCAGTTCTCTAATTAACACTCTTAGTGAATTTTGCTGTGTAGATAAAGTGGTCAATGTGTAAAACAGTATATGGCATCAATGAGAAATCAAGGAGAAGTCATGTCTTCCATCTTGAGTTGTCCTCATTCAAAATCACTTGAAAAGTTCAGAAATCAAGTCATTCATTACCATTTACAAATTTACTCCATAAAATGGTTATTATGGTATATACAATTATTGATAATATGTATGAAAGTAATCTTGAAATGACTCAAATGATGGCAGATAGAAGAAATCCCAAATTCAGAAAATTGCATCTTTTGTTTTTGGATTATTTTACGTGAGTGTTTTTGTAGATTGCAAAGTCATTGATGCTATACCACTGTTTCATAAAAACTACCTTGATAAATCAAGAAGACTCCATCATAATTGAGGAAGTCATCAAAAATTGCATTGGATGCAAGGATTGCATTTTTGTGTCACCCTGTATTTCCTCAAAACTGTCTTTATAGTTATATATTTAGTTAGATTTACACTTCCATCCCTGCATGTGCTTGCTTGCAATATTTAGCCCCTTTGACTCCACTTGCATCAATGAGGAGTGAATGATGAATCTGATGTGACTTGTTATAAGATTGGATTCATAACTGTACTGTAATTATTTTAGATACTGATTCAATATGAAAGTTAAACAAGATATACAATATATTAAAATGAAATTGTGGCTTAATTTGACTAATTTTAAATTAAAATAGTGTTGTGGAGTTATAGTACACATGCTAGATCGCTAATGAGAAAGAGTTCTATTTAAATTCCAGGCTATCAATCTCTATACTCTAAACAAGGCATGTATATAATACTGTACACCAATATGTATATTTATTTGTGTGTATTACAGCTGTCAGGATTGACGTGACTGTATCTCCCGGCCAGATGAGGATCAGAGAGGGACAGGAAGCTGTCTTCATGTGTACAGCTACTGGCAATCCAACCCCTGTTGTAAGGTGGAGTAAGGGAAACGAGGTAGGAAAATATATTGTTGTTTTAGGCAGTCATACCTACCCATTGGTTGGTAACCATAAAGAGCAATCAAAACCAGGTTGCAAGGAATACAATATTGAGATCAAGTCTCTTTACAATTCCAATGTACATGTAAAGTGTAAAGAGACATTATGGACACCCTGGTCCCTGTATGTAATATATTACATAGTATGAAATATTCATAAGTAATATTTGAAAGACACCAACAAGACGTTAATGTACTTAATACATTTACAAGTATTGGTGGAGTATTTAATACTTTTGTGGAATTTTGTTTGCTTCAGGGTCTCCCAAATTCTGCCTCAGAGGTTAATGGCAGATTGACGATCAGTTCATCAAGACCTAGTGACTCTGGGAGTTATGTTTGTACAGCAGTGGACCCCAGGAGTGGCCAGTCAGCCACAGCTACTGCCAGACTCTTTGTTGATCCATGTAAGTCTAATGTTGTCTACATGATGTGGCATTACATGTACAATTAAATTGCAGAAGTATCATATCTATAACAGACCATTTTGTAAAGTGAAATCTTGTTTTTATGAAACAGAATATATCATTTTGGGATTGGCCCATTGTGTTCTTAAATTATATAAAATAGTACAAATACAAGTTGAAATATAATTCCATTATAAATGATAAAATATATTTTCAGTTGGTCCAACACGTGAGCCACCAATAGGAGGCAAATGTGAAAGAGAAGAGGCAACATGCTCCAATGGCCAGTGTATACCTAAAGACTACCTTTGTGATGGAGACAGGGATTGTACTGATGGTTCTGATGAGAGGGCATGTACCAACCTATTGCCATGTGAACCCAATGAGTTCATGTGTAACAATGGCAAGTGCGCACAGAAGATCTGGAAATGTGACGGAGATGATGATTGTGGGGATGGATCTGATGAAACCAATTGTCGTAAGTTCATCTTTTCAATATGTGTGAATAATTAGTTGAAAGAATCATTGATCATATTGATAAAAATCACAAACCATTCTCCACATCAAAATGTAAATAATATTAATGACTCCAGATCTGAGCTCTTAAAGTGCCTATATAACATACCAGTATACTTTATGTCAAAGCACATGTGATTCTTCATGCTGACTTGTACAAATACTTTCGCAATTTACAGCCACTGCTGAGCCTGGTGCCCCATGTAGAGCTGATGAATACCAGTGTCTGTCTAGGGACCAGTGTATACCCCAAAGCTACCAGTGTGATGGAGAAATTGATTGTCAAGACCGATCAGATGAGATAGGATGTGGTAAGAATTTCTTTTGGCCCCAAACAGGCAGAACCCATTACTTTTATTCAAAGATTTGTGTGCTCTGTTTTTTTTTGGTCACTCTGTATTTCTGTCATGTTTTGAGATCTTTCTTAAGAAAAATCCAAGAATTCACATAAAGAAATGATGTATTTATTTACTTTAATTCTTTTCAAGCACCACCCACTGTTATTGTACCCCCACCCAGCATGAAGATGGTGGAGAGAGGAGGCACCATTACTATAACCTGTGAGGCTACAGGGGTCCCTACCCCACTGATTGTGTGGAGGTTGAACTGGGGACATACTGGTAAACCACCACGAGTAACATCAGTCAGTGAGAATGGAAGGGGAACAATTACTATACGTCAGGTAAAATAATTCAATATTTCTTTCATAATGAATATTTCTAGGAGCATTATATTTCTCATGGAGTCTTATTACAATACAATGGATTAGAATGCATTTTTTATGTTCAGTTTCAGAGAAATTCTGATGTGCTTATCTACACATGCTACATACTATTATTGATAAACTGCATTTCTTTTCTTTTTTTATATTAATTTATTTCAATGGCTGTGCCATACTGGCATTACTAGCCATGTCTTAATATATATTAAAATGATATATGATATAAATAATATTCATATAAATAAATCAAAAATACATTGTTAAACAATTCCTGTGTATGTGTGAGACTAAAATTAGAAAGCAACATTTATTAACTCATTTCCTTTGAATACCCTTTGATATGTTAGTCCCCTTATGATGTATTTGATCTGTTTTACTAGATCACTGATGCTGACCAGGGTGCCTACACTTGTGAAGCAATCAACAACAAAGGATCAAAGTTTGCCATCCCTGATACAATTGTCACTGTTAAAGGTAAAATGTCATTGATATGCAGTATTGATCTGTTTAGACTCTAATCCTAAAAATCCTAAAAGGTTTATTTGATTGTTCTTATTGTACAGATGTTTAGGTTTTACTACCTTATTATATGGAAGACAACATAAAGGTGTGTTATTTTTACTTTTTAATGAATGATATAATACATGTATATTGATATATTCATGGTCTTGCTGTTTCAGTTCAATCAGGTATCTGCCAACCTCCAGAGTTCAATGTGGCTGCAAGGGACCGTAGTGATTGTCTTACTTGTTTCTGCTCTGGTCTCACCAAGCAGTGTACCAGTAGTAATCTGTTCAACTCACAGGTAAATCTTGAATCATATGTTAATATGGAAAACATATAATATTTATAAAAAATTTGAAATAAATGTGCCAGAGATCCAATATTTGTATGTACCTATGTATGCATATTGAAGTAACTTTCTTTGAAAGCCATCTGGCATACACATCCATATAGCTAATTCATCTCACATCTTAGAAATAAAATAAACTCAATTTTTTAAAATGAACTACATCATATGCCACATCTTGGTATAGATATGTATTCAAAATCACTTGACTAAAAACAGAAGTGGAATGAACTACATCAGCACTCAATAGTTTACTTTCAACTCTCCCAAAATGTGTTTTTCAAACTTGCAAATGGATATACATTTTGATTTTTAATCCTAATGTTTTATTTATTCTGTTCTTGAAGTTTTGAACACAAAAAACAGCACTGTAGAATATACTGATTTTCCTCCAGATTGTTCTCGGAAACCAACTTCCATTAATGAAGAAGGACAGGTCCCAGGAGCTCGATGCCACTGTAGTAGACTATGTTGCCTCTTCTAGAGAATTTGTGGTGAACAATTACTACAACAGAGTCCAGAGGGGAACTTTCTACTGGTCTCTCCCCAGACAGTTCCTTGGCAACCAGGTATTGATAGATCTTTGCAGTAAAACAAAAGGAAATTAGGAATACACTGAGAAAATTTCTTTAGAATGTTGATATTGAGAGAAATCGTAGGAGGATATTGACAAGCCAAAAATGCCAGAGCTTTTGAACCCTAAACGACTACCAGTACAATTTTGTATTCACTATTTGAATGTTATGATATATATGAACATAATAATGTACATTCCAGCTGAACAGTAATGGAGGAGGACTTCACTTTACAGTCTTCTTTGAGACCCAATCCGTGCCCCGTCCCACAACAGATGATGCTGATATCATAATCAGTGGCAATGGACGCACTCTCTACTACCGAAGACCAAACCAACCACAGAATAACCGACAAGAGACATGGGATGTTATATTCCAAGAGGTGGGTTTACACTTACAATATCCTAATTTCACTGCTTTAATATAGATTGCCATTGAGTCGGTTGTTCTAGGAATTTTTTGTAGCCAATGTACTATATTTGATTTTTGATGAATTAATTCAAACTTTCAGTTTAAACTCTCTTTATTCTTGTACGATAGATTGATTTGATTTTATCAGCATGAATAATTCCTTAATAATGATTTAAAAAATGAATACAAAAGATGAGTGTAGTTTCAAAGATTTGTATCGCATGCTTTCATGCCATTTATGCTAATATAGACACTGATGCCTCATCAGGGAGACAACTGTGCATTCATGTGTAATTTAAAATTAATGCACTTAGAATTTATTTTATAATTTTAATTTATATTATGGGTAAATGACAATTGATGAACTTCTAATATTTGCTCTCCAGGGAGATTGGTCTAGAGATGAAACAAACCCTCCCCCAAGAGGAGACATTCCTATATCTAACCCAGCATCTAGAGATGACATCATGGTGGTGCTAGCTAATATTGACTACATCATGATTAAAGCAACATTCGACTCATTCCAAGAGGAAGTCAGAATAGGTAAAATGCATGCACGATTAATGTTTGACTGAAGTAATAGTACTATGCACACCTATTATGAGATTAAAAGAGTTGATGATGGTTTTCACTTTGGATAATAGGTAGCCATCAATAACCTAATACTGTTCATGGAGATTTAGTGACCGGGGATTCATCCCAGGGAATAAAAAACGAAATCAAAAACATTTCAAAGTTTTGTACGCTGTCTTGTTTTGTAGGTAATGTTGTGATGGATCGGGCTGTTCCACAGGACACTGGTAGAGGCAGAGCTGTGTTGGTAGAGGAGTGTGCCTGTCCAACAGGCTACACAGGACTGTCTTGTGAGGTAGGGAAATATAGAATTCATTTTGAAATGAAACACCTCCATAATGGAACTTTTTTCGATGTTCTGTTGCTCATTAACTTAATGTAAAATCAAGGTCCTGAGTGGAACACCTCAGAGTGAAGCAATGTTGAGAGGTACGAAAGGTGTTTTGAATGTAGGTTTACTGTAATCTAATGTTTTATCATCCTGAAGTCTTTGTTCAGCCATAAATTGCATAAATCAATTGAACTATATGACGCTTCATAAATATTCCAGGAATGTGCCAAAGGTTTCAGACGTGTCCAAACAGGACGTTTCTTAGGAGAATGTGTGGCTTGTAACTGCAATGGTCACTCCAATGACTGTGATGAAGCTACAGGAGTATGCAAGGTAAATAACAATTGATGTACTGTAGATAAGATACAATGCCTTATATTAATGTATACATTTGACCAATCCAGAGATGGTCTGAAAATCAACCATATTACTAAATGTATAGTTTTAAATTATTGTTAATTAAAATGTTGACTGTAGTAAGTTCTGTAGCGAGAAACACTGTGCAGACCATGATTGAAACAAAATTGGATCTATAATTCAATTTGTTTTTTTCAGGACTGCCAACACAACACTGAAGGCTCTCAGTGCGAACTTTGTCGTGCTGGTTTCTATGGTGATGCAAGAAGAGGAAGCCCCACTGATTGTCTTGCCTGCCCATGCCCTCTAACTGAGCCTAGCAACCAGTGAGTCACTATTTTATTACGCACCACACTTACAATAGGTAGCACATTTAAAGGGGGTTATTCATAGAAAATATACATGTGTTGAAACTGCTGATTGTATCACAGCCTTCTTGTGACAAGCCATCTTAGGATCAGGTTTTGAAGAAAAAAATGTAATGCCAAACCAAACAAGGATCATATTTTTTGTTTCCTTAATAGGTCCCTAATAGACCCCCACATTGAAATTGATTCTAAACCCAAGAATCAGTGGAAGTTCCATTAATTGTTGAATCCGTTAACAACTTTCATACAGTATTGTGCATAACATTAATTTCTATCATATCCGTCTCAGATTTACCAGGGAGTGCTTCTTGGACTCTGATAATGAAGTGACATGCAGAGGATGTCCCGAGGGCTATGAGGGTAGAAGATGTGAAAGATGTGCCCCTGGCTATAAAGGGGACCCCACCAGACTAGGAGATAAATGTCACAAAGGTGAACACAATACCATCTATTATTTTAATGTATATTTACAATTTGTTTTTCTTGATTTGTCATAATCTATGGACTGAACAAAATACAACTGAAGTCATGAATTTTAAGTCAACATCATTTTTGGGAAATGCTCCCCTGATTGGCTTTAACATAACATTTAAGCCTTGGGTCTCAAGTCAAGTCACATAATACTGACATTGTGATATAGTACAATTCAATTCACTAATATCAACAACTTCATATGTACTTAAAATGACGAAACCTCATTACAGAAGGTAACCCTCACCCTGAATGTGATGCACGTGGCAGCCATAGCACCCAAATAAACCCTAGGACAGGGCGATGTGACTGTAAACAGTACAGCGAGGGAGCAAAGTGTGATAGATGTAAGGCTAATACCTACTACCTTGCTGATAGCAACCAATATGGATGTATTCCTTGCTTCTGTATGGGAGTCACTGATGTCTGTACCAGTACAACATGGAACAGAGCTAGGGTGAGAACTTTTCCTGATTTTCTTTTTCCCATTTTGCATGTTTTTCCATCTGTAAACAGAGTTGATACAATTATTGTTGATTTATTTTTTAAAGTATTATAACCCATACATAAGAAGTGTTGTTTGTTCCTCCAGGTCAGTGCCAGCTTCACTGGCAATGACGTACAGGGATTTACCATTACAAGCCAGGACCGTAGTGTGAACGTTAACGATGGGCTGATAACAGACTACAGAGACGGGGACCTCATTTATAGGGGCTTCCCTTCACTCCCTCAAGGACAGGCATACTACTGGAAGCTCCCCCAGAGATACCTTGGTGATAAGGTACTGTGATTGTTCAAGTTTTTAATACAACTGTTCAATATTAAAATATACAGACATATATTTAGTTCAGATAGATATCTATTAAACAAAAGAAATTTTATGTCTATGTCTTCATCAGATTTATTCATTCTTATTTAGGTGACATCATATGGTGGAAATTTGCGATTCACCATCACTCATAAACCAGGAATTGATGGGTCCCCAGATAATGCCCCAGATGTTGAAATCACGGTAAGGAATAAACAAAAGCAAAATGAATAAAAATAAAAAATATATAAAAGTAAAATAAAAATTATTGTAAAGCATACATCTCTATAAAATGAACAGCTCTACACATTACAAATCTGCAGTTCTTATATTATAATTACTGCTCTTCATTTCTAGGGTAATGATATCAACCTGATCTATAGACATAGTGAGGTTATGCAGTCAGACAAACCACAGGCCTTCCAAGTCCCACTTTATGAGGTAATTATTTACAATTTTTATTTCTGAACCACAGTTTATCTATAATGTACAATTCACTTATAGATGGCAGAATGATACAAATATTGAATGATGTTGAGTGCAATACCTGTATATATTTCTGAGGGTGTACATCCCCCGGGAATACATCTCCCGGGAATATATACATTCAATATTTGTTTTATTATTTCATACATATCAACAGTTTAACAATGTGTCTCAAAAATCGAAAATTGGATAAATAATGCCACATGTTCAAAGTAGTCTATACATGTGACGTCACATTCGTTGAACATCTGTATTTATTTTTCTAAAAATACACCTTTCATATCGATGACTTACACGAATGGAATACCTTGTAGTATTTTTGGTCACATGGTACATAACTGACCAATCACATGCTGATTATCACTACAGAGAAATAATAATTAGAGGTTATGTCACTATCGTGGCATATATGCCCGAGGTCTCAGTGATATATGGCCCGACCTTGGGAGGGACATTGATCTCTGAGAACCGAGGGTATATGTGCCACGATAGTGACATAAACGATTTATAACATACCTATGATGATGTAGACTGGTCAGAGAGTACCATTTTCTTATAGAATTGACAAACAAATTGTTTGAAAATGATTGAAATGAGTTTAGAAAAATTGCTCGCACAGTTTTATCTTCGATTGATTGGTTATGACGTCAGCGCCTTGACCAATCAGAAAGTTAGCGGGCGCGGGCTTTTCAAAACTTATATTGGCCCGCTGTCTTGTGTACACTTTGCACTATACATCATCATAGGTATGTTATAAATGTTAATATTCATGTTATTCTTGCAGCAATTCTGGAACCGTGCAGATGGATCCCAAGCAACCAGGGAGCATCTGTTGATGGCACTTGCCGACCTTTCATCATTTGTCATCAAGGCCACATACACAGCCAGAACAGCTGAATCCAGGTATACTAAATAGTTAAATTTAACAGAATGTATTGCATTTTGATATTCCATATATTTCAGCTATGCAAAAATGAGTAAAAAATGATGTACATCTCAGATAGATTGAGCTTTATGCTTGTCTTATATATTTGAAGGAGATGATTGAGACCATTTGTGATACAAAGTCAGCCTTAGTAATGTTGATAACAACAGTTCATCCTGAACTGGGTATACAAAGAGGAAGACATTATGATGTCATCATAAATATGGATTGATGAGTGTATTTCCTGTTTTTCAGACTGCGGGACATTTCTCTGGAGGTAGCTGAAAGCAGGAACACAGGTCTAGAGCGGGCCTTCCCTGTGGAACAGTGTAATTGCCCTGAAGGATACAAGGGACTCTCTTGTGAGGTAACTGGATGCTGTTTCAATATTTACATATTAGTAATGTACATCTACATCATGAACTTAATCTCCTTAAATTAGATCTCAATTTTGTTATCATTAGTAAGACATGCTTCAATTCCACAAATGTAGTTATCTTATAGTGATCTTTCAAATACCTGTTTCTTCCAACTAAATCTTTAAAATTCAGTTACTTAGTTGCTACTCGTTATTTATAATATCACATGTAGTTACTGGATGTACAATGTGATATGTATATCTTCAGGATTGTGACACCGGGTACACTAGATCAGGTGGCGGCCTCTATCTTGGGCTCTGTGAACGATGTAATTGCAATGGACACTCTAATGAATGTGACCCGGAGACTGGAGAATGTAAAGTAAGTGTAAATGTTCAGGATTAACAATTCATAAGGAGCTATTTGGCCAGATGAAATGTATGGGTGAAAACCAATGTCAAATTCATTCCACGAATAAAGTTTGATCTAGCCCTGAAGAATATGGTCTTAGAAAAGATAATATATACACAGAGGTCAAAATTAGGATTCAACATGATTCAAAGCTGATGAGAAACTACATGTACAAACTATTAAAGGGTTTTGAAAAATATGTTTAGTTGACTATGTTGCATGTTGTAGAACTGTCAGGGCAATACAATGGGAGAGTATTGTGACCAATGTGCCCCAGGATTCTATGGTGACGCTACAGTTGGCTCCCCTAATGACTGCAACCCTTGTGAATGTCCTTTGTCAACTTCATCCAATCAGTAAGTCTTAAATGGAATGAAACACTGTCAGTGAAGCATCGGGCAATGTGGTTACATTTAAAGTCCAATTTTGTAAAATGATAATGATAAAGTTTGACTCCTTTCAAGATGGTTACCTAATTTTTTATTCATCTCAAATCTCTCAAATTAGGATACACATTTGACATTTATAATATGTGTACGATGTGTATGTCTGATAATTTCCCAAACATTTAACCTTCTCTTGTTGAATGGTGTTTGAAGGTATTTCATAAGTGTGTGCTTTTTTGTTTCAGGTTTAGCTCTACGTGTAGATTGGATCCAGATGGTAGAGCAACTTGTACAGACTGTCCCCAGGGATATACTGGACGATTCTGTGAAAGGTTAGTTAGTTTGCACTTATCACTGGATATATTTGTATCAATTAAAATACCTTTGATTTGTAAACATTTTTACATTTGAATCATACATCATGAGTTCTATGAGCCATTGTCATATGAATTACTTCCTGAATGACATGATTTGAATCTTGACTTTCTAGGTGTGAGCGGGGCTACATTGGAAACCCCAGGACGCCAGGTGACTATTGTCGCAATGAAGGACCAGGACCATTATGTAACTGTGACTCAAGAGGCACAAGGCCCAATTCTCAATGTGACCCCACCACCAAGCAGTGTGTATGCAAGGTAGGTTAGGCAATAGACATTGCTACCTTTAATAGGGTTTAAATCTGCTTCCTGGTTTTTCCACCACTTACTTGTTATTGGTCCTTTAGGGCATCATATTATATTGCATTACATGTATACTATACTACCAGAAGTTAGAATTGTATTTAAATGGTCCAACTTTTAAATGTTGTATGAATATGAAAATGTACATGTCAGGCTACTGAGATTTTGATCAGTACTTTATGTGTTTCAGCCTGGTGTTACAGGCCAGAGATGTGACCAGTGTGAGACTGGATACTTTGGTCTCTCTGTAGATGGATGTACCAAATGTTACTGCAGTGGTGTCAGCACACAATGCAACACAGATTCCTATTACTGGGATCAGGTACTTTGGAGATTACAGATTGTTCATTAGTTTTTTTAGTTTTTTATTTTACATACTTCACATTTATTTCTATAAATCAATCGGTTACATATAGACAAATTGCCATTGTTGACAGGACAACATTATCGGCAATTGTTCACTAGTACTCATTAGCAGCATAATATTGTGCTGCTCTTTTGCTTAAAGGTTAATCAGTTATGCTGTGTAAACTTCATCTCAGGCATCAGTTATGGCAATAAACTGAAATAATTTGCTTTTTAGATCAAACCAGTTTTTGATGGTGACAACCACAACTTTGGGCTGACCACCAGACGTCTAGCTACACCTGTTACTGATGGCTTCATTGTGAATGCTCCAAGAAATGAGATCCGATTCACCCAGTTCACTGACATCCAACGAGAAAGGGAGAGTCTGTTCTGGCAACTACCACCCAAGTTTAGGGGAGATATTGTAAGGAGATAATGTTTCTATATTTGGTTTCTGTTTGTAATCAGTAAGCGCAGGTGCAAAAATGATCTGTTATTGTTTCATAGATAAATGTCAAATGCAAAATTACTTGATTTTTTTTATTAAAATCAAAGGAACATGTACAATGTATACAGGTTATTTTGTCTATGACCCCCCAAAAGGGAGTATTATATCAAATTATATAAGTATGTGCATTGCGCACACATAAAAGCATTACATTTCATTTCTCATGCCTACCCAAATTTTCTAGTTGGTTGTTTATGATATTTAACAGCTTGCAAATTATGCTCTTCTATGTAGGTTAACTCATATGGAGGTCTGCTTAGGTTCACTATGTTGAATATGGTTGCCCAGGATGCTGGTCAGATGACAACAGATGTCGACATTGAACTCATTGTAAGTACATGTAGAGCGTTACTTATATATTCAGATCTGAATTACTTTGCTCTTATTTATGCACCTGGTCAAATGAGGAAAGTTATGATATTTTTGTGTCAATGAGGTTTTTACACTCATTAACTTACATGGGTGACTACTCTAATTGCCCACATGTTTTTTTTTCAAAACCATGCTATGAAAACATTTTATAGAAATTAAAACATTGATATTATTTTATTCCATGTTATTTTGATTTCAGAGTGGCAACTCTCGCTACTATTACTTATTCAGTCCCTCAATGGTCCCTGATGTAACTACCTCTTATGAAGTCCGCTTGAATGAGGTAAACATTATTTATTTATATTACAGTATTTTCAACTATATTGCACATTTACCTTTATTTTTACTTTTAGAAATGTACCTAAAACAAGTTCTTTGTTGATCCTTCCCTAATTCATGTATTTTTCTTCTTTCTAAATTCTGTATTAATTGAAACATCAAACTTCATCATTTTCTGTTTTGATCTGAATCTTTCTCATATCATGTTCTATTCTATTATGCATGTTTTGTAACATTTAATTCTATTCTATCAAAGATTTGTGAATATCAGGAAATATCACCAGAATATCCACTTCAACAAGATCTTGAAATTTTAAACATCTTTCAAAATGATTCTCATATTTTGTGGATCGATTGTTAGTTTGGAAGTATCCCTGATATAAGCTAATAATGCTATTTATAGTGTATGATTTGTTACAGACTCTCCCAACTTAATTCCATTGCATGTCCTTGTCCAACATTGGTGGTGGAGCTTCCCTAAATTTTATCATCATTACCATCACGTTGCACTCTGGATAAATTAGTCATTCAGGGTAGTGGACAGTTGTATCATCATGCAAAATATTTGCAAAGTATATATAGCACTCCAAAAATACTTTTATATATATAGTTTCTATCCAGAGTGGAAAGTTGTATGGCTACTGTAAAACATCCTCCAAGTACAAGATTCAGAATATATTAAGGAATTAAGTATTCGATTTCTTGAGCCCTGTTCTTGGAGGATGACCCTTGAATAACAATTCTTCCATTGTACAGGATTCATTCCGTTCTATAAGTGCAAATTACCCGACATTTGGCAGAATGTCACAAGTGAGTAAAAAATGGCCTCGGATATTGTCTTTATGAATTCTGTAATAAGGATTGATTGACAACCTTTGTTGTGTTAGAATTTATAAAGCTTTAGTTCTGGGCCATTTCTGTTTGAGAGCTTAGTTGCGATCCGTTTGCAATATTCCATATTTTATTTCCCTGGCTATTCATTCCTGTTTGAACACCATATACACCCCTGCTGTATACAATTTCGCTAGAACACATTTGATAGACTTAAAGAATTTTGAATCCTAATTGTTCTAAAGAACATACTGGATAGACTTTCAAATCCTAGTTTTCTTTGATAGAGTCTATATTTAGTGAGGTTCTAGATAGATACTCTTGAAAACTTTTTCACATGAGCACCTTAGAGAGAAATATGTTACACTTTTGAAGATAAATAATGTATAATTAATCATCTATACTCCTGGTCTTGAAATGGGGGAGCAAAAACAGGAATGTTCTTTTCAGCAGAATTATAACATTCCTGAAAGTCCTCCCCAGGCCAAAGGTGTTCATCAGAATTGTCTAATGGGGATTTAGTTGTTTCCATTAGCTAAAAGCCAGAGAGTATTTTTGTTGATTAATACATCATTTATTTGATTTGTTTGTATTCTTTCAATTATATTGGTATACACTGTATTGCAAAATCATGTTTGAATTTGTTGGAAAGATTCTTTCCCAGCTTCAGCAATTGTTAAACAATCCATGCTTTCTTAATGTTATAAGAACTGCCTTAATAACAATAATTTTAATGCTGAGAGTCTTCAGTCTAGAATGTAGCGATATTTTTTTCAGGAGAATTATTTGGCAATCTTTTGTTTTTATACTTTTTAACTAGGCTACATTTCCAGGAATGTATTATGACATTGCAAGCAACTACAGGTTATGTTAACATTGAATTGAAAATTATTATTTTTAGTCTATTTTTTAGAGTGAAGCCATCTTTCAGTAACTAAATCAGCATTTTTCATGATTTATATTATTTATTACTGTTATTAATCTTAGTATACTTCGATTAAAATCAAAAGGAATTTATTCCTAATCATGAAATTATTTACAATAAAAAATGTCAGATTGAACTCCAAGAAACATATTTAGAGACACTACAAAACTTAGATTATTCAAACTCATACAGACTAGAGACACTAGAAAACTTAAATTATTCAAATTCATTTAGTCTAATGATAAAAACTTATTTATATGGTTTGAGAGGCTTCTCATCCTATTAACATACCATTTGGCTATAATTTTTGTTGACAACTTTCAGGAGTAATAAGGCAGTGCATATTATGCCTTGAAACCCTGAACGACTTCATATTCCTGCTCTAAACCTTTAAATCGCTGATGAAACGTTGGCTATACTGTATACATGTGTTAATAGCTTAAGCTATTGATCTTAACCTAAATAATAACTACAAATATTATTATATTTTGAAAGAAAGTAAAAATATTTTGAAAGAAAGTGAAAATATAATTACTGGACATGTGGAACTATGACATTGTGTAATGCTATCTTAGAGAATATGCTGAATTTATAAGGAAAGCACCAACTATACATTGAAAATATTTGAACATGTTGAAAAACATTTCTCTTTTTTTTTCAGGCAACTTTCCGAAATCTAGCAGGTGGTGAGCAAAGTAGAGAAGCCTTCTTGGCCGTCCTATCCAACCTTGATGCATTCCTTATTAGGGCCACATACCACTCCATCATGGGGGCCTCTGTGCTGAGTGACCTCTCCCTTGAGACTGCAGTGCCCCAGGACAGAGGGCTGGGCTCAGCCTTGGTGGAGGATTGTGTCTGCCCTCCAGGCTATTCAGGCTTATCTTGCCAGGTATATACACACATTCATATTTATGTTTCTTTGGTTTGCTATGTAATGTATGAACAATGTAGCAATGTACACTCATTTTAAAGTAGAAAAGTTGTGTCTGGTATATAGGTTACCCTGAGGTACCTTTGAGACTTATTTGTTTTTGAAATCGGTTACCCCACCAGATATACATAAAAATCTGGTTATCCTTTGAAGAAGTTTTTTTAACAGAGAAGTCTAGCCTTTGCTTATATGAGTAGATGTACATGAACAGCATGCTTCCAGGAATGTGCTGAGGGTTATTCACGTGTACCTGACCCCTCCAACCCCAGTGGGCCAGGCATCTGCGGAAGATGCAGCTGCAATGGACATGCCACATCATGTGACCCAGTTTCAGGAGCATGCCTAGTAAGTATAGCACATGCTGAAACAAAGATGTAATTGGTCTTAAGTGGTATGAAATTTAACACAAGGAATGTACCATATACGTTCTAATTCAAGTATTAAACATTATATATAACTGCAGCTGTTATAAGGAGTTGTTATTAAATCATTATTGTATTCTAACAATTCCAATTACAAAATGAAGAGAATAGAAAATTATGATTTAAGACTTAATCCAATTTCTTTTCACATTTTTAAAACTTTCTAGATGAAAAGATCTAATATGATTGAATATACATATGCAATTTTTCGTTTAGAATTGCCGTGACAACACCGAAGGAGATAGATGCGAACGATGTGTGGCTGGTTTCTATGGTGACCCTACATCTGGAACTAGGAATGACTGCAGACAGTGTGCTTGTCCTCTTAACCTACGCACCAATCAGTAAGCCACAAACATTAACTTGGATGCTTCCAGAAAAATCTTTATATTTGTTGTTAATATCTTGGAGAGTATCCTTCAAATAAATAAGATCAAACACACATGAATCTCTTATTAGTTATAAAGTTAGCACGGGTCTGTGGCAGTCATACTACAGATAGGTAAATGCAGATTATGATTACATTTAACTGCAGTCGTCTGATTCAAGTACTGTAATATTATGCTGTTTGTTTTGTAGGTTCTCTCCAACATGTAGACTGGGAAGTGATGGACGACCATTTTGTGATGCATGCCAGACTGGATATACAGGACCAGACTGTGGAACGTAAGTGTGCTAGATGCCATATACTGGACCTAGAACTCTCATTCGATTTCAGCTTCATTTTCAATGTTTGATGAATTTCCAGTTGTAAATTACACACTTTGAGTTCCAAAGCCACATATTTGTAGAAATAAAAGTAGTCATTTTTAAAGGGACAAAGTGTTTTTCTATGCAGTAGATATACAGTATAAACAATTATTTAAGTGCAGTACACCTTTAACCTACTAGAACTAGAGATTGATATATCTCATCCATTGCAGGTGTGCTCCAGGGTACACTGGTGACCCCAGGCAACCAGGAGGCTTCTGTGAGCGTAGGAACAACCCAGGTAAATAAAATGAACACTTACATTACATAGTAGCACATCCTCATGAGAAATTATAGAAGTATTAAATGAAATATGGCAAAATATATCTACGTAGTTTATTGCCTTAAATCTATTTTACATCTATATCTATTATGTTTGATATCTGTACATGCTGTTGTTGCAGAGCCTATAAGAGTTAGCATCAGTCCCAGCAGAGTATCTCAGCCTCAGGGAGGTTCTGTCACTCTTTACTGTGACGTTGAAGGTCAAGGCCCCTTCAACATTGTATGGACCCGTGCTGATGGTCGATCACTCCCCGACAGAGCATATATTGGTGGAGATAATTCTTTGGAGATTAGAGACCTTGTCCCCAATGATAGTGGTACCTACATATGCCAGGCTGTGGGGGCAGAGGGCACTGGTAGGAGCACAGCTGAGATTACTGTCGTCAGTAAGGAAATTTTCCATTTCATTTATTTTTAAAGTTTTTAAAATGGCACCAAATAGAGTACAGACTACACAGGGTAAAATATTGAAATCTATATATTTTCAAAAAGCATGCCATTGTCTTACAATTTTTTGGGAAGTTCCAACTCATATCAAGTCTTTGTTTATTTTAACATTATACGTAGTTTCATAGATTGTACTTTATAGTTTTAATTGGGATTATGAGTCTAATGTGTCATGTTTTGATACTGTTGTCAAGAGACATACTGAACAGATAAGAGTATTTATAATTTGAATTAGTAAAATTACCAACAAGGTATTCCTGAACATGATTAGATCAAATTCATTTGAATGGTGCATTTCATGATATATTTCAGGTTCTCGTCCAATGGTGGTACGTGTAGAGGAGCCCAAAACTCAGGCAGTTGAAGAGGGCACCACTGTACGCTTCTATTGTACAGGAATCAGCACGGTGAGAACATTTACCACCATTTCATTGGTTGATTATGTAATGCATCGTATCATATTTATTCATTAACACAATGAAGCAGATAAATTCAATACGTAAACTTTATTTCTGGTATCGAAATGGAGTAAAATGTTCAAGAATATTGTATTTTATTGCTTCATTGAATAGACACCTCATAAATGTATCATTTTCCACGATGAGTTTTCGTGAAAAGGGCATCAGTGGAAAATGATATTGTAGAAAATAAAGAATAATTAGTTCCATCTCATGCACTGTATTGTTCAAATCAATTTCAATATATATAAATATAAATAGTAAAAGAGAATGGATTATTTGACAAAATTAGAAAATAAACCGATCATTTATGACTCTACTTTCTAATTTTGTATTCAAAGTCTCAATGTTGCATTTTGGAAATTATAAACATGTCTCTTAGGACATAATATAAGATTTAGTGTTGTAATACTCTCTTATCTTAGTTGTAAAAGCTGTATAGGTAGATACACATTATAAATACTTTTGAACAATACTAATATGTACATCTGTAAATACGATCTTTTCCTTTATTTGTTCTTCTTTATATGTAGTAAACAAAAATTAGTTTTTTCCAAATGTTTGATGTAATTAATGACGTTATTTCACAAGTGCACAACCTCCACATTCAGAATGATGGTAGATTTCATATTTTCACATTCTTCTACTGATCAAAATATCAGTAAACTTGAAATAGTTAATATGCAATTTACCAGTGTCTCTAATTTAGTTAGTACACTCCACATGTAGTGTTTATTTAAACTCATGTTTCTGTCTGCAAAAATGTATGAAAACTATTGTATGAAACAAAATATTGGTAATGTGCCGAGCTTCAATAGCGATAAATACCACTACTGGAGCTTAAAATGGCTGGACACTACATTGCATCCATGCTCTATCGCAACTCTGTAAACATGTCTATTATATGATTGTGTTTATATTCTGGTTTTAGGCTGGCGGTAGAGGGGCAGGAGTAAGTGGTTGACGTCACTTGCATGACGGGAATGGCTCTGCCAGCTTATTGATTGATATTTATCCACATTCAAGGCTTTATACACTCTTACCTAGAACTTTGCGAAAACCATATCAATTTTTTTTAACACTGAATTGTATTTCATCTATTAGCAATACAGTGAATGTCAATCATAGGAATATGTTTCTTTTTCAGACCACATCTGAGGTAACATTAAATGTAGGTTAATTAAGAATAGGGCACAATCATTTGCATATTTAAAAAGTTAAAAAGATGGCACAATCATGTACAAATTACAAATAATAAAAAGGCACAATTATTTTCATATTCAAATAAAAAGAGGGCACAGTCTATTACATATTCATATGTTAAAAATCACAATCTTTTACTTAATCATATAAAAAGAGGTCACAATCATTCACTTTCATATATTAAAAGGCACAATCATTTATATTTTCAATAAAAAGACGTCACAATCATTCACTTTCATATATTAAAAGGCACAACCATTTACATATTCAAATAAAAAGAGGACACAGTTATTTACATATTTATATATTAAGAGGCACAATGATTTACATATTCTAATAAAAAGATTCATATATTAAAAGCCTCAATCATTTACTTATTCAAATAAGAAGAGGACACAATTGTTTACATATTCATTTGAGAGGGCACAATGATTCACATATTCAAATAAAAAAGGGAACAATTATTTACATATTCAAGTATTAAAAGGTACAATTATTTACTTATTCACATAAGAGGGGACAATTATCACATCTTCAATTTAAAAATGGTCACAATCATTTACATATTCATTTAATTAAAAAAGGGTGCACAATTATTTACATATTCTCATTTTTTCATCATTTTAATATGCTTCCCTTTTTACATTATCACTTGGCTTCAGTTCCTATGCCTTTGCTTTGATCCATTCAAAGAGTGAACAAAGCCTAATACATTTCCACCTCCAGGTTTGATCTTCCATATAGATTGCTCAACTGAAAATAGAGAGAAGGTTAATTTTTCAATGTTTGTCTATATAACCGATAGAAGTTCTATTGCTTTTTTGGGGAGAGTCAATCTTGAACATATGTGTTTTAAACTTTTGAAATGTATTTTTTGAACTTTGAAATATTGACCTATCTATGATCTGTTTGTGTTAATCTATAGAAGATCCAACCAGAGGGATTTTTTTATACAGAATATTTAACTGCTTTATTTAAAGATGTCGCTTTACAGGAATGTTGCTAAGTCACCTAAGCTTCTACAGTTTGTTCGTGGCTGAATTAGGCTTTATATGTTACAACATCTACACACTATATAAGTAATAAGCTACTCAATGAATCACAGATACACATGCCTTACCCAGGGATACATTTATTTTAACTTATGGACACACAAATGCTTTACTTACTGACACATATGCTTTATTTAAAGACACACATAGTTGATTTATATCTGGCTGAACAAAGTTTGAATTCAGATTTAGAGAAGTTGTCTATTTATTGATCCATCCATTCATCTGGCCAGGTGTCTCCAATACTTGTTGAGAAATGTGGTTAAATTTATAGCTAATTCCTAGGGGGACATAGAACCTCTGCTGAAGATTGAATTTTCAGTATGGCAACTCAATTCAAAATGGCCCCTATTTTTCTTGAAATTTTTATAATTTATTTTGATAACTAAATACCTCTGCTCAAGAAGAAATGGCTGCTTATTTCAAATTAGCCACCATTTTTAATTTCTAATATGGCTTCTTGTCAAATCATGGATGTAGATGTTGAAAAGATGATGGTCTAATCAACCATGAATATAAAACTACCATTTGACTGCACCTGACCATTTTTGAAAGGACAATAGATATTTCAGGCGTAACAGATCTTTTTCTATGTACTAGATGGTGTGTGAATATATGTACTTTACCATAAACTTGAACATAAGGAAAGTAAATGCTAAATTGTGAATAGAAGTATATGATCTTATTTTCTTCTCAATGCTGTTTTGGACTGTTACGCAGAGCCTCTAGTTGATTTGGATATTTGGATATAGTTGAAGAATTGTTTTGATAAAATAGTTTTTGCTTGGATATTTTGAAGCCATGCTTTAGACATGTTGCTAGCTTTATGAGCTACTTAAAGTTACTCAATGCCCATGTGTGATCTTTGATACATCAAATATGAAAAAAATCAGAAATAGATTATTTTTTATTTTGGTACATTTTAGGATCAGAGTTGGGCACTGAGCTCCTTTAATTTTGAATTTATATGGATTTCCTGTACAGTAGTTAACTGATATTTATTTAACTTTAAGAGGGGTGCATTTGTTTTCTACTATATTTTATGTTAAACCAGTAAAGTGTGTTATAAATATTCTAGGTAGTCAAAGTTGTGTATACTGTAGATATATGTTGTATGCTTTGTTTTGTTGAGCTATATGTATTTAGACCCTTACCTCACAAATTAAATGTTAACTTATATACATGTATACAAATTATTTGCATGTTTGCTTTACTTTCTAGCATTACTTACACAATGTAACACATATATGTATAATTTATAATTTAACGATTCTTTTTACATTTATAATCTTGATGTTATATTCTATATATGTTTCTTTTTGTGTTTCTGATATATTCTTTTAATTTGTTTTAAAAGTTTTCAATTCTGTTAACTTGTGAATTGTTGATAATTGTTAGTAACAGTCAATATTGTACACCTGAGTGCCTTTTGTTGTTATATCCTTACTATATATATTGTAGATAATCCCTTTCTTGAGATATATTTGGTTACAGTTAAGTTGATATGCATGGAGAGCAATAAGCAATAGAACTTTTGATTTATTTTCTGAAGATGTATTCTTGTTTGGTCAGTCATGGATGATCTTCTCATAGTCACATTTGTAACAACCATTGTAACCATTTATATCCAACTTTTCCCTTTCAGAACATATACAGGGTGTTCAGTAATATGCTTGGAGTATATTTTGAATACCCTGTACCTTTATGTACTTGTACCCCATAAATGTGAGACATTTCTACTCTCAAATCACAATATCACAACCTCTTTATTTTTGGCTGTCATATTGAAATTGAGGATTCATTTACTCAGTATTCTCACATTGACTGGGGTATGTACTGTGCATGTTGTGCACCGAATGAACACCAAAGGACAATTCCCAGGTCTTTATATGACTGATTATTTGACCAATGTTTCCAGGTGACCTATATCCTAGCCTGGACCAAGCAGTTAGGCAGTCTTCCAGCAAAGGCAATTGATGATGGCATGGGAACTCTGACCATTAGGAATGCAGAACAGAGTGACAGTGGCACCTATGTGTGCACTGGATCCAACTTGTACACTACAGCTACTGACACTGGAACTCTCTCAGTGGGAGGTAAGATCATAATATTACTCTTAGAATGCCATCCACAGGGGCGGACATGGCAAGGGGATGGGCAAAAATATTGTTTGGAAAATCATGTATCGCAAAATTATTCGATTAAAGAATTCCACAATATTGGGGCTGAGTCTTTGGGCCTCCGGGTCAGCTACAAATATTTTGAAATTCAGAATTTGCTTTATATCAATGATTTATGGATTTTCTCTTCGCTGTGTTTCTAGTTGGAAGTGAGGCACCTTCAGTCAGGATTGAACCTAGGTTCTTGAGCATCAATGTTGGGGATCCCATTGACTTCAACTGTATTGCAACAGGACGTCCTCTCCCTAGCATTGAGTGGACTGGGGGACGTGGTGGTGAGATCAGTTCTGAGGCTGAGTTCACCAATGGCAGGTTCTTCATTGCAAGAGCACGTAAGAGTGACGAGGCAGAGTACCACTGTACAGCAACCAATGTTGCAGGATCTCAGTCTGTCAGGACTATAGTCTATGTAGCTGGAGGTAGGTGCAGCGTAGAATTCTGGTACTGTCTAATACTAGAGGGTTCTGTCGACATTTAGGTTTCATTTTACCATGAATGTCTTTACGATAAAGGATATTTGTTGTATGATGCCAATAATACACTAAAATATCTAAAACACTTTGTCTTTTCATGGTTCTTCAGAACTTAACCCCAACATACTGACTTTTACTATGTGAGCTACAAATGTTTCATGTTTTACACTACAAATTCAGCACTGAGTTTTTAATTGATGTCTTTTTTGATGAACATGTAAATGCTCATATTTCTGATTTCCAATATTATTCCCTCTTTTATGTTTTATACCCTAATGTTACAGAGGAGGAGAAAATTGATATTGTGATTACTGAGGGACCTGAGGTGACTATATCAATAGGTGTAGAGGCAAGACTAAACTGTGGAGTGAGAGGAGACTTTGATGGAAGGATTGACTGGACCAGAATAGGTGGACAGTTGCCTCCAGGTAATAACAGATGTATTCTACCCTAATGGTTTTATGAAAGTAGGATACTGTAGTAAATGAGGAGCAGGCTGTCAGCTTCAAGATATTCGAGTAGTGTTGCCCCATATTAAACCTCAGCTTTAAATAATGATAAATTCTAAACCTATAAAAATCTGATGAAATATTGAACTTTGCATTTCAGGGTCAAGACAGGAAGGAGGTGTTCTTATCATCCCAGATGTACGGCCATCATATGCAGGTCGCTATCAGTGTAAGGCAACAGCAAATTCAGGCATTAGTGGCATAGCTATCACTGTCCTCATCATTAGCCAGGGACCTGTCAGTAAGTAGAGATACATCATCACATTGCAAGAGACAACACTACCCTAGTTATATGCAAATGGGGCTCATGTTTCACAAACCTTGTATTAACCAATCACTCATCATGTCATATTGATATAATGTGTCCTTGAACAAATAAAGAGGTATCTGATTTCACAAAGGGAAAGAAGATGCCAAAATTCATATTATTATAACATAGGTTAGTATCATAAATATTTAACAATACCATTACAAATTTTGTGAATTAGAAATAATTATATAATACTAGTTAACTGTTGATTATTTATATTCTAGCTGAGGCCCCTACAGCCACCATAGAGCCACAGAGGACTACAGTGTCTACTGGGCTCTCAGGCTCATTGAGGTGTCTTGTCACTGGTACTCCAACACCTACCATCACCTGGTCCAGAGCCAGGGGAGAACTTTCATCAAACCACCAGGTAATGTTAATGCTACACACATTTAAAGACAACAGAGAGATCAGCTATTCATTTTCCAAATGAATTATGATTTTTGGAGACCTTGGTTGATATTGTCTGCTAAGATTTCTTCCCTAAAGTGTTTCATTCATAATTGGTAAAATATGAGATAATGCTTAAGCCGAAGGAAAAGTCAAGCATTTGTTTTTTTGTCTCATTCTTACAAAAGTCATCTAAAACAATATTAACATGATGAAGATAATACGAGTAGCATGATCAAGATAACAGATCATTGATCAGGGTCATAAGTAGAGAATGAATGCAGCTAACCACCTTGTGATAATGAATTATTAAATGTTAAACTCACTGTTGTATTTCAGGTGAACAATGAGATCCTACGTATCACAGAGGCCTCAATGAAAGATAGAGGTCTTTATATCTGCTCAGTCGAGAATGTAGCAGGCAGAGACCAAGCCTCAGCTATTGTAGAAGTTGAACGTGAGTTATGTTCTAGTCAATCAAGCAATATTGGTCATCATATTATTATTGTTAAATAAGTGCAGAGCAAGAGTGTTTACATACATGTACATGTAGATAGACTGTTTATGTGTTAGTCTTGTATGTTGATGACGTATTCACAAAAATGGAGGTACTTGCACATTTTTGAAAATGGCTGATTTGTTATTCAAGGACGTGAGGCTCCAGTGCTTGAGATCTATCCAGAAACCACCCAGACTATCCAGCGTGGATCCAGCGTTCTCTTCCAGTGCAGAGTCACCAGGGGTATACCCTCACCTACCATTGTATGGTCAAGGTAAAGACATATCTTCTAATTCCCCTATTGAAATACATTGGAAAACTTGATCATTCCCATATTGTTTAAACTATAGAACACCATATTTGTACTTTGATGATATGAAGCTCAATATCTCTTAGATGCATAGACTACCCTTCTGTCTTTCTTGATTGCAAATGGCAGCACTGTATAATATCCACAAACATCTACTCATATATGTTTTGTGCAGGTCTGGTGGTCAAGCTATGACTGATAACACAGTGATACATGATGATAATGGTGTAATCCAGTTCAACCAGGTGACAGGGAGTGAACAGGGACCATATACTTGTACAGCTACTAATGACGTAGGAACAGTTACTGCTACAGCTTCGCTAGTTGTCCAAGGTAATTGGCACATCCCAAAGGCCAAAACAGCAGTGTGAAATTTCAAAAAATACTTAAATGTTAATATATTTTGTAGTGACCATTTCATTGATTTATATTAATACCAAAACTCCTATCAAAATAGTGACTGAAGAAAAATTAGTGAATGATTTAGCTATAATAATATCAGAATTATAAAGACAAGAAAAGTTAAAGAGAATAAGTTGATTGTCACATTTGTTAGCATGGAAGTTGAATTCATATGAATGTGTTAATTTTTTGCAAGACAATTTTTGTGCATTGTAATTCTTTGGCTCAAATAGAACAATGCTCGAACAATACATCATGATTATTATGACCATGACCCTGATTTATTATGTCACCACCAAAAGTGGTGACATATTGTTATGGTCTCCGTTTTTTTTGCGACGGCGGTTGGTGGTTGGCGTCCGGCGTCCGGCGGTTGGAGGTTGGCGTCCGGCGTCTGTAACAATTTCTTACAACTTCCTATAACTTAACAAATATTGTTGAGACTGACTTCAATTTTTTCTAAATCATCTACATGTTCTCAGAAGTTCAAATCTGACTTTAGGTTTGACATTTGACCTTCAATGACCTTCTCAAGGTCAAAAAGGTCTTTTTTCAACTTGCTTCACATTGACTAAATTTTTTTTCAAAATCATCTACATGTTCTCAGAAATTCAAATCTGACTTTAGATTTGACTTTAGATTTGACATTTGACCTTCAAATCTGACTTTAGATTTGACATTTGACCTTCAATGACCTTCTCAAGGTCAAAAAAGGTCAAAAAGGTCTTGTTTTCAACTTGCTTCAAATTGACTAAATTTTTTTTTCAAAATCATCTACATGTTCTCAGAAATTCAAATCTGACTTTAGATTTGACATTTGACCTTCAATGACCTTCTCAATGTCAAAAAGGTCTTTTTTTCATCTTGCTTCAAATTGACTAAATTTTTTTTTCAAAATCATCTACATGTTCTCAGAAATTCAAATATGACTTTAGATTTGACATTTGACCTTCAATGTCCTTCTCAAGGTCAAAAAGGTCTGTTTTCAACTTGCTTCAAATTGACCAACTTTTTTTTTCAAAATCATCTACATCTTTTCAGAAGTTCAAATTTGACTTTTACAAGGTCTCAGAAGTTCAAATCTGACTTTAGATTTGACCTTTGACCTTCAATGACCTTCTCAATGTCAAAAAGGTCTTTTTTCAACTTGCTTCAAATTGACTAATTTTTTTTCAAAATCATCTACATGTTCTCAGAAGTTCAAATCTGACTTTAGATTTGACATTTGACCTTCAATGACCTTTTCAAGGTCAAAAAGGTCTTTTTTCAACTTGCTTCAAATTTACTTAATTTTTTTTTCAAAATCATCTACATGTTCTCAGAAGTTCAAATCTGACTTTACATTTGACATTTGACCTTCAATGACCTTCTCAATGTCAAAAAAAGTCAAAGAGGTATTTTTTCAACTTGCTTGACGAATTTTTTTTTCAAAATCATCTACATGTTCTAAGAAGTTCAAATCAAACCTTCTTAGGGACAAAAGGTATTTTCCAACTTGCTTTAAATTGACCAAATTGTTTTAGGTGGTGACATTTTGTCATGTTAATGCCTTGTATATAGAACTCTATTATTTTTTCTTTACTTCAGGTCTCCCTAAGGTGATGATCAGTCCAAGGAGCCCTCTCAATATACGTGAAGGCCAGGCATTGCGCATTGAGTGTGTTGCCGAAGGTGACCCCACCCCAACAGTCTACTGGCAGACATCTGACAACTTCAGGACTGAAGGTATCCCTGAGGGTGCTGTGGGAGCCCAGCCTGGATCTGCTGTCTTTGAGATTACTCGTGTTACAGTCCGGGATGCGGGAGTCTACATATGTGTGGCTCAGAGCTCTTCTGGACGATCAGAGGAGAGATTCGAACTGATTGGTGGGTGAAGATTGATATGAAACTAGTACCACCCTGCGTTATGTAAAAATGATAATCGCATTTTATTTGATACAATAGTGAACAGATTCCTGATGCTAATGATTTAAATTCATGAAAATCATCATCATGATTTTCATGCATTTTGTTCTCCAAACAATGTTATATGATTTGTATTTGGTTTACAGTTGAGAGAGGAGTACAACCTACAAGACCACCAATTGGACCTGTTGATCCACCCCAGATCTACCCTCGAGATACTCTCAGTCTTGTAGAGGGACAGCAGGCAGAATTAAGGTGTACTATTGCAGGTGAGTTCAGGTGTACCCCATCATGTTAGTTCAGATGTATCATATCAGGTGTGTTCAGGTCTATTATCATCAAGTCTGAATTCATCAACATGCTTTTTCTAGTCCTGTCGTATTTTAGTAGCAAAATATTGAAAATATAGAATATAAAGAGGCTTAACTTATATTATTACAATTTCTAGAATTATAGGTAACATTATATTTTGATCATCTATATTTTAAGGTAATCCCCCACCCAGAGTCAGATGGACAAAGGCCTCAGGAAACTTGCCACCAAACCATTCTATCCGAGATGGTGTGCTAACAATCAAGCGAGTGCAACCAGAGGATGCCGGAGAGTATATATGTAGTGCCAGTACCCAGGTGGGGGCCGTCTCAGTCAGTGTTACACTAGTTATAACAGGTATGTGTTAAGTTACATGCAAGCCAGGCTAGTAGATTACATATATGTTAAATAGGTTATTCGTTTTAGCATTACACCTACTTGGGCAATATAATGCAAGATCAAATTTCTATGCAAGATCATAATTCTGGTATCTTTTTAACAAATATTGCTACAAATCTGAATGCTTTATGATCTCAATGATTTATTATCTGTAATGTAACGTTTACACTATTCAATTCATTTTCAATTTAAGTTCCACCAACTGTGTCCGCCACACCCCCCAGTCAGACTGTACGACCAGGAGAGCGTGTACGTCTTTCCTGTAATGCCAGGGGGACAGACCCCATCACTTTGGAGTGGACCAAGGTTGGAGGTGGCCTATCTCCATCAGCTTTTGAGAGAGCAGGTGTGCTTGATATCTCACAGATCACTGCTGCTGATGCTGGACAGTACAAGTGCATTGCTACCAATGTAGCAGGCAGGTCTGAAGGCATTGTAGAGATCATCGTTAGTGGTAGGTGTATCTACTCATACATCATCTCGTTACTTGACTGAATGAAATATTTGTGAGTAATTTCAGTAATAAAGCTCTTTCTGTGTACTGTAGGGTTCATAGTATTTGACTCAAATAAGCCACAATGTAAAATCTGAAGAATGAAGGACGGTAGACCTAATTCATGACAATATGTATTCACAACCATGATCAATTATGTCATACATATTACAGTGCCACCAACAGTCAGTGTTGGGCCCAGAGATGAGGCTAGGGCTGTAGGAGACACAATAGAGTTCCGCTGTGATGTAACAGGTAACCCACGGCCCAGGATCGAGTGGACCAAAGATGGTGGGGCACTCCCAGAGACCCATTTCATACAAAATGGTGTACTAAGGTAAGATTTATCAAATTTCAGATCTATTAAACAGAATAAATAGATTATTAGAAGCCTTAGAAGTTGACTGAATTTATAAATAATTCTCAATTTATTTTTATCTTTTTTCTTGCATGCATAGTTTATATCATGATATTCTAGCTAATGCTGAGCTAAATTCTGAATCAAAAATAATGATGTGTTATTTAGTATCTATAACTTGGCTGAAGAGGATTCTGGTCGATACATCTGTATGGCCCGCAATGACGCAGGTGCACAGAGAGACTATGCCTATCTCCGAGTTGAAGGTAGGCCTCCACTTTATTACTACAGAATACTTCACAAAGAGTCGTATACATGAAAGATTTCATTTTGTTGAAGGAATTCCAAACTTTTTATTCAAATTGATGTGCAGCAGTAGGGCGGGCACCAAGCTTCATGATGTAGTTTTTCTAATTTAAAAATGTTTGAAATTCCCTCATGAAATCTTTTTGAAGGTGTATGATACCTTAATAAACAATGAAAAGTTCGTACATGGGAATTTTAGGATAACTCTGTTTGAAAATTATTACATCAGGCATACACACCTGTACATCTCTCCTTTATGATATTCCCTTTTTTAACAATTATAAATCTTTCTACTAATAAGATTTGAACTAAACTGTTTCTTTCATTTCAAACTTTTGTAATGACTAATATAATATATTCGAGTTTATGTATTATATTATATCAGTCTGGAATCAAGATCTACCATGTTACAACAGCAATACTGGTTACCTGTTTGTAGTACACCTTTGCATGTGTAAATCAAGAAATTCTTGTGGAATTTTTGACGAATAGTGAGAACTTTGGTGATTGGTTTTGCTACTCTATATAACTTCAGGAAATGTGTATCACTTGACATTGTTACTTTTCGATATTTTTTTCATGATTTTTTTTTATTATTAATCAATTGCCAAAATAACTGACAATGCATTGAAACACAATGAAATGTGAAGACATTATTAAAAGGAACTTCAATGAACTTCCTATTGTTGTTAGCTCCTACCTTGATCCCAGACTAATATAGTGACTTAATACTGTATTCTTTTTCTTGTATATCACCTTCATAATTTGTACTCATGTTGCTTTTGCTTCAGTGCTTTCTATACAATTTACATAGTATAATATGGTGCACATATCTGCTACTTTCTTTATGTTTATGCTTTCATTTCTTTATTTGTTCATATAGGGTGGGCTAAAAATATAACTTTAGATTCATGCATTAACATTGTGAGTATTTCATCATATTAGGATTCAAATTACTTCAAATAACTGAGTGCTAATTTTGGATGGATGGGTCATTCAAAATGTTTTCCTTACATAATTGGAGAAACTTGCCATCACGATTAGTCCATCACTTGTTATTCGCTTTTTTGGCTCACCATGTACTTGTGTGGTATTTCAGAGACTCCAGTATTCACATGTTTTTGTTATGCACATATTAATATATTTCCATTCATGTGAAACATTTTTATATTTATACTCGTTAAAATTGTGTTTGCACACATCTGATTGTAATTGCTGTTCGCCAGTTGGAATTAAGCTTAGCTTTTCTGTGAAAATTCACATTGTATTTTATTAATATAGTCAATTTTTGGCACGCACATTAATGTAATTCTTGACATATTTGATAAAGAATGGCATATTCATTTGAACTAATTTTTATAAGTTTGCTATTAATGCTGGATTCTTGTACATTATTACTATTTTTATGAAAAGGGATATGATCTATCAGAAAATAATATTCAAAAGTATCCTATTTTGAAAAAAATATTGTTTATTGCAAAAGTTTTCAAATGCAGTAAATTCTGAAGGAACTGAGAGAAAATTTAACTCTATGTCAAATCTAAATGCTTTGTTTATGTCTCACTTGTATGAAACTCAGACCCTGTGCATCTTGGCCCATTGTCCTCTTCTGTGGTTACGTTTATTTGTTAAATTTCAGCTTATTGCTTCCACAATTATATAGAGCTTAACATGAAAGCTGAATCTTGTACTTGACATGGCTATTTTGCCATTTTGTTCATTATTATGTATGGCATATAGGTATGCTAGCCTAGCAATGTGGGCAGTAGAAAGAGCTCTGGTTTAGGTACATAGTGAAGTAAAAATTTCATCTTTGTGTTTAGTAGCAAGATACAAACGTGATATAAACGTGATGCTCTCTGATCAGGGTAAGTCATTCTATCAACCACATTGTGTTGTCATAGCAACCATATTTTGGTCACCTAGTAACCATAATTTGGTTAGAAACCGCAATGTGGTAATCTTACAAGCATTCAAATTAAGTCTGTTAAAGCTCTGTCTGAAGGACATGTATTCTCTATTGACCCCATAGATCCAAGTTGCGTCCACTTTCTGCATTTACATAAAAGGGAATCAGTTAGCCTCTTGGGATTTGTTTCAAAGCTTCTTTCTATCATATATAGGCAGGGACTTCATTTTTGCTTTTATAACAAGTAAGGTATAACAAGGTATTCATAATTTTATTGCCTTGCAACATTTTAGTCAAGTTCATTCCAAATGCTTGGTGTCAGTTCATTTAATTGTCAAATGTTATCTTGATTTCTTAAGATATAATAGTTTTATATGCTGCCACTTGCGTCATATGCTAGCATTCTAATTTGTGTTTGTGATTTTCTCTTGAATTAATCTAATTCAGATAACCTAGAAACAGTTTGAATTTCATTAATTGACATTAATAACTCTTCATCCTTGCAAATATGTGATTGTGTTTTAGAGACCTTTTTGGAGTTTAATATCAGGGAGCTCATATATCATGATATGGTAATTAAAGGCTAAATAAACCATGGTTTCTAGAAATATGATGAATGAGGAATCCATATACCAAATCCATGTTGGATAATTATTGAGAAAGTCTTCATAAAACTGTTACTGCTAACTGCAAATTATTTACGCCCGCTTAGAGGTCAGATCAGTAAAACAACATCTGGCAAAAAACAGTTTTTCATTTTGAGTTTGCCTACTAAAAATTTGAATATTGATTTGAATTGCTCATATCAAAGCATGCTAAAGTTAACCCCTTTATAAAGTTCTCTTTTTATGTAATTTTCAGGAAAACTGTACAGTACCACATCTCATATTATTTTGGATAATTTGTCAATGTTAATTCCATAAACTGTCATAGGAAGATGTACCTGGGGCACTTAACACATTAAATGACAAGTACTCAGCAATATAAACTATATAATTCAATTATGGCACAAAACTATATCTGCTTTTGCCGGAAATCGATATCTCTCCAGCCCCTTTATACAATTTCAACTGGTTTATCTTTGCACAATGCTCTATTAGTTTCAATACACATGTACATGTACATACACATGTACATGTATATACATATGTGTTATTGAATGTGCTTCAGAGCTACAAAAGCTACAGATAATATTGCACATCTTCTTAGGCATCATTCAAATACTTTGAATTTTGAGTTCATGTAAAGCTTCAAATACAGTTTGGATATACCCTTATTGTGAGTAACCTGACGCAAAATCAAAATTTAAAGTGTTGATTAAATGTAAAATTGAATTGCATCAGCTTTACCCAGTTTAATTAGCTGTATGTTGAATTCAAAATTACATGAGTTAGAAATGCCAGATAGAAGATACATCTGCAAGTAGAAGCCTAAAGAATACAAGACTCTGAATATAAATACAGTACATGTCTATTATTGTATATCATCACAAGAAATGTTTTGCATATATTGCAAGCAGCTCATTTTTGTTTGTTAATAAAACATTTACTTGTACTGTATTGTGTTCACTGTTATAACATAAGTATCATTGCTACTTTTTGTGTTATAGCACGGAGAACGGAACGGCCAAATGTAAGAGTGGAGGAGCAGACAGTCTCTGTTGGGGACAGAATAGAACTGAGCTGTGAGGCAACAGGTTAGTGGGGTTTGTTTTCAGAAGGCAAAATGTCACATTTAAAATAAAACAAATGGTCAAATGGTCAAAAATACATGATGTATCATACGAATAAATGGCTATTTTTGTTGAATTAATGAAAGTAAATGTTATGGATTTATGTCTTAAATTAAATAAATGTGTCTGATGTGATCAGACTTAAATGAATTCCTAGTTGAGATCTTGAAAACTCTGTTTAGGTACACCACAGCCCATCCTTAACTGGGAAAAGACTGAAGGGGGACTACCAAGCAATGCTGAGATCAATGGTGGTCTAATGATTATTCCATACATCGAAGCAGAACATGCAGGCACATACAGATGTATTGCATCTAATATAGCAGGCACTGTCTTCTCCCAAGTGGTCCTATTTGTACAATGTAAGAAAGTATTAAACTTGTCTGGCTATTGTTGCATGCGATCTTTGGGTCATATCCTTGGGTTTTGAATATGTGGATCAAGAGGAAAATGAAAATGCAGATTGAGTGTTCATCCACATCAAGTGTGAAAAATTAGATTAAAGTATAACATAAAATATGACTAGATCTTTCACTTGTAGTGCAATACCACTTCTTGATGGTGAAAATTGTTATAGCTACCATTTTTGACTGTTTTTTTGTAATTAATTGTTAACTTTTGTAAGCATTTATGATAACAGGTTGTGAGGTTTTGTCACATTAATGTATTGTTTATTTATTATTGTTTTATACTCTTTATTTATTTACTCGACAGCTGAGCCAATCATCCCAGTTGCCACAAGCACAGTACAAGCTACTATAGGCAGCACTGCCGTGTTAACATGTGACGCCAGGGGATCACCTCCCCCAGCTATATCATGGAGCAAGAAGGAGGGACCACTTCCAAGGTTAGATATTGGTTTGCCATTAGTAGATGACACTAGATATTTAAATCAATTATGCTCTGAACTTTAACATTTGAAAAATCAACAAGGAACAAATGTACTATCTATAAGAAATAAACATTAATATACTCAATGTAGCACTTCAGTATATTTGCTCAACTGTTTTGTAGTGATCACATTCAAGAAGATGGTCGTCTGACTATACCTAACATCAGGCCAGAGGATAGTGGAACATATATCTGCACAGCCCAAAATCAACTAGGTTACTCTGATGCAGAGGTCTACTTGGTTATTGGAGGTATGTTCTCTTGCATACAAGTCATCAAAAGTATACAAAACCCATTATTCATTGGCTCTCAAAAAGTTAAAATTCTTTACAAACTGTCAGCATATATATTTTATTGGAAACAATTGTGTTATCATTTTGTTATAGAGAGCGAATATTATAACTGGGCTCTCAGGACAAGCCTTGTAGCTGAATTATACCAATAAATAGAAGAATGAGAAAATCATACTTTTAGCTTCCCCTTATAATGAAGTCATTTACAGAAAACATGGAAATAAAACAGAAGTATTTCAGCCTTCAGGGTAAAATAATAATTTCTTTTTGTTTTGTTTTTCAGAGCTTGTTCCCTACTTCCAACAGAACCCAGCCTCATATATCAGCTACCCTACACTAAGCAATGCATACACAGAATTTGACATTGACATGTCTTTCAAGCCTCTCACATCCGATGGTATGTAATATCCTATGTATAGTGTTCACGTTTTATTTCTATAAGTATGTTACATTCAAGTACCTTTGATTACACTGCACAAGAAATGCATGATTTTTCATCATTGTAAAACATGTAATACGCATACATGTACTTGGAAACTTATTTGGTGAATTTGAGCTGTACAAATGTACATCATCAGAATGCTTGTGATGTAAATAACTTAGTTCGGATTATTATTATTTAGATAAGTTGTTTTCTAGGTTTGATAATGTTCAATGGACAGCAGAATGACGGAAGTGGTGACTTTGTATCATTTGGTATGGCTGAAGGACACCCTGAGTTCCGCTTTGATGTTGGTTCTGGACCTGCAATCATTCGCTGTGCTGATCCCGTCTCTCTTGACTCTTGGCATAATGTCCGCCTCAGCAGAAAGGAGAGAGATGGTATGCATACATACATCTAATAGTCTAATGCTTTGATAGTATGAGAATCTAAATGAAATTTGACTTTGATAATGAAGATATCAGGCTTCATAATTGATGTTAAAAACATCAGATTGAATTTATAATTACATGGTTTTAACTAAACTTAAAACTCTCTTTTCTATTCCATTAAAATTATTTTTAAAATTGTGAGATACATTTGTATATTAATGTGTACAACATGTTGACTTGCAGGCACAATGATCCTGAATGGACAAGAATACAGAGGTCGTGCCCCTGGTAACTTCCGTGGTCTTGACCTTGTTGACAACATGTACCTGGGAGGTGTCCCAGACTACAACAAAATCCCTCAGGCTGCTGGTTTCAGACAGGGCTTTGTAGGTAAGAAATAAAGTTTTGAGAGTAAGATTCCATTTAAGCTACATTAGGGAATAATCCATGTGTATACAATACCATGTGTTTGTTCAATCAGCATATTAATTTCTTCATAATTTTATGTTAATACATGTAAAACTGTCTATACTTATATTCCTATGTTAAACACCAAGCACAAATATCAACCCAGGCATCACTGTACAATTGACTATGTTACTAGGTGCTGTCAGTCGAGTCCAACTGGATGGTGTCCAGCTGGATCTTGGGGCAGATGCCATTGAGATCATTAATGTGATTGGCTATGACTCCTGCAAGAAGAAGCCCTGTCAGAACCAAGGAGAATGCCTGGCTGCCAGCACAGATGAGGGCTACAAGTGCCAGTGTTTGACTGGATTCTCTGGCAAGAACTGTGAGATTCAAGGAGAAAAATGCTTCCCAGGTATGTGTGAATGAATCATTCTGTTTCTGAACAGTTATTCTTGATATAAGGTTTGCTTTGGAGTTTAAGCTCAAGTATTTGTAAGTAATTTCAATTTTGTGCATTTCATATCATAGATTAATGCAAAAATCCAGGAGAAATTCATGTTAATTAGATTACAATGTTAGATCAGTGCCACATTTCCAGGGTATAAGTCAACTTGTTCTATATCTAGGTGCTTGTGGAGAAAGAGGCAGATGTTATGACTTGAGAGGAGATCTTGGATACAGTTGTACATGTCCAGTTGGCAAACTTGGTGATAGGTGTGAACAAGGTAAGAGCAGAATGCTCTCAAATGTAAGGTATTGCTTATAGGTATTGTGATAGCTCAAGATGTATTTCAAAAAATATATACTGGTATGTGATACATGTATATACGGGTTATGTACTGGATTGTTTTGGATATGGGGCTTATCCAGAAGGAGATATGCATATCTACCTGAGGGACCATCCATTATTCTCTTCCTCACATAAGACACTAGCGAGATTTGATGTAAGACCAAAATGAATGAGTTTCTGTAATTGATGCTGCGTGATGAGCATTATTGTACAAATCTTTGTTCAAAACAGATTCATTACAGTAATTGTCATTTGATGTACATGTATTTCTAGGAATAAGCATCTTATACCCAAGCTTCAGCAATGGTTCTCATATCTCATTCCCCACCCTACAAGACGCCACCCTCAAGTCCGAGATTGTCATGATGTTCAAGTTAAACTCACTTAGTGATGGCATCTTGCTGTATAATGGCCAGAAGAATGATGGTTACGGAGACTTTATTTCTCTTGCTGTCAAGGATGGCAAGATTGAATTCAGGTTCGATAGTGGTTCAGGTAAGGATTGAATTGATTTATTTGTTTGAACTTACTGTCACCCAACAAAAATGTTTGAAAAAATTACTCAAGGGAAAATCTTGATTTCAAGCACTCAAAGAAGTTTAAAATTTTTTTTAAATCTTTAGCCTTTAGAAAATTAAAAGTAACAACTCTGAATCACAAAAGATGAATGGAACTGGAGCAAAACATGTTTTTATGTGCAGGTCCAGCTGTTATCAGGAATGAGACACCTCTAGTGACTGGACAATGGTTCAAGGTTACTGCAGAGCGTAATGAACAAGATGGCTCCCTTAGTATTGATGATGGCGTTGCTGTTAAAGGTATGTTAACTCTCATTGTAACTGACCTATAGAATTATAGTTTATACCACAGATCTAGCCAGACTTTCTCTGCCTTCATTTCTTTTGTACTCCTTGTATTAAATTTGAATATTGACTCAGAAGGCGAGGAAAGTATTGGCTGATGAAGTGGTATTTATAAACAATTGCTTGTCTGTGTCAAAACCTTGCAAATACAGAGTGAAATGAAGAATAACATTGTGACAATGTCATGTTTTAAGGGCAATTGGGTATATGTCAAGAGGCAGGTGTATAAGAGATACTGTTGACTCAATGTTGAGGAGTTGTACAGAGTAATAAATGATTCTAGTCAAGGGTGTATTTATTTGATACCTAGGCCTGGTTTTGACACAGATTGGTTTGTTTAATGTTTTATTGCTTTAGTTTAATGAGGTCTTTGCTGATGAAACTTGCAAATTAAGCTTATTGAATTCAGGTCCTTTATCACCCTTTTTAAAATGTTAGACTTTGTGTAGAATCTAGATTGTAATCTGTTTGTCACCTTTTAAATCCCAAGTCATGCCTTTGACTCTAGATTGTCACATTGTGACATGTTTTTCAAACCTTAGTCATGCCTTTGAATCTAGATGTGCCATTTTGTTATTGTGTCCAAAATACCTTGACCAAACTTTGTAACTGGTATATCATATACCTTATCTTTGGAATAACCAAAAATCACTCAACCCATTTCTCAAACTTTAAATTCAAAACTCCTCCAAATTCCATCACCTTTTGTTTCTTGTAATAACTTAGTTGATCAACAATAATAACAATATTCAGCAGGAGAGTGTATTTAGTTATGAGATTTTCAAATGTTAAATGCTGTTTATTCTGTATATCAATACCTATGTTGCATTATTCTAGTTTAAGGCAATGCATCTCAAACAGCTCCTATAGTTCAATAGTTGAGTCAGCTTTCTCTATGCAGACCTTACCTGTAATGTCTCCATGTATCTGTACAAGCCAGTCTTGCCTGTACCAACTAATTCCGTTTGAAGTGTCAATTGTATCTCTAGGCTGTACAATGACTGTATAGAACACTGTAGAACTATGAATTGTGCAATTTGCTATTTCATAATACCACTTGGTAGGGTCTAACAATTTATGTGATCCTTTATACACATTTAGTACTGGGACATTATAGTTTCACCAAGTGGTACAGTAATAGCATAAGGCACCTATACTATGAATGACCCTAAATACTGTTATGAGTTTCATTGATTCCAAAATTATATCACAAATTCATATTGCTGTAAATGGAGAAACCATTTTGGAAATATGGAGGTCATATTATGTACACTCCCTTTCTGAGTTTGCAAATGGGAAATTACATTTTCCAAACTTCCGAGGGGGGTGTACACGTGCACTAGAGTCGTGCACAGCTTTGTGTGTACACTTGAATGATCCTTTTTCCAGCAAAAGGCCCCGCAGGAGGTACATTGTATAAGCATTTTGAATTGGCACGTCATCATCATCACTGCTTGCTGGCACAGCTTTATCAAAGACAACAAATAGCAACCCAATATATTAAAAACTAAACCATAGCAATTTGATCTATTTTTAACTCATTTAAAGTCTTCACTCATTTTAGCATAGATCATCTGCTTTGTTCAGTTCTAAAGAAAATATTTTGATATTTGTATGAATTATGGTTGTGCAACTGATAAAGTGGTGTTTGCTTACTTTGAAACTAGGAGTGATATCACAAAGTCACTGTTTTTTGGCAAGCATGACTTCTGGTCATGGTCATCAGTTATATTAAGATTTTCTGAAATATGATCAAAGGTTCACTACTTTTTGACAAGCCTAACATCTTCATGGTCCACGAATACATATTAAGCATACCTGAAATATAATTTGGAAAACAAATAACAATTCAATGTAAAAGTATTGAATGAATCTAAAGATCTTCACTTATAAGGGTTGCTATTTGAGAACTTTGTGTATTATATATTATATGTTACCTATTATGTCAATGATGATATATGTACTTGTATGTGGTATTTGGGTGGTCACTTGTCTCTACTGTATGCAAACAATGGGAGCATGTTTGTATTCTGGTATAACACTACAGTAAAACTCCTCTAAGGTGGGACCTGTCCTCATGACCCTATTCACAAACAATCAACTTAACATTCAATTCAATAAATATTTGTGGGGTGTAAACTCATTTTTACATGTACATTTGTGTGAATTATGTCCTTGAGGGCCTGTTGATAACCTCATCCATATAAACATTTCCTCTTTAATACAAGGCTGCTTGGCCTGAGAGGTTTTACTGTAATTTAGTATTTTATGTTGGTGTGAGGATGGATGATATGCAATTTATTTAACCTCTTGAATCCCAGGCTCTAAAATCGGTAGAAACCAGACAATTTTCATTTTGACATTTTACTACATACCTATACAACTTGAGATGCTCAACTTAGTAAAATTAGAGGGCAGAGATGATTTCTACATATTTTAAAACAGGTTTTGTGAACATTGGATGAAAATTGTAAAAATAAGAGCAATTTTAGTGAAAATTTTTGTGACAGATTTTCTCGTCACTGGGTTTCAAGGTCATTTCTGAGGTGACGAGAAATCTCGTCACTCCAGGTAGTCAAGAGATCATTTCCACATATTTTAAAACAGGTTTTGTGAACATTGGATGAAAATTTAGTGAAAAATTAGTGAAAATTTTTGTGATGGATTTTCTCGTCACTCTGGGTTTCAAGGTCTTCTCGTCACTCCAGGTAGTCAAGAGGTTAATTAGTATGTAATGTTTACTGCTATCAATGGATATGGGGAGGAGGGGAGGGTGCTTCTTGAAAATCAAAGATTTATGTAATTACCCATTACAATTTTCCATACATTTAAATGAACGTTCAAATAACTTTAAAGATATTTATTCCTCTTTTTCAATTCTTGAAGATAGTGCAGTTGCTTTCAAGTCCAAAGTGTGCTCTTGCATGTACATGTGTTAATAAGCTTTAGTCATTCATGTACAATTTGCCAGTCCTATATCATGTATGTTGCACTGTTCCTCTCATGAGTGAAGAATTACCCTTCTACCTTTCCCTCAATATTAGTTCATAAAATTTTTAGAATTAATTTATTTCCTTAAATAGCATTTTTATTATTTATTCAAAGGCTGTAATTGAAAATTTTATTTTGTGACATGACTTTTAGTTTGATTGATCTATTTTGCTGTAACAAGTTTATTGATACAGTTTGGTGCACTTTTCCAAGGAAACGAGATTATGCTCTTGAAATACATGGAGGATTGCCACATTTTGAGGCATTTCTTGGAGATGTGTGTCAGACTGATGAGGCATGAAGATATTAATCAATTAAAGTCATTGTGGACACAAACTGACCAATAGATAAAATGCACTAATATTTTTAAACCCATGCATGGGTTGAGGGTTCACTAATTGGTAATGGGAGTAAACCTAAAAAAATATGCTGAATATATCAGCTCTTGTTCCTTCAGTTTGATTTTCTATCTAAGAAATAGATATCTGAATCAATAAAGTAACAATTTTTTCATATTTTTTTTTTGATTCAAGTATAATATTTTTATAACTGATAGTAGATGTTTGTTTTCTTAGTTTTTAGTTTTAATTCTTCATAAATGCATGAATATCTACTATTCACTATAGATAGCTAGTTTCAGTCTACACAATCATCTCTATTAGCAGCGAGAATTGAACTCTAAATATGCACTGTATGCTACTTCACTTAAACTCTGTATCTTGAGGTACAACTCTAAATGCCTCCCTTATCCTAAATACTCAGTTGTGATGTTTAAATTACAGGGCAGTCACCAGGGGGCACTAGAGGTCTGAACTTACGCACACACCTGTACATAGGAGGTGTGAACCTGGATACTCTGCCTCACTCAAGCATTGAGGTCACATCTGGTATTGATGGGTGTATCTCAGAGGTAATTAGCTCATTGCTTAACTTACATTTTGAAATGTTTAAATCTGGTTGGGCAGATTTCAACCTGAAAATCATTGCAATTATGAACAAACATGTATGTGCTTGAAGAAACACTTAACTGCAAAGGGCATTAAAGGAGCTTTAACATTAAACTCTCACTCAATTCTGATTGTAGTTGACAGTGAGTGGAACTCCCATTGATCTGATTAACTCTGCTATTGGTTATCGTGCTATAAGTGATTGTCGAGACAGGAACCCATGCGCTGTGAGACCATGTCATCACAATGGCCGCTGTGAAGACCTTGGTGATGGGGCCTATCGATGTGATTGCTCAGATGGATATACAGGTAGGACATCATGCCGGTCTGTTGTTATGGTCCAATATCATAATGGCAGACAGGGCTGAAATTGGGCATGGCAATGTTACCTTACAGAAACCTCAGATATATTGAAGAAAGGAAACACTTACTACAGATTAGATCCAAATGATTACATTTTACTAATTTTATTCCACTGAAAGGTTAAAATGATTGTATTGTATTACAGATTAAGTATAAGTGATTGTATCACTGATTGATTTTCAGGGATTGTATTCCACTGATTGAATCCCAATGATTTTATTGCAATGATTGAGTCCCAATGATTGTGTTCCACTGATTGAATCCCAATGATTGTATTGCAATGATTGAGTCCCAATGATTGTATTAGACTAATTCAGTCCCAATAATTGTATTGCAATGATTGAGTTCCAATGATTGTATTCCACCGATTGAGTCCCTATGATTCTACTACACTTATACACTCATGACTTGTAGGCAAAAACTGTGAAGCTGAGAACAACCTGTGTGCTACTGACAACCCCTGTTTGAACAATGGCCTCTGTAAGGTGGTTGATAATGGGCACACCTGTGACTGTCCACTTGGCTTCATGGGGGACAACTGTGAAATAGGTGAGATTACAACACTTTTTAGGGGAGCTTTTGGATAACACATATATGAGGGAGGGTCATTATTATTATATAAACTGCCTGGGCAATAATTCTACTGTAAGGTGCATCTCAAATTCTGAATAAGTTAATTACCGTACACTGAATCCTATCTGACATGAACATTTTTATTTTTGAATGATTAAATGCTTCTTAAGTTGGATATATCGATTAACATTTAATATATTTCTTGAAATTTGACATATTTTAAGTTCATATATGGCTGCTCTATTACAGCGTTCCAAGTGGGAGAATCAGCTGGTTTCCAAGGCAACAGTTACATAGAATTACCTGGTAGCCTTCTACCTCACATCAACAGTCAGAGTGAAGAGGTCATTAGTATAACCTTTGCAACAGATAGTAGTGATGCTTTATTGTTCTGGCATGGACAAACACCAGAGATAGATGGCAAAGGACAGGACTATTTTGCCATTGCAATTGTTGATGGTTACCCAGTATTAAGGTAAGGAACTTATTATTATTGACATTCTGTCATCCAAAGAAATAACTATCAACGTATGAGTGTAAAGATTTTATTTTCTGAAAGACATTCATTTTGAAAGTCCCATTTCATGGTATTTTATCACTCATTGATTTACTATATTACTCAAAGTTTGTAAATTGACAACATCAGACATACAAACATAATTATTAATTCTATTGCGTTTCAGCTTTGAGCTAGGAAGTGGGCCAGCTACTATTACAGCTAGGTACAGAGTGGATGATGGAGAGGAGCACACAGTTATTGCAAGAAGGTAACACATACAGGGTGGTCCAATATATGATAGCTTCAATTCATATTTGCTCTGGATAGATTTTTGTTAAATGTCTCATACCATGTGTCACATTTTCTGTTAGTTAAATTTATTCATTCAATCTACCCCAGGTTCATTAATAAAACATAAAATTATATATTGTAACCTTCCAGAACTGGACAAAGAGGAACAATAGAAGTGGACACAGTTGTTTTAGAAGTCGGAGAATCAGGTGGAACATTACAAATGCTCAATACAAAAGGAAATATTTATATAGGTAATGTATTTTATAAAACATGATTTTGCACTGTAACTTGTTCTTTCCATGCTGTTTCACTTCATATTGTTACTTAAAACTATTAAAAACATTTAGTTCAGGCCTACCATGTGTATGAATTGATCCGAATCAGAAGGCAAAAAACCAAGAACCGAACTAAACCATAACTGTTTTTCCAGAAAGAGATTGATTTGAAATATCAGAAGCTTGATTTAAATCTTACATTTCATATTTTACATTTAGGGATGTATCACTCAAAAGACTTAAGCCATATATTTATATCTGATTTTTTGATAGTTGCATGTTACCTTTCACTTGAATTCATGAGTTTCCACTAGTGACATCTTTTAATTGTGTTTGAACTTTTTTCCAGGTGGGGTCCCAGACTTCAGAGTAATGACAGACAGTAAATTTAGGACAGGATTTGTAGGGTGTATTAGTCAATTATATGTAGGAGAGGAAGGCCCCTTAAACTTTAGTAGAGACACTGCCCATGGCTGGAATACATACCCTTGTGGACCTGTATTGTAGAGGGGGTCTTTAATGCATTTAAACCAACAGGGATTGTCCAGGTATTCGCAGAGACCCCTTGGATACTTGAAGAATCCATATTTATGAATCATCAATTGCATTTATTTTGTTATATATTGAGGTGAAGAGTCCCCTCTTATGTATTTTCCTGATGAAACATACAACGTTGTATTAGTCTAAGCCAATTGTTGCCATGACAGCCAAGTCATAATACAACATTTAAATGGTCAATTTGTGCATCAAATCATGTTATGAAAATTACAGGGCAGTTTAATTGAAAGAACTTAAGAGAGGCTACACGTAATGTGTAATACAGTTTAGATACTTTTGTTACTATTTGTATAGATACAACATTTAAAGTGATACTTTTCGAATGACCAGTTACAAGTATGCACAAAACTTGTATGACACTTCAATCATGGCTACATAATATTTAATACTCAAAGAGCAATGATTGAAATGTGAAATAATTTTATACTGAAGGTTAATTGTTTAATATAAGATGAAGGAGTGATCAATAAGTTTTGGCTCAGATTGTAAGATATACATACAAAATCAGTCTCCTGGTTAAAGGCATGAATTATGCCACATGAAGTGTGCAACTGAATATCGAGATATTAAATCTATAACTTATTGATCACCCCTTGTGAAATTGATTTATACAGTGAACTGTAGAAAGTACAGTTTGAAACTATGCAGTGATAGAGTGGTCCAGTTACTGGACACATCTACCAAAGACAGTGTTATATATTATAGCGTACCACTGCCCATACACACTGCCTTAAGTCACATGTTCAGACCACTTTCTGGCAATTTAACCCGCAGCATTTTACAAACATCTAGTCATGTGTTGCAAAACTGTATATGAATTTGTCAAATCGGAAATCCTTAGTCATTCAAGCTAATAATTTTACCTCAGCCTTATGTGCTTTACCTTAGGAATTCACAGGCTGACGTGCCTGCTTGCTTTGATAGATTCAAAATTAGTATTAGCGAGTAACCATGACAATTTCATTTATGATTGAGACATTTCCTGACAGTACAACCACGGTGTGTGTAGGAACTAACTAGTCAGGAACACTTTGAGTAAGATGTAATGAAATATGCTTCTAGTGTGTGAACTTGTATATTGTTTGTATGCAATCTTGAATAGTGTAGGCGCAATCATTTTGAATGCCCCTAGTATATGCTTATATGCAAACTGAGACTCCCTGTAAATGCAGTTAAAGAAAATAGAATGCATTTGGCTAAATTGCCATAAAGTGGTGTGTACATAAACTGTTTGTATATATAACTATATATATGATATTTGTAATTATATAAGAGGTTTAGAGATTAGTACAGCTCATTTTGCACAAAAGGCAATCATCTTTTTATAATTTATAAGTAAAAGCTTTTAGCTAGTAAATTGTACAGATATTGTGTACAGGTGTACTGTATGTAGTGTACAGATATCATTTTGTACATGTCTAGTGTACAGATACATGTTTTATCATCAATTCCAGTCATGTACAGGACTTTTACTTACAATGGACCTGGAAACAGGACTTTTACTTACAATGGACCTGGAAACAGGACTTTTTTTACTAACAGTTGACCTGAAAACAGGACTTTTTACTTACATACCTTTTAAATACATTTTAGCACTACAGTATACATGTATATACAACTTTAAAAGTTTTTCATGAATTTTATAATTTCAGAAACTAATGATTTCATTATGACATTCATGAAATACTTTTTAATTATAAAAGTTTTATCTTCCATGATTCTTCATTATGATTATGACTTATTTATTTTATATTCTCAAGGTAGCACAGATAATATTAAATATACATGTACTTAAACCTTATTCTTCTACCCTTTTGTAATTATATTGACTGCCCTAATAGGTAGTTCTTGAATCCTTACCACTACAGCACAAAGGGGTTTCAGTATACGTCTTGAGGAATGAAGACCGAGATTCTATGATTTAATTATCAATATATGACTGAAGATTTTTTTCTGACTGAAATCACGAGGCAATTGAGTCATAAAATCTAGGTCTTTGTTACAATTCTAATTTGATAAACAAACAAGAAAAAACAAATTTTGCATTTAATGGTCTATAGTGAAATACCAGTAAATCATCATTTGTCTTTAGTTATTGTGAAATGACATATCATATTAGAATTGTATTGTTATATGGGTGAATATCTAGGTCTATGCAAATCTTTTATCATTCCGTCCTGATTAACTCTCATCCACCCCATATTTGTTGCTATCTTCATTTGTAATATAGGGTGTCCCAAAAGTTGTTAATTACTTCACCATAAGTAACAATTGTCAAGTCCATATCAATAAGTTTGCTTTGTTCATCTATATTGCAAATGCATGTATTTTCAATAAACATTCAGTTATAATAAGCGTAACTTCACTTTCGGGGCACCCTGTATGTTGTATTATAGTGTTCTTTGTATTCTGTTAAGCCATATTTTAAGTACGCTGTTAAAGAATATGCAATGTAAGCCCTACATTTAGTTGTATCATTGTTTATGATCGTGAAATTAAAAGCTAAAATGATATACAATTTAACAAGGGGCCATGAATTTAGATGTTTTATTCCTCAATACAGCTTAATACGCTTGCTTGAATTTTTAACTGCAAAGTGCGTGAGAACTATGACGTCTAAGGTCAAATATGAAACCAAATATGCATTTCAACCTTAAGTCCCTTAAGTCTTTATATTTCCTTAGGAAACACCCCTACCTTTCAAAGTGAGCTGATCCGCTTATGGATCAGGTCATATTTGGTTGAGTCTATCTTGATATCGAAGGGGTGTGTGGATGACTATATACTGAATGTTTACCTCGATAGTGTAGAATCCTGAGAGTCTTTGTGTTAATGTAAAACTGCTATAATTGATACCTCAGGTCCTTGGTTCCAAACAGATATTATTAACAGTAAAGTAGCACAAAAATATTTTATCATGTTTCACACAAATTAATTGACATTTGATGTTTTGCCTATGAATTATAAGAAATATGATGTGAAAAATTAAGTTTTACATGTATAATTATTAAAGTATAAATAACAATGAAATTTCAGTTGAAATACATTTAATTTTAATCAACATGGAAAGCTATTTTTGTGTTGCTGTTTTTCGGTGCTAACACTCTGTGTGTAGACGCAGTTATCTGTACTTGTTATATATCATTATATTATGCCCTCACTAAGATTCAATTAACAGATTTAGGCCCTTTCCCATGAAAATGACTTCACACTTTTTTATGGGAGAAGAACCTAAAACACATATGAATTTTATGAGAGTTTTCACTCATTGGTCAACAAGACATACTATATGCCAATAAACTATCATATCTACATGGAAAAACTTGTTTTGTCATTTTTGGTTTAAGAAAAGTGATGACGTATGAGTTATCTACATTCGTATCTACATTTGTACATGTATCAGCTTTATTGTTAGGAATTATGTGTTGCACATATTATGATTATTTTCTGTAGAAATTTTTAAGTGATGAGAACCATGTACTTGCACTTTATACATGCAGCCCGGGACATGCTGACTCTATAAATACTTTCAATAAAGATCATAGTAACAGCTGTACATTTGAAATTGGAAAATTAAAAATCCAATTACAACTATGTTTTGATATACACTGTGCAAGACTTCAGTCACAAAAATACATTTTTAATCCAACCCAATGGTCAATGCTAAAGCATCAGAACTAGGAGTAACAGAATCCTGCAAATAAACTCCCTTACATTATGAAAATTTAGTCTTAATCCGAGCTACCCATGGTTAAACATGAATACATGTATATTGTCTTATCCACTCAATAATCTGGTCTTGGCATTGAGGCACTTCTGTTTGGCAATTTCTGCAATTGTGAATTTTCAACACTACCTGGTAAATCCTTCAGTTGTAAACTACCAGTTCTGTTTGTTAAATCCTCTGTTTGGAGATCATCGCTTTTAAATCCAGTATTCTCAACACCAGACTTCATTAGTTCATCATCTAAGTGCCTATCAAGTGCATCCAATTCTACAGTTATATTGTTGTTTTCTGGAAGTGTATTGCATTTTGCTGATCTTTCTTCAGCCGTTGTGTCCTTTTCTCTCCGCTTTACTGACTGGGCCTTTAAAACGAGGCTTTGGAAGGATATTCCAGCGGCAGAAGTGGTTCTGTTGTTCGAGAAGAGAAGGACAAGCTGAAAAATGTATATCATAACAAAGACGACATTTTTGACTGGATGGATGAAATCACTGGCTTTCATCCCATACAGCCCCATGATTGTAAACCTGACCACCACAAAGGGGATATCCTGAAGGAACATGTTCACCAAGATGTAGATGACGGTCCCCCTCTTGGTGACATCAGCAGCACTACTACTGCAGACATGAACAGGTGGTATAGGAACGTATTTGAAAAATGCCAGGAACCCCACACCATATGTAATGTACAACCAGTGGGAGGTGAACACATCTCTATTATGATCAGCCACCATAAGCATCTCAATGATATCATATGCTGTGAAGAAGTCTGTCCCCATGTCGCTGATGAGATTATAACTGAATGGTTCTTCACGTAATTTAGCCATCCACTCGGTGATTGTCAGTCCAAATACAACTACCTGCATCACAGTTATGGTCCATTCATCAAACGTTGTCAAGTTCTGCAAAAGGAAGTGATGCATACTGTGTACTGTATAAAACTCAGGTTAAAGGGCACAATATCACCCCATATAAGTTATTAAGAATTATTTTTTGATTAGCAAGGTGACTTTGGTAATGGAATAATTTTTTGAATATGTAAACAAAACAAAATAAGTTGTTTGAATTATATTATATTTCAGGCTTTTTGTGCTGATTTTTTTACTAAAGTATTAGTACTCGCCAAAATTAGTGCTTGTTTTTGATGCTGCAATTACAAGTTTATTAAGAAAATGTAAGGTTTTGAAGACTTATCAAATTATGTCATCATCAAGATACATTGAAACCTCTAAAACCTCTAGAATTGGAACTCCTCTGTTACTGGAACACTTCAGAGCCCCATGACAAACTGACTTAATGTGAAATGGACCTCTATAAGTAGAACACCTGATTAGTGGAACGGTTTTTAAAAGTACTAAAGGTGTTCTTCTTAGACAGGTTTCATTGTATTTATTTTTAACACAGTCATCTGTTGTGAATGATCATCTTACAAAAATAGATAATAAAAAGTGCAGCTTGGAAATTGTATATAAAGCAAAACTTGACATTTCATACCAGGGTTATCTGAAGGACTAAAATTTGGCTGATCACTTAAAAGTAACTACAATATGTAGGATCAGGGGTGGGTTGGGAACACCTAATTATAAATCATTTGTTAAACACAAAGGATTATAAACTTACAAGTTACTCAATAAATACTTCAGGACATGCACAAATGTCAACAATTCAATATCTGAGTTACTCTCCAAATATAGCTGTTGAGCTGTACGTAGTGGATAAGTAGAATGAGATAAAAGTGATGAATTTGGAGATTGTGCCCTTGTAGGCTGAAGTATGAGGTACGATTCTTACCTTTGATCTGACTGCTATCAGTATGAGTATGAAGCAAGGAAGGACACTCATAGAATAGAGCAGTATAGAGGGACGCCTAGAAATATAAACAAATCCTACTTTAATAAAACACAACAACACTGAATAAAAAATGTATTGTACAATTAGATGTGGCTTAAACATATTGAATTCAAATTGATTATTCAATTCCAAGCCCATAGCCAGGGATCAATTTTTTCAAAATCTGGTAGTTTTTCAACATTTTGAGCACTTTTTGAGTGATTTTGGGCCAAATTATCAAACACTCCCCTGGGATTTTTAAAAATAGACCCCCTCCTCGGTAAAAGCTGGTTTTGGGTCTGAATTTTTTAATTTATCTAAGAAAGATAAAGATTGAAAATTGAGATTTAAGTTAACTGTGTTAGTTTATTTACTATGTACAGTGTTTATTCTGGGAGGCAATAAATGAGGTAGAATCTGCACCCTGCATCATGACAAAAACAATTGATTTTTCTTTTTGCAGAATCTAAGTCTGCTATTCATATTCATTTATGCTAAGAGAGCATATGATTTTAGGCATTGAAAGTTTAAAAAGTGAAGTTCGTTACAAGTATATGAATCTGGATCATGGAAAATTGCAATTTTATAATCATTTATTGTTTTAATTGAACAATTCCCAGACACTATTTTCTGTTTTGAGAATCCTGAAGCAATAAAATATAACAAATACACATCAATTGAAAGAATTGGTAAGAGTGATGTCACAATTAATTGATACATCACAATGTACATCACCAAAAGTGTTTAAAGTGCCCGATAAACTATAAAATGCGCATGCGTCCAGGTGTTGATAAACTATAAATAGCGAAAACCCAGGGTTTGTCACCACAAGGTAAGCCAGGACGTGTTGAGAGAACAGCTAGTGTTGATATTGAATTTATATGTAGCCAGATAAGTTTCCTTATTGAAATTACATATGGTTATTAGCAATACTTTGTAGGTGCCAAATAATAAAAGATTTAGAGTATATATGAGAGAAATTGGTCATTTCGAACCTGTTGAAGAGTTTGTGGCTCTCGGCTACACCGGGGAATTTACTTCCATGAGTACACACATAAATGTGGGGTTCCCCAAGAGGTACGCGACAAGGTGACCTGGCATCAAATGTGCGACTAAATGCTACTATCGAAAAGATAAAATAACGAATACGACAATAAGTTATTGCATGTGACAATTCCGAGCCTTCATCTCACTGAAGTATTTTGAAGTGAAAATAGGATTTTTGTTTTGATACATGGATTCAGATGAACGTAACTTTATTCTGACAACTAATCAAAACTGAACAAAATTGATTGTACGTAACAGACAATTTATTGTTTTACAATGTTTTGATTGGCTAAACGAATGAAACCAACAAATTATGACATGTAAAATGAAAATTTTGAAATGTAAAATTTAAAAGTGACAAACACAACCTCCCTATCCACTCTTTGGGAGCCCTAGTAAATTAGTAATATGTACATGCAGCAGTGGTAGTGTACAGCTTATTATCACACTACGCTTTGTATTCCAAAGCCTGTTGTTTGTAATAACACTGTTCACTCAACGTATGTTTTGTGTGTGGGCAGTCAACGATAATCATTGTTTTATCCCGGTTATATGACCTCGGCAATTATAACAAAACCGTACTAAACGAAAAAACGCAAATAAGAGAAAGCTTTCACACACATATAAAAAATGAACTAGTCTAATCCGCCAGTATAAACTCTGTGCTATACGTAGCCGGGTCAGGCGCACACTTTAAAAAGTGAATCTGTTAAAATCACTTTTACCTATCTCATTTCATGCAAATGTCTTTCATTTCTTCCAAAATATATGTAATTGTTAATTGCTTTCTGTACTTTTTCTCGACGTATATCGCGATGTTTACCCATGAAAATTGTCAATGTTCGATTATCGCACTAATTGGTAGTTAAACTTACCATCCATGAGCATGTCTTGCATTGTAGCACACTAAGAGAAGCACCAATTTTAAAGGCAGATACAGAACAAGAGATCCCAGCAAAAATAATCCGACAGTTACACCCCAAAATTGGCTTCTCACATCAACATTTTGGATAAATATTGTATATCCCATAATTTCTCCATATCTCCATACTGCAAGGAGTACATTTGTTGCAATTACTAGCCATCGTACAATTTCAGTGATTATCAATGTTGGTCGTAAAACAGCCTTCTTGTCTCTATAGCTTTGTCTAAATCTACCAACTGCCATAATTGAAAATTAAATTGTGGTCATTTGATTAGCTTAGTTCACCTGATCCTTCACAATATTTGAAAGATAAATTAGACTCTCTGCTTTTTATTTAGGTAGTTCAAATTCCATATCATTACCCTTGATATACTTTGAAAGTTAATTTTTAATTCTTAATGAAATGTTCAAACAATAAATCACATCACTTTTCACATTTTATGTGTTACTCATGTCCTATAATTATAAATAATGATTACAATGTTTCTAAACAAATAACACCCACGCAATTTGCGATCAGATTTGAGAAAGTCCCATGCAATAGCTATCTGGAGTTCAATAATCATGTAATTACCCACTTGAATCTTTGTCAACTTCCCGATTCCTCCCAAGTACTGGAGATAAGACAATCAATGCCATATGATTTATCTTGCTACAACTCAATTTATCATATTTCAGTTACTTATTCACATTTCATGATTGAAACAATATTAACATATTATAATGTATGAACAATTTAAAAGTTTTGATTTTCCCGCAAAAAAGTTTTATGGTGCATCTTGGGATATAAAAGTTTCTACGTTTTCATGACGTCATCAATATATGGGTACAAATAGATAGCCACAACTTTCAAAATATTTGAACAAATCTGTCTGTTCCAGCTTTACCACGTAAGTAAAGACATTTAGCTGGCATAATACAACGATTAGATATACCACAAAGGTAACACAGACTCAGTGTTCAAAATTCACGTACTAGTTTACTCCTAAGTGGTGATACTTCAATTTGAAATTAAACTTCAAAAAGTTGAGAATTTTTTTTTAAAAAAGTAGACGTCACCAAGACCCCAGGTAATCGGTGAATAAATGTACCTGTAGGGTCTTTTGTAATATGTATAATATTTCAATATAGAATATGACACTACAGATCTGTTTTAAGTACCCCCATAGATGTGGGGTTATTTTGAGGTTTTTTGATATTTAGGACATTTGTTTCTCAAAATAACCCCACACCGATTAGTACTTTGATTCTTTGGGGATTTGCTAAACAATAGCATACACATAGAATTTGTACTAATATTTTTAGAATTTACTCACTTTTTTATGTTTTTCGTATCGACAAGACATTAATCTTCAACATGCTTCCAAATATAGCCCTCTAAGTGTTGTATTCATTCTTGTAATGAAGATTTAATACGGATAACAGATATTTCTAAAAAAGTTTTTCAAATTTCATGTGCAGTCGATATTTTTTATCTAAATGACAAACTTCGTGTAAATACGAAATCCAAAAGTAAAAATGGAGGGAAATTTTGAAAAATGATTTTCACCTTCCGGGGTGTATTAAAAGGATTTTCAACCTCACGTCTGGCTGCTGTATCGTCTACGGCCTTTGTTTTCCTGAACTTAGGCATAAGCAATAATTTTGTTATTAATTTGACAGGTGATTTCGTTTGGCACTGTTAAGTTTCCCATCTACCACATAATTCCTCCCAGAATGCAACGCGCGAAAATGGCCAAAATTTGAATAGATTTCGAGAGTCAAATATTACTGCAAATTGTTCCAGTTATAAAGTATTGTTTCCACTGATCGATCGCTCATTACATTGGAAAAAGAATCCTCTTCACAGAAGAGAAGAAAAAAGGTAAGGAAACTGCCGATATTGTCAGAACTTGAATCTTCAAAACATGTGAAAAAAACTGCAAAGAATCAAAGCCTAAACTTTGTGGGGTTATTTTGAGAAACAAATGTCCTAAATATAAAAAAAAACTCAAAATAACCCCACATTTATGGGGGTAGTTTTAAGCGAAAACTCTAATAGTCTTATCCATAGGCTAAGGGTTAAGTAATAGTAAGCTGTATATAGAAGAGACAGGTGAACAACTAGGATTTAGGCCACTTGTTAACATGGCGATTTTAACATTATTTGTGTATACTTTTCAAAAAACAATGCAGAGTTGATCCAAAATTGATATTTCTCAATTCTTACCTATGAATCAACCACATTCAAGTGATATAAAGTGAATAAAGCCGTCTTGAGGCGAGATATTCTGAAAACCTACAATTGCCTGGCAAGTTACCCGGATTTCCGTGTTGAATCATGAATGGAAGTTTGAAACAAGGAATTTGATTGGTTCCTGCTAACCGCCGCCAGTGACACCTATCTGGTTCTCTAAAATGTAATTCATTTTCTAGAAATAACAATCAATTAAAGTGTACAAAACTATAAAAGGTTTACTTAATAATTATTTATCAAAACATCTGATTCATATAATATCTTTTTAAACCCAATTTAAATGGTGAAATTAACATTTTTCTTGGAATTTTAAACTTCTAATTACAACCAATCAAATCAATCGTTACAAGATTCAATCTTTCCATGTGTCCGGAAGTTTCAACTTGCCGGGCAATTGCAGGTTCGTACAGTTGGTGTTTTTTATGCTGTCTTATCGAAGAGTTAGGATATAGATTTGAAATATTCAACAATCTACGTTTCGAAAACACTTTGGAGAAGATTCTTGGGAGATTTGGTGGTACGACTCGATACCAGTAAGGAGAACTCGTACCGAGACGGCAAGTTTTTGAAAAAATTTTCAATCCTAATTGTTTACCTGTCTCTTCTATATACAGCTTACTATTACTTAACCCTTAGCCTATGGTCTTATCTCATCAGGGCTGGTCATCCTGGTCTACCAAGGCTCTGGGACTAAGACACTAATCTTACAGAAAAATGTCCCAGGCCAGCTGATAGTGCAGAGACGTATCCAACGATCATGGTCCTGGTGTCAAAATATATCGAATTTTGAATATTTCATCAAGGCTAACATTTATTTTCATTAGCTACAAAGAAAACCCCCGAACGTACCTAATTTCTGCCGATATTCACAATCACTGGCATCCTAAATCCCCGGGAATCTTCTCCCGACATCGACAGAAAAAATGCTCACGTACCTTTTAATGATTTCCCGGTTATATTGTCATTGGATTCCAGCCCCGTTTTCACCTAACGTTCTATCCAACATTCTGTTTCCTTTATACCATGCACGTGTCAAGAAGACCTTGAATATGGGCAGATTTGAGGTGTTTTAGTGTTAGATTTTTTTTGATTTTTCTTCGTCAGTGGATCTAATTAACTGCAAGAGTCGCCGGTAATAGACCGTCAACGGCGGTCATATCGTGTACCATGCATACGGTTATATCAGACAACCGCGGTTATTCTGTAACATGCGGTCTTACCTTTCTCAGCTGCAGCAAGAATTTTAAATGGCGGAGATTTAGAAATGTTTCAAAAAACAAAATGCGGGACGTCCAACCTTTCAATTGCTTATTTAGAAGTCTATTTGCAAGTCTGATTGGTGGTATTCGTCGACAAGTGCATATATTTTAAGAAAATAGGTATGGCGAAGAAGACATTAGGCCAAACGTTGCACTAATAGCTCTGGAAAGGTAAAATGACTCCCAAATTTCTTCTATAGTCTTTATTCAACCTTTAAGCAAGATAATTTTTGGTAGTTTTAGCCAATGCAGAACACAGCAGGATAAGAAATGGTATTTAAAAGGTTAATTGAATATAACTTGCCTTTTCAAACTGCTTGATGACAATATGTTGTTGTGTTATTTGTAGTTAAAGTGGAGAAGTTTTGGGTTGGTCGGCGACAAATTTAATTCCTTGTACAAGTATACTGTCCATTATATGCGTATTCGTAAAATGTTATGTGACCATATTTAGCTACATGGCAAGTTGTTTTGAAAACCAAATGAACTGGAACTGCAGTTGGAATCTGAGTCGATAATACCTAGAAAATAAGCAATCAAAAGATCAGAGTGCACTATCTACATTATTATATGGAAAATACATATGTATTGTACAGGGAGTGTACTCACAAAATGTTTTCATATCTTAGATTGCTTGTGGTTTGGCTAATAGAATGTGCAACCCTTTTATTTCGATGCCCCTCTGACATGTCATTTTCTAAAAAAAGAATAATTGAATATGGCTGAAAATTCCTAAATAAGAGGCTACATATCTGAAATATACAAACTCCTTGCATGTAAAATATGAATGTATTTTTCCATATGAAACCACACCTTTGTCTTTTAAATTTTATACTTCTATTATGTCACCACCAAAAGTGGTGACATATTGTTATGGTCTCCGTTTTTTTCTGACGGCGGTTGGCGGTTGGAGGTTGGCGTCCGGCGTCTGGCGGTTGGCGTCTGTAACAATTTCTTACAACTTCCTATAACTTAACAAATACTGTTTAGACTGACTTCAATTTTTTTCTAAATCATCTACATGTTCTCAGAAGTTCAAATCTGACTTTAGATTTGACATTTGACCTTCAATGACCTTCTCAAGGTCAAAAAGGTCTTTTTTCAACTTGCTTCACATTGACTAAATTTTTTTTCAAAATCATCTACATGTTCTCAGAAATTCAAATCTGACTTTAGATTTGACTTTAGATTTGACATTTGACCTTCAAATCTGACTTTAGATTTGACATTTGACCTTTAATGACCTTCTCAAGGTCAAAAAAGGTCTGTTTTCAACTTGCTTCAAATTGACTAAATTTTTTTTTCAAAATCATCTACGTGTTCTCACAAATTCAAATCTGACTTAAGATTTGACATTTTACCTTCAATGACCTTCTCAAGGTCAAAAAAGGTCAAAAAGGTCTGTTTTCAACTTGCTTCAAATTGACTAAAATTTTTTTTCAAAATCATCTACGTGTTCTCAGAAATTCAAATCTGACTTAAGATTTGACATTTGACCTTCAATGACCTTCTCAAAGTCAAAAAAGGTCAAAAAGGTCTTTTTTCAACTTGCTTCAAATTGACTAAATTTTTTTTTCAAAATCATCTACATGTTCTCAGAAATTCAAATCTGACTTTAGATTTGACATTTGACCTTCAATGACCTTCTCAATGTCAAAAAAGGTCAAAAAGGTATTTTTTCATCTTGCTTCAAATTGACTAAATTTTTTTTTCAAAATCATCTACATGTTCTTAGAAATCCAAATATGACTTTAGATTTGACATTTGACCTTCAATGACCTTCTCAAGGTCAAAAAAGGTCAAAAAGGTCTTTTTTCAACTTGCTTCAAATTGACTAATTTTTTTTTTCAAAATCATCTACATGTTCTTAGAAATTCAAATCTGACTTTAGATTTGACATTTGACCTTTAATGACCTTCTCAAGGTCAAAAAAGGTCAAAAAGGTCTGTTTTCAACTTGCTTCAAATTGACCAAATTTTTTTTTCAAAATCATCTACATCTTTTCAGACGTTCAAATT